GAGAAGCGTGACGCCGCTGAAGCCGCACCACAATACGTCTGGTCTCCAAAGGCTGCCGAGAAGCGTGACGCTGCCGAGGCCGCGCCGCAATATGTCTGGTCTCCAAAGGCAGCTGAGAAGCGCGACGCCGCTGAGGCTGCACCACAGTATGTCTGGTCTCCTAAGGCAGCTGAGAAGCGCGATGCCGCAGAGGCCGCTCCTCAGTATGTCTGGTCCCCTAAGGCTGCCAACAAGGAGTAAGTGATTTAGCTTGACACAAGCACGTGGCGCCGGAGCCATGTATTCACAGTTTGTGCACGCATGGGCACGGGATTCACGAACTTGAGGAGTTACTATTGTGGCAATGGGCACGGGACGAAGGAGGGAACGATTCAGACGAAAACCACAAATAGATTTTCCCTTTTGTATTGGAGTTTCTGGCTTTGGTGTATGCTTAGGAGTTCGATGCAGATACTCGCGATAGATCATTTGGCTTTACTTAAGACTCTTCTTTTCTTCACGTTGTTAGCATGGTGATAGTGAAAGCGAGACTAACTGACTGGTATCTGCAGAGAAAAGTCGAAGTCGATAGTGATCAATAAACTCTTGAGCTTTTGCCTTCACTTCTCTAACTCCTGGGAAGGGAAGTCCTTGGTTGGTACTGCATTCACCGCTCACATCTAGCGATCTTCAAGAGCCGCGTGATTTATGATTCTGTTCGGATAATACGCTCCATATCTCTTGCAATTGGCAAGCTATCTACGACTAAAGACATCTTCGCAGACTCGCGATCACGCAGAATGTTCATTCAGTACGACATCTTCAGCACAGCGTTGAGTAGACGGATATTTATGCAGACAGAGCATCTGGTTGCACCAAATATTTCGAGTCGCGAGGCGCGTGTCAGAAATTCAATCGATTGATACAGATCCTTTCGACGCACTTTGTCATCTCGACGAACAAGGTCGTGCCCAGTTCTGCGTAAGCACTCTCGTCTGCAGAGAAAAGTCTATTGACAACCATGAGGGATATAAGCTTTGATCACGCGACATGCGTCCGTAAGTCTACGACCGTATGTACCAACAGGCCTTCAAAGTATCGACTAGGATGAGCCCCTGATGTACAAGGAGCCGGGGGTCTGCGAGCTGACGAATTAGATTGATTGCAGCATAGACTATGCCAAAGGTTAAGACAGAAACTGTAAGCTGTGCTTAGGGTTTGTGCAAAGGATGTCTAATTTCATTTTATGAAGATGCAACCGAAAGCCATAAATTGATAAATGTAAAAACGGACCGCGACAAGTGCCCTGTGAGTCGCAAAGTCGACCTGTTGCCTTCTTGCCACTTCCTCATCAACCGGGACCCCAACCACCATGAGGGTTTTGCAACGCCGTACCGACAGTACGGTACGTACGAAAGTTTGGCCCTCATGTCCGGTCCATGTGGCTCCGTGACGAATGCGTCAGCCGTGTAAGGACACCACCACTTCTGTCTTCAAATCAACAGCGAAGCTCTATCGTAGCCTCCATAATGCGACTGCCAGCACACTAGGCGCCAAACAGAATACTAAAGCTTGCAATTGCGTTCGCAGAGAGTCTTGTTGTAGGGTATAATCGTTTCCGGTCTTGTTATTGTATGATGGCCGTTGCACTACTTGTCTGGTGGGAAGCGAACTGGTAATGACAGATGACTTTTCCACTGGGCTAGAAATAGTCTTCTGCAGTCGAGGTCTGGAGAAGTTGTGCATTGACCAGTTTGTGAAGATGACTCTTTCCATTCCGAATTTCTTTTCTTTTCGGTGAGCTTGAAATCGATGCGAAGAAGATGATGAAATCTGATCCAGTTGCTTTGTGCGGTGGTGGGTTCCTTCGCTAGCCCGAAATGAAGGTCAATAAATGGGTTCAATTAGTCTGCTTCGCTCTGCGATGGCACTTTTGCTTCATGATCGTGATGAAGCATCTCTACATATCATTACCCTGATGCGATCCGGTCGAGCAAGATCGACCATCACTACGATTTGCGGTAATGGTCACACGTACGCTGCAGGAACCGAACCGAAGGAAGGACTCCGGAGCGAAAGTTTTGACGTTGGAGTGCAGCTTGGCCGCAGGCTTCGACTCAGCTCTTAGCTCAGCGTGCAGTAGTGACGCTAGTGCAGCTCGGTGATAGTACGGAGTCCGAAGCAATAGTCACGTTCATTCGGCGTATGCTCAGAGTACCAGACCCAAGAATGTGCAGAATACCCTCGAGGGTCTTGACGAAGGGGTCGTGGTCGCTGACCCGGAATCCACAGGTCGGTTCGGAAGTGACAGAACAGTTCGTGATCGCTGACATGCTCATCATGACCGTCCTTTCGCAATGGCTCACAACTCCGAGACCCGGCCGATCGATATGCTATCAGATGTAATGTAACAAGATCCTGAGTGTGAACGAGACGCGTCGTTTCTGTGTGTGACTCTCCTCGAAAGCAGTGCCAAAATGTCTTCACGTCCGTCAACGTCAAGCCCAAGAGAAAGCATAGAGCAGCACTTCTCGCTGCTCGAAAAGGCTGATCTTGCAGACGAGCCCGTTGAAGACAACGATGGAGGTGGAAATCTCACCCAGCTTGCAGCGGCAGGCAGTACACTATGGGCGTGAGTGCCAAAGTCTTGCTCCTCTTGGCGAAATTGACTGACCTGACTTCCCAAAAGGCTGCAGCTCGTCTGGTCCACGATTTTCGCTCGAGGCACAGTTCGTCAACCCGGATCGTGATAACACTTCGTGAAAACACTCCGCTGACCGGATTGCAGTCCTACCTCACCTACATCGGCATCCCCATGTCCGTCTCAGCATTCCTCTGGATATCCGGTCCAATCTGCGGCATGATCGTGCAACCCCTCATGGGAGCACTCAGCGATTCCTACGAACCAAAAGGAAGCCGAACCGGACGTAACAAACGCAAACCCTTTATCCTCGGGGGAGCAATCGCAACAGCAACTTCCATGATCGCTTTAGCTTGGATCCCCAACATCGTAGTCTTCTTGGAGAAATTTTTGAACCTTGGACAAGAATACGAGACTCTTTTACTCATTCTCAACGCTACAATCTGGGTCTGGGCGCTGAGTATTTCCGTGCAGCCTCTGCAAGGAGGGATAAGGACGTTATTGCATGAGATTTGTTCCAAAGAGGCGCAGGCACGATTTGCGGCTAGTCAAGGGGTTCTGGTCGCTTTTGGGACAGTGAGTGGATATTTCCTGGCTTCTGTTCAATTCGGGAATCGTCCAGGAGCGTGGTCTGCGATCTGGCAGTTCCAGAATTTGACGCTGGTGGTGTCTATGATATTGTTGTTGTGTTCGGCGATTACGATGGTCTGTCCTTTCCGGAGTCCGAGGAAGAAGATTGATGGGGCTGCGAGTTCGTCGCAGTATTCGGCATCACTGAAGCATGCTGTCAAGCGGAATGTAAATTGCTTGAGGTTGTTGCCGAGGAGCATTCAGCTCACGCTGCAGGTTCAGTTCTTCTCTTGGTTGGGATGGTTTCCCGCGTTGTACTACCAGACAGGGTACGTTCTGATTTGCATTTTGCGCAGCGACTCCCTCGTTGCTTCTTTGCTGACTTGGACATAGCTATTTGGCCAGCCTCTACAAAGTCGGCCGTGCTTACGGACTTTCGCAGCCAACAAATGAAGCAGAACACGCAGCTGCCGACTCCGTACCTCACACCGTGGTCATGTTCGCAACCGCTGTGATCATGGCAGCCACGTCGCACTGGGCGAGCACATCATCTAAACGCAGCACCTTCGGTGGCAAGATCGGATCCCTAACTACGCTTGTCGTCATCTGGGCTGGAGGCCATATTCTGTTTGCATTGGCAATGGTAGTCAGTCTGTTCGCAGTGACTGAGACACAGGGTGTCTGGATTTTCGCGCTGGTTGGCATCCCGCGAGCATTGTCGACCTGGATACCATACGCTCTGATTGGGAGGAAAGTCACAGAGTCCCATGATGCAGGAACTTTGACCAGCTTGCACAATGCAGCGCTTTCCGCGCCACAAATACTCGCCGCTGGGCTTTGTGGATTTGCGTTTATGGTGGCAAGATATCTAGATGTCGCAAGCGACGACCAGTTTAGGTGGGCCATGGCTGTAGCTGGTGCGGCAGGAGTTGGTGCCTCGTGGAGATCGTGGCATTTACTCCGAGAGGTTCGAACGAGCGATTAGCTACTTGATTGCAGTTGAGGTGTATCGAATATCAAAAATCGTATTGTCAATCGTGCTCTCGGTCAGAATCTCGTTATTTGGCGCCACTGTCAAATCGCGCGAGTCGGGAGCGGAAGCTTCAGCTGTCAACGTGAAACGCTCATTCCAGTTACGAGAGCAGTATTGGTTATCAGAAGAGAGTAGGACGCAATCAGCGCTGGGAAAGCCCCCATGGCTCAAATTGGGACGTCTATCGTACAATTCGCATACCCGATGTAGCATTCCTCCACAAGCTTGTCCAATATGCTCACGTTATCGAGATAGAGTTGCGTCGCACAATGTTCGGTGTGCGCGTATGCCCCATGTTCATCATTGAGTACGACTTGTCCCCGCATAGCACGATGAAGTCGTTTCAAGACGAAGATGCAATGATTCAGGTGTTGCTCGCGAGTGGTGTATACGCGCCTGTCGTGCTCCGTCGGTCCATCAGCGTGGAGCGAAAGAGCATGCTCGTCCGGAACACGATGTCTGCCCTCTGGATCATAGAAGAATGGAAAAGATCCATGTGCACGTTCCGGACTGAAAAGCCAGCTTCGATATTCGGATTCAGTCAACGGATCGAGGCATTGGGGTGCCACCCAATTGTTTGCCAGCAGATCGAAGACGCAGCCTCGCGATTTTGCCTCGTCAGTTGTGTTCCCGCATGTTATAGTCTCTTTGCGGTACTTGGTAGGCAGCGTGGACGGGCGTCGGAAGTTCTGGCCTATAGTTGCCAGGAGTATAGCGATGCAAAGGATGCAGGTGATAATCTGAACGGCTTCCCAGCTTCTGGATCGTCGAGACGTGCTTGGAGTGCGCTCCCAGGAAGCACTATCGCCATGCGTTTCAGGTTCCTCGCTCGTGACTGGTTGTTGGCCTTTTTCTGTGCTTCCAAGGGGCGAATACGTGTTCGAAGTGTTCTTGGGCCATGCCAACACCATGTTGCGAGATCGTCCTTGCAGTGTTTACTGAACGGAGTTGAATGCGCTGAAGGCAAGGAGTCTGTCTGCTCCAGAATGATTGAGAGAAGGCTGGCGCAAGACAGCGAAGACGGCGAAGTGCTCGGCCATCACTGATCAAAGGCATAGCAAACCAGCTAACGCCATCATCGCCTTCCGGACTCCGGCAGTCTGACCATGTTCAGCGGTGGTCAGTCCGGCAAAGTCGTGGGCGCGGATTTTCTGCAAGCTAAGTGCAGTCCATCTCGACAAGGCCCGCTCGAGTAAAAGCCGTGAAAGTGCGTAGATGGGCCGATCATTCAGTTGATGGAATCAAGGTAAGAGTGCTGGAGAGGGACTGCGAGTCTGCGGCAAGAGTCTGACCAGCTGACTCAGCAAGGAGCCCGTGCGCGCTGTTCGCCCGATCAAGGGAGAACAATGTGGCTTTGTCCTCCATTGTAGAGACTCCAGATGTACCTTCGTTTAGAATTGAGGTTCATTCAGACTCACCTTCCTTTGTCTCCTCCTTTCACGATGGAACGCATGCCCAGGCATTGTTCTCGCCGCTATATAGGGCAGAACCTCGACCATGTAGATGTAGACCAGAAAACACTACCGCTTCGAACTCCAGACCGCTGAGAAGTTCGCCGCGTAGTGCCCAGAATCTTCGTTGCCATCTGCTCGCTTAGCAATCGTACAGACAGCCTATTCATTGCATACGCAAGCGGCTCCTGCCTTGCACTAGTTAGAAGCGAGATAGAAGTATAAGACGGGCCCCGCCGGCCGAGCCCCGCCACGATGAACGCCGGAAACATTAACCAGACGCGAAAGGTACGCAAGTTCGACGCCGACGAACCATTCATAGTAACCGAGGCCGCCAGAGCCCGCGCCATGTCTGCAGACTTCTTTGGAATTGGAGCCCAGTGCCAGGCCGAACACTGCAGACAACTCGACTTTCTGCCATTCAAGTGCCAGAGCTGTAACGGGTAAGTCCGCTAACCTCCCAACCTCTAAACATACTGTATCACATGCTGACTTATGACTTAGAACATTCTGCCTCGACCACCGCACCGAAGACGGCCATGCCTGTGCCCAAAAAGGCGCATTTGGTCGTCGCAACCTCGAAGCCTTCCGCAACGCCCCAGCGCCGAATAAGCTGAAAGATGTCGATCTCGATACCTACAAGCGACAGTGCTGCGAGCCGACGTGCAAAACCACAATCAACCACGCCCTGACGACCGGAATCTACTGCGAGAAATGCCGACGAGCTTACTGCCTGAAACACCGCTACGAGAGCGAACACAACTGTGACAAACTCGTCCCTCTGGGCCTCGTGAACCCTCCTTCCCCACTGAAAGAGAAGCGAGTCGCTGCATTGGATAGGCTGAAAGCATGGGGCATGAGCAAGAAATCAAGCTTCGCTCTGCCAGAAAGCAAAGCCAAGAAGAGTGCTGCCGCGGACCTTGCTGCTGTCAGCTCGCTGAAGCGCACTGCGAAAGGTGAAGAGAAGATCCCACAAGAGAAGCGTGTATACGTCTTCGTGGAGGCCAGCTCGGATACCGTCACAGCCAAAGTCCCCAAGGGCAACTTCTTCTACAGTACCGAGTACTCAGTCGGCAGAGTCCTGGACCTTGCAGCCAAGAGCTTGTCCGTGTCCAACGTGAACAACCTCTCCCCTCGTGAGGAGGATAAGCTTCGCGTGTTCCACGTCGAAGGCGGCTCGCTTTTGGATTTCGGTGACAAGCTGGGACAGAAAGTCAAGACTGGAGACACTATCGTTTTGCTGAGAGGTGTGGGAGCCGGGATGGCAAGTACTCCAGACCAGACGAATTGACAACAGCCATGAGACATGATTGATTAGCGAGGTGTTAATGGATAGATCTGCATTCATTGGGCGGAGTTATGTATTGATTGAATGAGTGTGCGCCAGACACATTGATTGCGTAGGTCTACGACACAGCTACAATTCCAGGACTCGAAGTACAATGCACAAAATAAAGGACCCTTTGGACCGCAATGATTGCAAAGTCGATTGACTACAGCCGTACTGATGTGATCTTTAGGTAGACAATAATTCAACGCTAATCCTGCATGAGCGCCCCTCGGTTCTCCTCACAAGACATCGCGTCTACCTCAACGACGAAGGCAGCGAATGGCACTCTTACCACGCGTTGTTTCGACCTGAACTCGATCATGCACAACTTTTCAGCTCTTCCATTGACAAGCAACAAGCTCCAGATCGTTAAAGATCACCACCCTCACCTCCCGTCTCAAGCTGCTCTGCTCTCCCCAAGGGCCCCCATCAAAGTCCAGCCTCCCCAAGCCTTCCCACAGCTCTTTAGACCCACCGAACCCTTTCACGGTGGCAAGCACAAAGGACCAGCAGTCTTCGGATCAGGACACGCCAAAGATCCCCATTGGTCTGCAATGCACATGCAAGGGCAAGTACCAGCTTTGCATCGAGGATCCTGCAATTCCCTCGTCAGCAATAGAACAGCCCAAGCACATTAAGGAATAATGGCTTACGGAAGGAGGTCCTTGTGGCACTGCAGCGGCGAGACCAATTGCCATGGCAATAGTAAGGAGAGTTTGGAGGAATTGCATGCTTGGAAAGAATGTTCTTTTGCTGAGATTGTTCAACGATCTTGTCAAGGTCCTGAAGGGAAGTGAGAAGCAGCATCGTGTGGCACACAGCTCATTTTTTATATTTGACGTGTCGCCCGTGGTGTCGCCCACTCTGGTTGAACAATTTTTCCCCTTGACCTTGTTCCAGCTAGCATGTTCATCGCTAGTTGGTGCTGACACTGGATCGCGTGAGCATCAGCGCCATTCAAAGACGGTGAGGGCTGGTACTGCAGCATAGTATGCCGTTGTAGTGTTCGCACCTCGCCTTTTGTGGCATGTGCTGGCCCTTAGTCTGCAAAATCTTATCAGATGGCCGCACTTCATCCGAACGGATATACCGGGGCATGAGATTTTTCGAAGAGAAGCTCATGATCCAGAATCGTTCTGAGAATTGGTCTTCGAGCTAGCAGAACATCGATTTTCGCCCAATCGGCGGCTGACCCATTTGGGAAACTGTAGTTCTCGTAGCTCAGGAAGGGCTCGTCATTGTTGCGATCGGTCCACCCAACACGATCATTCATGCTGACAAAACTGCCCATTTCGGTTTAGTCATAGCATGAAACATCGAACGACTCCATCTCAAGCCCAATTGCCTTCTCCTGCGCCCAAGCAAAACATCTCCTATACCACGCATTTCCCACATAGCTCGGCTCAATCGCATGACGTGCTCCATATACCAATGCATTCTCCACACTCGCAGCATTGACAAATCCTGCTCCGAATTTCTCAACATTTCGACGTGTACCCTTGAACAGCACATCCGCAGACCCGAGTGCACAAAGAACAGGCATTCGAACTCGGGCCTGGAATGCAAGACAGGTCTCTTGCTACCATCCGTACAACTCTATCCCTTCATCTTTGATCAGAGGTGTAGTTTGTTTCCAAACGAGCGGCTCACGACCAGAAGGACAGCAGTTTCCCGAGAGCATCAGTTTCGCTTTTCCAGCTGGAGGCATTGGTTGAGCATGGATGTCGGTTTCAATGATTTCGACAGATAGCCCAGGTCACACTGTCCGTCATCACCAGTCATAGTGAAAAGCTTCTGACTCTCTCCCGTGCTCTCCGGAGCAAGTCCAGAGAGAATCATTCCCGACCAGAGATACTGCCTTTCATCAGGAGCCTGCTCGGCATACATTCCCGCAGCAATGATAGAAGGGACGACTCCAATCGAATGAGCTGTCGTGACGATCGATGTGCAACCGTTTGAGGCGCCGAAGTCTTTCCAGATTGCCGGGAAGATCAAATCATGGAACCAATGCGCTTCTTCTTCGAAGTATGCGCGACCAGGTGTGGGCTTCCATTTAGGATCATATGGTTCAGTCAACTTTCTGTCGACAACCCAGCCGCTGGAGTCCAGATAATTGGGCCTGTTGATAGCAACGAACGGCAAGGCGAAGAGGTCTGCGTGGACCGAGGCCGTGCAGTCGCTCGACGCATCGTAATTGTACGCCGAACATGTTCCACCATGAATGCCAACAAGCAGCGGCCTCCCTATCTCCGTTCCATCGCTGGCCAATGAAGGTATGTATGCGATGCCCGAGACTTGTGCTCCATTTGATAGTCTGAGGCGGAAAGGCGTGAACTTGGAATTCAGATTTGTGGCTTCGTAAGCTTGCACGGGATTCATGATCTGTTTTCGAGTTGGAAGGCTGTCATGAGAGATCCTGATCACTGGAGAGAGTGTAAAGTACCTTTGGAGCAACCCCTCGAGAGTATGGAAAACTGCATTTCTACTTGAGCCATATGGTGGTCGGAGATAGGAGATAGGCGGTTGTATGTAGTGTCGGTGTTAATCGAGGAATTTTTCTCTATTGCAAAGCAGAGTGGGTTCTTCTTGCCAGTAACTCGCCCTTTACAGACCATCAGCCTGGGAGGAAAGCGTCGTTCGGCGTCAGAACCTCGGTAGAAGTGCAGATCTTGTGGTATTGGGCTTGCGAGGATGGGCAGCCAACAGAATTGCAGTCCGTCCGAGGGAAATTTGCCAAGGGAGTCTGCCGTCTCTAGCGAGCATAGCATAAAGAAGACGACCTGAGCACGATATGGAAGGACTATGCTCAATAGTGGGGAGGCGGCCAGGCTTTCGTGGGTCGTTCCGCATTGAGTTGGTTGTTCTTCTGGGAGCATCCGATAGGCGACGAGAGGAGGCGGTACCGAAAAATCACGATCAACGCGAGATTAAGAAGCGCTCAATACGCATCGACTGAGGACAATTCCAGCGCGCGATCTACATCGAATCGGTTGAAGCCTGGCGTGCGACACAGGCATACGGAGAACACCATCAAGACTGGAGATGAGAATCAGTACACGTACCCCAACACATGTAAAGATCAGGTAGCAAACTTACAGTGAATAAATTTCGACACGTCAATCATAATTCTCTTCGTCTGCCTGGAGTGTTCGTGCATCGTCTCGTTGTTGTCCCATGCGCTCGCATCTGTGGTCGCCTGCAAGTAGTCCTGCAACGAGGGCAATCTTCCAGGGGTTGATGTCTCGTGCGAAGCTCGTGGGCGAGAGGTAATCGGTGTCTGCTCAGTGGTCGTCCGCGTCGATGGCATGAAATTCACCCAGCTCCCCGAAGCAGCATCAGAAAAGCCCACTGTGGGAAAATCCGTCGTCTTGCCACCTGTGGTAGCCTTCTCAGGAGCTCGCGTTTGGGATTCCGCTGCTGTCTGCGTAGTGTTTGCTTGCGATGATGGTATGAGATTCATCCAACTTCCAGAAGCAGCATCTGAAAAGCCAACAGTGGGAAGAGTCGATGCCTGGCCACTTGTGGCGTCGATGCTCGCTCCAGTCGAGTCTTGTCGCTGCTCTTCTTCGCCGAACAACCTTGGAAGACTTAGTTGATGCAGGAATGGCAGAGTCGCAACATTGGCTGAAGATTGTCCAGCTCCGGAAGATGAAAAGCCTGGACCACTCATATCTCTTGGAACCACAGATGGCACTGCGATCTCTGCGACGGCAAAAGAGGCCAATGGATCAATGTAGATGCCCTTCTCCGCGAGGTAGCCTTCAACGTCGTAGGGGTCGAACCACTCTCCTTCCAATCCTGCAATATCGACGGTCATGTTCACAGTAATTTTGCCCTTCACCGCATCTTCAAGCAAAGCCAATCTATGTGGGCCCACAATACCTACGTGCCACGTCTGAGGTTTTGGCAGAAGCCTGCCTGAGGCGTCTCGTTTTGGATAATGTGTTCCTGCGCCTCCGACGTGAATCAAAGCAGTTTCCTGGTCGAGAGGCTCACGCGGACCCCGGGCGAGCATTTCCCTTGTCATTTTGATCAGCGTTTCCCTATCTCTGCTCATAAGTGAAAGTCGGAAAGACCTCTTGTAGGTCGTAGGCCGCTTGTCGAACTCGTGCAGGAGTTTATAAGCCTGTTCCGCTGTTGCTCGATGTAGACGTCTGGCGAAGGTCGTTTCTGCGAATGAGTATGTCCTTGGTGGGCGTGGTTGCTGGATAAGTGTCTTCCGGTGCACATTGGATTCGTGCTGATCGCTTTGGACCGGGTCCTTACTTGCTGCTGGTGTGGAAGTGGACGCGGATTCCAGACCAGGCACGTGATCACGAGTTGGGCTGTGGCCATGTATGGAGAGTGGACCTCCCCAACTTGAGGGGTGAGCATCCCACTGTGGAGACTGGTCTTGGTGAAGCAACGCATTGGGGTCTAGCTAGTCTGAAACATGCTTTGGCTCCAGAGTTGACTCGTCCGCAGCAGGCTTTGCGGTTTTACGCTGGCCTTTGCGCCCGACCGCCTTTTGTGAACTACTCTGGCCAGGATCGCGGATCAGATCCATGAAGGATTCTATCTTCAGAGCCGTTTCTTGTACGTCTTGCAGCTGGTCGTCGGGAAGGTTGCTTCTGATTAGTCGATCACGGTGGTCTGTGAAAGATTTCTTCATGAGCTTCATCGTTTCAGTCAGCTCTGCTTCCCGCCGGCGTAGGTTTTGAAGAGTGGATTCTTGCTTCTGGCGATAGGCTCTTTGAGCGACCCGAACCTGCGCACGTCGACGTTCCGCAGCCGAGTCATCTCGCTTGGTCGATGCTACATTGGTCGAATTGCTAGGTCCTGACTTCTGTATCTTCGCGGATGGCGTTGAACCTGGAGGTGAGCGTTGGCGAGGCCGACCTCGTGGGCGGTTCTCCATGGTCCCGTCTCGGTGTAGGTCGCTTGTGATGAGTGAACAAATCGGAGACTGCCGGATTGGCAGGACGCTCCGAACACGCGAGAGTGCTAAATAAATGCTCGCGGTGTACCTCAACGCTCACGAAGCTGAGATGGTGCGAGGGGTTGTCCGACAACAACAAAACACGTCGCTTTGGTGAAGAATGTGGAAGGTCTGATTCTCAGAATTTCGTCGTGCAGTCTGGCTGATGAATATATCAGACGGATATTCCGGTACCTGTGAAGGGAAATAAGCCTGGTCTTTCCAGTACGGCTTGGTAAACCAGGTTGTACATCGAGTCCTGGGCATCGGCTCCCTGCTCGGCAGCCGATCTAGAGATGTCAATCAGTATCTTCTGGCTGTTGATAGTGTGAGACGCCGTGGGAGCTCTACAGACCTAGTCAATCACGTTGGCATGGAAGAAAAATAAGTGTTGACTGCTCTACTCAGTCTCCAGTCTCCAGACGGCAGACTGCGGACTCCAGTCTCGCGGCGGCGGGTCTAGCCACTGATTACTAAGCGGAGATGTCTTGCTACTGTATTTTGCACGTTCAGGCAGGAGCTGGGATGATGCTCGTGCTCGTGGCAGCTGGGTTCTTGTCAGATTCGCGGCCGCCGCGCGAGGGCGGGGAGATTTCCGACTCAATGTTTCACAGTGTGTTCTTCTGAAGGCTTTCTGTAGCGGTGGTGGCCACGTCCACGCCCAACTGGTCAAAGTGTGAAGTTGCGTGGTTTGCAATTCACGTCGATGCGCAACGGCAATCCAAGACAGCTCTCTCCTTCGCACATGGAAAAAGGAGACAGCGGAGAAGTGAATGTTGACTTTTTGTTATTACTGATCAAGTGCAGGTGCGACACGAGGTAGGGCGCGTGGGCGCATGGGCGCATCGGATGCCAAGGACTCTCGCCACACAAGGCTCGTTCAAAAGAAACCCAAATTCAACTGTGAAAAAGTCCCTCGTGATGCATTGTGGTTAACTTACCACAATCTGAGCCAGTAAAGCTGAAGCTGTACTTTCCGTACAACGCGCCTACTACAGTGCCAGTCCACGCTAGAGCTGAAGGGGTTGCTCAGAAACAACCCGATACCGGTCCCTCATACAAGACAAAACTCCTGCAAGTTACAGCCGCGACCTGTCAGTGCATCAGCATCAAGTCTCGGATCTCGCAAATAATGTCGCCATTCGTTCGTTTCCTGGTTGCGCCAACACAACGGCGCATCTTCATTATTAGTCTGCGCTGTGACGTTCTTCCACGTTGGCGACAGTGGCGGGAGCCTAGGGTCCTCATAGATGACTTCACCTGTTGGTTTGTCCCGGAAAGCAGGGCGATAAGCTCCGGAAGACGCATTCAAGACATTGACAGTCTCGTACTGCTCTGGTAAAGGGCCCAAGAGTGCCTCGCCGTCCATCAAGCCGGTACAGACGGCGTTGCCGATTACCTCGTAGGTGTTGTCGTTAGTATCAGCCTGTGGTCTAAGAATCATGACGGCGGGGCAGCCAAGCAGTACAGCCATGCAGTCCCCCTCTTGCATATTGTGTGGTCCCAAGCCGAGCTGCCCGTCGCCAGTAGTGAACAAAGATCGACCACGGCAGTTGTAGAACGATTTGATCACATACGCTGTTTCCAAGCTCACGATTTCGGGGCCAATGTTCCAAAGTGCTTCGATAACGAACCTTTCGACTTGTTTAAATGTCGGACGGCTAGAATTGGGAACATAATGTTCAGCGTACGAGTCGGTGGTCAGTACTCGAACCAGCTGAAGGAAAAGACTGCGGTCTGTGCCCTGCGGCCATATCTTCGGATCGGCATTCGGAGGGATGACTGATTGTAATTTCAGCTCCTTTGGCAGTGCAGCTTCGAGTACATCATGAAGAGTCCTGCGAAACACGTTTGAGTTTTTGTGGGTGAGTAAGTTGACTCCAATGGGGTGTGTCTTGGCGACTTTCCCAACATGAACTCCACGAACAGTCAATCGCCGCTCATCTGGAGAAAGCCTAACAATGGAGGCTGCTGAGGTGCCGCTCGCAAAGCTCAGCGCCAATCGCTCTGCTGTATTCTGTCTGGACCAATCAGGCACCCAGGACGGGAGGTCGTCTATCAAGACTCCGTTTTCATGAGGCACGTCGTCGCCAACGTAGAGCAAGAAATCCAAGTCCTTGACCGAAACGAGATGGCGAAGAGTATACTCGGTGTAGACTTCCCATATTGCCCGTCTGTAATCGATTGCAAGCTGAAGGGCCGCAGAGCCAGGAGCGAACGCTTGAGCAGTGTATATTCGATCCCGGGGGTCCGCACATTGGCAGATTCGCATCGTGTTGATCGCGTCAAGGCTGGAAAACTGCCCAGCCAAGGGAAGCAAGCGTATGAAGTTGCCACGGGCAGTCAGTCGGCGCACACCTATGTCTCCCTTCACCAACTTGCGACAGCAGTAGTTCACGATGTTCATAAGTGATGCGAATGTTGTTTCTTCGTTGCCGCACTGAAGCTTCACGTTTTGTCCACCCATCCGGACTTCTTGCCACACCCACAGACGCTCGAAGTATGGCCGTTCAATCAGATTGGTAAATGCTTCCAGCTCGGCCTCACTAGCCAGGACCTCCTTCATGTCGGCCCGTCGGGAATCGCTCGTGACAGGATGCAGCTCCATTGTTGTTACATCATACCAAACCTCGCGGCGAACTAATTCAATCCATCTGAAAGCCAGGCCACTATCGCTCGATGCTGGTCCAATCCAGACTACGACTCGCAAGGCTCTGGCATAGATATCTCTCATGATCGCAACTTGTCGAGCCCGCTCATCGAGGTCAGCTTGGTTAATGCAGATCGCATCTATCCAGACCATCCTTGGTTTATCATTGCGGCGTAGATATCTGATAGCTTCTAGGCAGTTGCGAGTCACTGTGATCAGTTGAAAAGCGTCTTTGAGCTTGACTTGGACGACTTGGGGGTCTTCCGGACTGCCCCATGTATAGGACAATGCCTCGTAGGGCAACTTGCGCTTGGGGCCATTGAACGGCACGGTCATCAGCTGTATCTGGATTTCATCGTCAAACTTCCCTGGGTTGACTATCAAGACTCGTATGTTGCTGTTGTCCTGAGCCAGTGGCTTGTAATTGTACAATCCATGAGGCGTTGGAGCTTCGCTGGGGGCAGTCACAGAGAGGCCTTCCGAGGCTCGAGGTCCAGTAGCAGGAGCATTTCCTGTGACTGGTAATCGTGCAGACTGGTCATCCATGTGTGAAGTCGTCTACCGCAACAAGCTGAGTGCAGTGGCAGAACTTCGGGGAGCTGGCGGGCTGCACTTGCCACGCGTCGATGGGCCGTCTTGGCCGTGCTTGCCGTCAAAGCCACTTTCGCAGCCACAATCCATACGAAGTGCCATCGTCTCGCGAATCCGCCAGCAACGTTGCGACCAACAATATGGCGCTGCCGCCGTAAGGCACCTCCTCTCCTGCTCTTCACCTCAACATGCCGTCGCGCGACAGTTCTCCAGGCCGCAAAGACTCGGGCAGCGCGCCCAACTCGCCGTCAAAGACGCTGGACAAAGTCGAGCTGAGCGATCTGGACTCGAGCCCGCCGCGTCTTCCCGTCGAATCGGACCTCATGCAATTGGCGCGACTGGGGGAATTACGATCGATCCAGAAGCTCTTCGACAGCGGCCGATACAGCGCCAAGTCGACCGATGAGCAGGGCATCACAGCATTACATGTACGAGCATCGCGATGAAGAGGCAGACACATAAAGACATAGACTGACGGCGAGTCAGTGGGCTGCGATCAACGGACACCATGCGCTATGCCACTTCCTCATCCAGTCCGGCGCCGACGTCAACGCGAAGGGCGGTGATGCACAGGCGACGCCAGTACTATGGGCGAGCAAGCGATTCAACCTGCCAATCGTATCCTTACTCCTAGCCAGCGGAGCCGACCCATTAATACGAGATGATCAAGGATACAATCTGTTGCACTCTGCGACCCTCGATGGCAATGTATACCAGCTCATTATGCTGTTACATCACCCAGACCTACCTGTTGACATACCGGATGCGCAAGGCCATACCTCGTTGATGTGGGCAGCGTATAAGGGCTACCCTGCATGCATCGATGTATTGTTGCGATTTGGTGCAGATGTACATGCGACAGATGATATGGGCTTCACGGCTCTGCACTGGGCGCTGGTGAAGGGCAACTACATGAGCATTCTGAAGCTTATCGAGTACGGAAGTGATCGTTTCGTACGAAGCAAGCCTCAAGAAGGACAGACTGAAGGCGATACTCCGGCAGAAACAGCTGCCAAGATGAAGAGTGAGCGCATGTGGCATCGTGCACTCATCGAATGCGGTTACGATGAGTCTGGCAATCCTCTGGCATTTCCGATTCCATTCGTCAACGACAGAAGGTTGTTCTTCAAGCGATTCTTCTTTCTATGGCCCTTCGTGCTCGGTGGGCTGCAACTACACATGTTGGCATATATGAACCCCTGGGTATCCATCCCTGGTGTACTGGTCGTTGGCTACGGTTTGCAGTACGCAGTCACGAAAACACTACGCTGGGCCCCTTCAGACATGAACACGATGCACAAAACCCCTTTCCTCGCGGGCATCTTTGCAGGTACTCTCTTCTGGGTTGGCGTCCGCTACATCACCAAGATACTCCCCAGTAAGTCAATGCATACGTCTGTTGACGACGCTCACTCACACCGCACCAGATACTCTCTCTACCAACTTTCTCCTCAACCTGCTTTTCGCGACAAGTTACGGCCTCTGTACATATTTCTATTTCATGACGATGACGGCAGATCCTGGATTCATCCCTAAAAGCGCGAGTCGAGGCCAGACCAAGAAAACGATTGATGAGCTTGTTGAACATACTGCTTTCAATGAGACCCACTTTTGTACGACCTGTATGATACGAAAACCACTTCGGAGTAAGCATTGCCGGCGTTGCGGTCGGTGCGTAGCCAGAGAAGACCAGTGAGTTGAGCTGCCCTTGAGTTAGAGAAGGCACGACTAACACATCCTAGCCACTGCCCCTGGGTCGATAATTGTGTGGCTGTCAACAACCACAAGCACTTCATCTTGTATGTGCTATTCTTGATCGTAGGCATCGGGTTCCTGATCCAGCTCACCCTTGCATGTAAGTGTCAAAAATGATCTTGCTTTGACTCGACGCTGATGGCATCAGATCTGGACGTATTACCTGCTCCGAAAGACGCTACTTGCACGTTCCTGAGAGCCGAGCTTTGCGCGGAATTCTCAAAAGATCCGCTTACAATAATCACGAATGCTTGGGGCTCACTTCAGCTTACCTGGACATTCATGCTTCTATTCGTGCACTTCTACCAAGTCGCACGTAACATCACTACATACGAAAGCATGCGAAATACTGATCACGTCAACCCACTAATGACGGCTGTTGCTGCTGGTACGATGAACGTCGAATCTGCACAGCTAGACAGTAGTGGTGGCGGTCCCAACCCAACCGGACACGGCCACAAGCTCAAGAAAAAAGAAGGCTTTCTTACGAGGTGTGGAAAGATGATAGGAGCTGATGTCTTCATTGCGATCGCCTTCTCAGGCTACAAAGGCCACAAAAACAAGAAACAGAAGCAACCGAAACGCACGAATCCGTTCACGAGAGGAATATTACGGAATTGCCAAGATTTCTGGATGGACGGGCCCGTATTTGGAAGGAAGCCCGTCAACAAAGGTCTCCTAAATGGCGAGATCGTTGACTACGCAATCATGTACGATGTACCTCGCGGCGGCATGAACTACCGACGCGGCGGCTACGAAGAAGTGGCCACTGTAGACACAGAAGAGGTATAATGTCAATATTGTGAAGTGCTGATGACCACTTCTTTCCCTGCTCCCGTCACAGATCTTGACAAGCTCATCTCGCTTCGATCGACCGCTCCATCTCCTCCTTCAAACCTCGCACCCACTCTTCCTGATCCCTTCTGGGCCTCCATTCCAGCCGCTCCCGCGCAAAACTCGCCTTCGTCAACCCATTACTCGACAAACTCACCTCAAATCAACTCCTCATTCCCCTCGGGAATCAATCCTCCAGCAAACAATTTTGCCCCTTCCGCCAGCGTCACAGACTCAACCTCTCTACTCCCCAGCACTCCCATCTCAAACCCAGTATCCGCAATTCCCTGCGCAGCCTCTCCCCACGAATGTCTCCCATTCTCTGCAAAAATAATCGCTTCTCTGCCCCTCGGCAATTTCTCCCCACCGTCCTCAATGAACTCCACCAAAACGAGCGCATACAACTCCGCAAGATCTTCGACATGTACATGATCTAGCTGCGCACCGCCCGTACCGACCATGACAACTTTGCCGTGTTTCAGCGCGCCATTCACGTACGCTGGGACCTGTACACTTCGTGTATTGAAGATTCCTGTACCAGTGCCGAAAATGGTTGGAGGCATGATGCTGAGTGCTACCATTTTGGGATGATTTGCGGCGGCGTCTAGTACGGCGAGTTCAGTTGTTCGTTGGGGGTAAGGAATGCCAGACTCTTCCTTTTGGAGGAAGGTATAAATGTCATCTTGGGTGTCGTCGAATTCGCGAGGTGGGCTCGAGCTTGGGTTTGTGATGGGGCGGTCGGCGAGGTTTGAGGTCCCGGAGGTGTGGAGCATAAGAACTTTTTTGTTGTCTTCTTGTTCTTGTCGTCGAGAGAGACCGCGGATTAAGGCGAGGGCACTCTCAACGTGGAAGGAAATGGCGGCATTGATGACGATGTGGTGCTGCGAGGCGATGTCTGCGGTGCGCCCGATGTCATCGAGACTGTCAACGACTTCGATTTTGACACGGTCGCCGTAGGCTGCCTTCAGCTTGGGAATACGAGCCTCGCCTCGAATGATGCAGGTGTATGTTATGTCTTTCAAGGCTGGGTGTTCAGAGGCAACTAGGTGGGCGAGAAGGGTGCCGCCTAGGTAGCCTGTGGCACCTGTCAGGAGAACTTTGGGAGTCGTTATTGTTGATAGAGCTCGACTGGGGAACAGAATAGCAGGATCAAAAGCTCAGCTCATGGCATTTATCATCTTCAAGGAGGCGGCGGTAGAGCTTCTAAACTCCGCATGTCCGTGTGTAACACCTACGTGCAGCGAGCTGTCAATCCTTTGCGCCAACATACAGCTCATGATCCTACATCTCAAAGGCCACCATTTCGCAGAAGGAGGGATGACAGCGCGGACGAGTCGTGATAAACCACACTTTCCATTCACACCTCAGTCTGGAGATACCTGATCGACCGTTCTCCAGAAGAATATCAATGCCCTGCCATCAGAATTTCCCGCTCAGCCTGCAAGCTCCCAAATCGCCCCTTCAACTCAACACAAGTCCCCTTCTCCAAACCGCTCGCCATGCTCCGAAAACAACTCTTCCACTCCCCCTCAGTCAGAAACACATCCGCCAAACAAAGTCCCCGAAGCGTGGAACCACATTTCCCCACAAATCCAACAAGTTCATCCTCCGTGCATTCAAACCTCGTAAGACACACGAACCTCAGCTCCTTCCAAGGACATTCCCCCACAATAGCCTTGAGATCCATCTTCGCAAATCCAATACCCGTGTCCGGACCATGAAACACCAACTCCTCCAACCCCTGTGCTCTTCCAAGAAACTCATAAACTCTCCCATCATTCAAGGCATCAATAACCCTCGTAGCCTCCATCGCCGCCGTAACAGGAAGTTGAAAAGGTCTTAACGTCGAACCAAAATGACGTGGGTGTGCGAATGGATGACACCTCGCCTCCGCAGACCTTAGCATTCCATCTTCCAATTCTACTTCCCGGTCAATCCCAAAATTATCATTGATTTGGATCTGGATCTTCCTTAAGTCCTTAATCGGCTCGCATAACTTCTCTATCAACGCTCCTTTTTGTCCAAAAAACTGATAGGATATCGGCATCACGTTCAGCTCTCGTAATTTTGTACCAGTCGTGTAAGCAGCGAGGAGAATCTGATCGAGGACTCTCGTGTTCGGACTCCAACTACCATCATCTCCCCAAGGTCGTACCATTCCGCGTGCATAGGATTCCTGTCGTCGCCATCGAAAGGGCTCGCTCTGCGTGCGATCTTTGAGGGTGAGAGTGATAGTATCGAGACGTCGGCAGTTCTTGAAGAGGTCGGCCATGCAGTGATAGACTTCACTCTCACGATCCATGGACTGCTGATCTTGCATCACGTCTTGGAAAGATGTCCACGCTTGATTCACCTCTTCTTGGTTATATTTCGATGTTTCGCGCTGCATGATTTCGAATACTTGGAAGCCTCGATGCGTTCGTTCCATGTCGCTATCAGGTTCGTCATGAGAGCTGTGTTCTGCGCTCTGTAGTTCGCCGCGCAGGATGGCTTCATCGCAGATCGTCTTCAATCTGCATCGTTCCCATTCTTCTTGACAGGAGACGATAGGTAACCGATCGGCTTGGAAATGGATCTTCGAGATCTGCTTTGCAGCATTCGGGTTGTTACTGATGAACACCGCAAGCTCAGAAAATTCTTGACGGTCGAAGGACAATCGCAATGATTTCAGCATGTACTCGTCCGCAATGACTTTGATCTCTGACGAGACCTGTCGTAGTGTGCGAACATCACGCGTGTCGCAGTGCTGACACACGAGATGTAGGATCTCGGGGGGTAGTTTGAACATGATGACTGATCATGAACGAGTAGCGCAACAGGCGATACGGAGTCTTCGATGATGGAGGACACAAACGCGGTACAATGCGGTCTACCGCTATAGAATAGGGTTTATAGATAAACCCGAATGGTCGCAGGGTAGGTGAAACTAGTAGTAACGCTTATTAGTCTGGAGTCTATTCATGGAATGCCCTGTTCGGTACGAGCGTAGGACTAATGGCATGTACTATACAATGGACAGTAGCCGACGGTTGCCGTCAAACTTGCTCGAGTTTCTCCGGTTGGTTGACGTAAAACAGCTTGCAGAAAGACCTTTATCATCGGTAACCTGATGATGAGGATCCAAGACAATGTGGCAATTGAAAGCCAGCTGCAGACGACTGTGGACAGCTGGGTCCTTCAACTTCGATTGCACCACGGGACGTACAGTTTGGATCCGTGCCTGCTCGACATGGGATAAGGAATTCGGAGCAACTGTGGCATCGTGTGGCGCGGTACATGTTGAAAGTTCCTGTTTCTGTCAACAGTCTTCGCATAGAATATCCTGTTGCTGATCGATCTTCTCGCATCGAATTTCCATTCGCCCTCGTGCCTGTTTATCCGACTGTGTCCGTTCTGCTTGACGTGGACGACGTGCAATGAGCTGAGTGCCATCGGCACACCGCATAATCACATCGGCGAGACTCAATGGGCGGTGACAGCCTTGAGGTAATAAAGTCCGAAGAGTAAATCTCGGCGCAGACACGGCTGCGCAGGATATCTCACGTCACGCACGAGCCGGAATGCGAACTCTCGCGCTTCGTTGGCGTCACTTCGCAATAGTCCTGTGAACATGTTACAATACGAATACACTTCGACCTCTTTCATGAGACCAGCCCAGGCGCCCGCACGTGACAACAAGTCTCTTCGTGAAGGAACCGGAGGACTTGTCAACAGAACTGGATTAGCGAAACAGTCGCTAGACGGTACATGGTTTCCTTCGCTATACATACATATGCGGACACGCCTGGTTCGCTGGCAGAATCGTGGATAGTGTGCTTAGACAGCGGGCCTAGGATCTCTTCGATCTGGTTCTCGCCGTTGTGCGTGATGGCTTGACAACTTCTGGCTCGCTGTCATCTTCTTCGTTCTCGTCTCCCTGGTGATCGCTTTCGTGGTTAAAATATTGACTTTTCGTCGGCGTTGCTTTTTTCGCGACTCGTGCTCGGGAAACGCGTTTGGCTGGCTTCACGGGCTTCTTGGTCAATGGTATGACAACCTGGGGAGAGCTTCGTTCCCGGCGTAATGCTGGAGTTTCCTCTTCTCTTGCCACTCCATCGTCTGTCTCCTCAAGCTCTGACAATGAGGATAAGGCATCTTCGTCACTGGTGGTTGTAGAGACGATAGCTTTCCTGGAAGAACGCCGGCCGTTTGGCTTAGCGGTGCTTTTCGGTGGTTTGGACACGGCATGTCTTTCAACATGCGCCTTCTTCGACGCTGGCGCGTCAACTTCTTCATCATCGGCAATGAAGCCGCCTGCTGTTTCTGTTTCATCGTCATCCTCGTCCTCGTCCTCCGGCTCACTAGCTCCCTGCGGCATGTGAGCAGATTGCAATGACATCGGCGTGAATGGCATGGCAGCGACAGATGATCGCAGCGAAGTGTCGGCACCGTCAGGATCTTCCTCAACGAGCAAGCCATCGTCGGCAGCATGGTGCTCCGGGGCTTCGTCCTCGCTTTCAGCGAAGAATCCACCTCCACCATCTTCTTCTGAAGGTGGTTTTGCATCAACGTCACGGCGCGAGGTCTGGGGAACCTCTTCCTCGTCGTGCCCAGGGCGGAAGAAGCCACCAGCTCCGGCGTCTTCATCCAGATCGGCTTCCGCTTTTCGACCCTCGGCTCCTTTCCTTGCGAATGGGTTGCTCGCATCAGGGTCGCCGGATGTTTCATTGTACTCTGCACGCATCCGTTCCACGATACGCATGCCCATCACCATCTTGCGCCACCAATGCAAGGCGGCCGCGGTGCGCTTGACGTCCTCTTTGCGCTTGACCTCTTTTTGATGTTCCTTCCAAGCATCTCTGACGAGGATCTCATGCTCTTCGGCCACGACAACTCCTGTCAAAACCGGCACAGCACGTTGCTTGCCAAATTCGAAGCCTGTACATGCTTCAGCATAGTCGATTTCCAGCTTCCTGCAGATTTTCGCAGAGCCTTTGAGTGGCAGATGTACAGCTCCCTCTGGAACCATCGTGGGTACATAGACATCCATGTTGCCAAATGCATTCTTAGGTATCACACCATTTTCGATCGGCGGTGGGATGATCCAGTCCGTTTGGTCCCACCCGTACAGTCCTTGCTGCAGCTTCTCACCGTGCTCTCGAAAGTGCTCTTCCATCTCTCGCTTTCGGACGATTGTCACTGCCCGTACTGCAACGTGCTTCATCGGTTGCTCGCCGACCTTGACTGCGCGGCCTTCTTTATGCCACGACTCAACAGTCTTGCAATTGACCACGTCTGACCGCTTGTACACAGGATGCTCCACAGCCTTGTCGCCTTTTCCAGCTATGAAGGTCTTCACAGGCTTCGCGCCGGGCAGAATCGCTTCTTCGCGCCGCAGATGCTGCTCAAGGACAAACTCGGCGGACTGTTTGTACCACTGCAGGCTTTCCTTCTCGATTTCTTTAACTTCCTTAGCAGGCTTGAACGGCTTCAGATCTGTCTGCTCTTCGAGGTCGTCCGCAGTCGTGCGCCTTTTCTGTGGTCGGTCGTATGGCGACATGACTGTCCGAAACCAGTCGTAGCTTTCATATTTCTTGACCTTGCCCCGCTTGTTGTAAATGGGGACTTTCTCAGCCAGAATCCGCATGCCTTTTGTTTTGCCGGGCAGTTGATGTTTCTTGATATAGCGAACTGTCACGTCCTTTGCGGAGCCATCAGAATTGTGAGCAATGGTGTAGCAGATAACCTGCTTTGCATTTTCTGCCTTCTTTCCTCGAGGCTCGAAGGTTTGCAATAGTTCGTCGGTTGAAGCGATCGTGGACAGCACAATAGGATCTACAGGTATCCACTTATGCGATACAGGCGAACAAACTTCAGCCCAGTACGTCGGGAACGCGAGGTCGCAATCATATTTCTTGCCAGGCTTCTTTCGCGTGGCCGGAGTAACATCGATGATTGAAAGGTCATCATCGTCGTCGTGGTCAAGGTCGTCCTGTGTAGCATTGTCCAAATCAGAAGGTGGCTCGCTGAGAGCGCTGTCCGAATCTTCCAGTTGAATTGGCTCCGATTTGTTGCCTCTGGAGGACTTGCGATTTGGCTTCTCATTCTTCAGCTTGGGAGGCGCTTTCTTTGATGTCTTTGCTTTCTTCTGCGATGTGCTATCAGCCTCACCTTCCCAAGCTGTGGCGTCCAGGTTGACCTCAGTCTTCTTCGTCTGCTTGCTTTTCTTCTCATTAGCTTCCTCGGCTTTGCTGAAGCCTGTGCCCGCGGGCTGTAAGTTTGCGACCATTCTCGCCTCAAGACCAATGCCTCTGAGCAGAGCCACGAACAGCTGAGCGCCCACGTCTCTCGACCCTTCGCACGACTTCGCCAATTTCCGAAACGCTTCAATATTCTCAATGCGTTCGCCATGTTCATCGCAATCCTCGCGATTCTTCTCCCAATGCTTGATCTCCTCTCGCAACCTCTTTAGCGGCATATATCCCTGCTTGCGAAATGCTGGTGCAGTCACAGTGAAGCGTTTGCGCCAGTATGCTGTGACCACCTTGAGCAGCCTTAATAGAGGATCACCTTGGCTCAGATTGGGCACTCCCTGCTCCAGATGTGCAGTCTCGTAACCCCAGTCCCTCGTCTTGCTCGTTTCCTTGCCCTTCTTCTCCTTCCGCGCTTTGACCTTTGCCGCTGCAGATTTCTTTGCATCCAACTCTTCCTTCGTCAGAGTGCCCATGTTCTCTCGCCATCTTGTGATTTCTCTTTTAACGCCATCACCAAGTCCATTGACCAAAATGCTCTGTACTTCTTTGTCGTTCAACCAGGAATTACGCACAGTGTTGTGCCACATGAGCGATTGAACGTGGAGGCAATGCGTGAGGACACGGAACTGCCGCTCACGCTTTGAAGGACCCTTCTTGCCGGTTGCAAGTGATATCTCGGGCTCGATATAGCCTCCTTCCTCATTCAAGGACACACTGATGTCGCCAATCTCGGGCTCAGGCTTTGACGAAGAAGCGACAGGATGAGCAGTCGCGTCTTCCCAGTCCATCCCGTCGTCATCTTCATCGCTTTCATCGTCCCGTTCCTCATCGTTCGCTGCCATCTTTTGTCTCTTTGCAGGTGGCACATCTTCGAATTCGTCGCTGTCGACCTCACTGAGGGATACGTCGTCATCATCGTCATCAAGGCTTTCTAAGAATTTCTTCGTCTCTGCTGCCGACTTCGTCTTCCTCGGCGTATCGGCGGCATCGAATAAGGTGGCCTTGGCTTGCTTCGAGGCACTCTTCGCCTTCGTAGTTGCTGCTCGCTTTGCTGGAGGTGGTGGCGATGCGCCATCGGAGTGACGCTTTCGCGAGACGAAGGGCGGCATGTTGACTGTCGGTCATGATGTGGCGATGGGACAGCGGAGGGAGGCGAGCACAGCAAAGAGAAAGAAACGCGACTTCATTATTCACACGCGATTCGCGATTCGTTCCTGACTGGACTGACATCACTTCCCCAAGCTTCGGCAAGCCGCATCGCGCTCGGACCTTCCCGCTGCAGATTCTACGATCTCTTCTCCACCAACCATTTCCTTCACCTTCTCTGCTCCTGGACGCTTTTACCGTGCCACCGCGATGCAAGAGGCCATCTCCGCAACACAACGGTCAAGTCTTCTCGCTTAACTGTGCAGCAGATTTGCCTCCTTTGCTCTACGCGACAAAGAGCTGTGGTCCGCTTCGACCTAGACCTGTCCAGTAACAGGATTTCATCCTTGTTTCTGTACTCACAAATTCCAATCGACATCTAGGAGCGAACCTTTTACGGAGGAGCCGTGCAGCTGCGCCTGTAGAGTGAAGAAGTTTGTATTATTCCTTGACCGGCCACAGTCCTAGTGGTTCTGCCTGATCAGCATCGTCTGCTTGTTGACCTTGTCTGTCGATTTTCAAGGCGACGAGTACGATGAAGCGAGATTTATGAGTGGTCATCACACCCAGAATTGGCATTTATTTCCAGGCTGTTTCCCAACCGTGTTTGCCTTTGCCAACATTGTTCGCGGACAGCAGTAGTCTGACATATATTATCTTCGAGCACCACAACTGTCCACACAGGTTGAGGGCGGGAGCCCATGCGGCCGTTTCTGGGCGTCAAGCCGAGACCTTTGGAACCATGGCTCTTAGAAGCCGTGTTGCTTGATCAGGAAGCGCAGCACTTCACGTTGGGTACAACGTGCTGGCCGTTTCCTACCCGTTCGGCCTTTCGGTACGGGGCCTGCAAAGAGCAGCTATTCTTGGCCCAGATCCCTTGGTGGTATCAACACGTTTGCATCGGAAGACGCAGGGTTTGACAATCCGTTCGCACATGCTAAAACGCACAGGCTTCGAATTGGAGACAACAATGTGTAGGGACAGGCATTGGAGAACAAGAGCCAATGCGATGTGACCGATCTTTCACCATTTAAGTATACCTCGTGCAAACGGCATAGGAGTGGTGCACACATCCTTCGATGCTCACCAGCCACGACATCGCACGCCGTAAACGAAGGTGTTGATACAGAGCATGTGGCTATCATGCTTGGCGAGAGCATCTTCTAGACCACGAGTTGACGACCAACGATACGCCCTGTACCTGAAGTGCTCGGCGTTGCACGTTAGGCTTAGCCGGAGGATAGCTTCCACAGCTTCCAGCGAGTGGTCGCGGTAAGCTCCAGTCATGGCACCGCTGAATCCCTGTCCTGCCTGTCCAAGAACAGCAGTGAGAGTTGCGGTGTCAGCCCAGTTGGGCACGTTATCCTGTAAATCAGTGACCAAACAGGAGATGTGATAAGAGAATCTATCCGCCGCGGCTGTACAGCACGCCACGTAGGGAAAATCGATCGTGTGATCGTAGATGCAGTGCAGCCGGCTGACTCTGCACCCGGTCTAGCAGAAGTACCGCAGTACCACTGAAGGTACTCGCCGCTTTTGCAGTTCTACAGCCATGCCGAGCAATTGTCTTGGAGATGTGGAGTGGCGACAATGATAACGAAGTCGCCTCGTCCCATGGCTGGGGAAATAGTGGAGAAGATGAGCTGTTCATCATCATCATTGACAGCCCCATTGTAAAGAGAGAGTGACGATTGCACAAAGCCGTGATTCTTGGCACCGCTTCTCCTTGGAACGCAGCCAACGTGCATCCACGATTCATGCACTGCCCACCAACCCAACAGCCCATCACGCCGCACGCCATACACCACTACTGCTTGCCCGTCGAATGCGAGAAGTGTGCCGTCCCGCGATAGACAGCTGCGTCGCCGAGTGTGAGAGTCTTGTTGCGCGTTCAGCCCGCGGCGCCAGCCTTTCCCCTCTTCGCAACAGCTGCCGAAGTCGCACGCTTCGCTTGATGCGCAGCACGTTCCGGCGCGGCGCCCGTTAGTTCTAGTCGACTGGCGTGAATAGAGGCAGCCCACATCCTCCTCTCGTTCACCATCGCTTTGGTGACGACTTAGACGTCGATCTTGCCACCCTACGACCACTCCTGCATCTCTCGCTGTTGCGTCTGCGCGACATATCCCATCTGCGGCCGCGACCCAGGAAACAATACCGAAACGGCCTCATCTCCGCATCAGCAGCCAAGGAGCCTACACCCGCATACCATGTTATAGCCGTGTGGACGTCTTCCCAGCCCTGTCAACACACCCATCTGCGTCGAGCGACTTCTACCATCCTGCGCTAAGCGCCTGCGCCGCCACTCTGGCCGCTCAGTCGCGCGCCGCTGCTGTGCGCCTCGCAACTCACAGCACCACCGCCGGCGACAGCCATGTCGTCGACCACCTCGAGCGCTCCGGCGTCGACCACCACCGGCACCGACACCGGTAAAGGCGGACCCACGAGCTCGCCGCTGTTGTTCTTCGTCGCCCTCGGATTCGGTGTAGTCTTTACGAACCTATGGTATGCTGACAGCTCTCCTCCTCCGACTCCCGCGGTTCTGCCATGGCTCCATGTGACGCTAACAATGACGCTCACAGGATCATCGTCGGCGTAAAATACTGCTTCAGATATAACCAACGCAATCGTGCAGCGCGTGCCTTGAACGAAAATGGCGAACCCATTGACCTTGCGCAAATGCCGCACCCGAGACGGAGGAGGCGCGAGAAGAAGCTCATGTCCATGGAAGATGTGAACGAGCGCTTCCCATTGATCAAGTACAAGACATGGCGATCATCGCGCGAAGCCCAAGGCCTTCCTGCAGAGGGTGGAGTGACCGCACCGACCAGCAGAGCTGGGAGTATGAGAGACGAAGAGGGTACGATTGAAGCGTTTGGCAAGAACTCCGTCGATACCGCACGGCCTGGAACGGCGCTCAGCATCGCACAGAAGGATCACGAAAATGCGCTTGGGGACCCACCGAAAGCGCAAGCTACTGCCAGCGGAGAGAAAGGGCCGGAAATGGTTACCATCGAAGATATGGAGAAAGCCAGGAAGAGGAGCATTGATCGAAACAACTCGGCTGTCACAGATTTGGACGACGACGAGGACGACCCAATAGCAACGGCAGCGCCACCTGAGATGCTTGCTGCACCTGGTGACACATGCGCCATCTGCCTGGATAACCTCGATGATGACGACGATGTGCGAGGGCTCACATGCGGGCACGCATTTCACGGATCCTGCGTCGACCCATGGCTCACAAGTAGGAGGGCTTGCTGTCCACTTTGTAAAGCCGACTACTATGTGCCCAAGCCCAGGCCGGATGCAGACGGGGCCAATGCAGCCGCAGCTCGCAACGGCCGGTTGCCTCAAGAGCCACCTCCAGCACGACGACACGGTCTGCCATTTGCACCGCGCGTAATGCTCTTTGCCACACCACGCTTCTTTGTCAGCGACGGAACACGCGCGGAGCAGCCGAATCCAGCAGCTGCAGAACGTGCACGGCGAGAGCGGGACGTTTATCAGGATCCCGCCATTCAAGCAGAACCCACATCGCGAAGCTGGAGATCACGACTACCGGCCGTTTCCATTCCGCGCTTCGGTCGACGGAATCAACAGCAGCAAGAACACGGCACTGGCGAGCAGGTCACAGTGTCCGCCAGCGACTTGGAAGCCGGGCAGCGGCGCTGAGAGAAGCGCGAAGCATTTTGCTCGTTCCTCTCGACTCTCCAGCCCCTCTCTCAGCGCATTTTAGCGACTTACGACCAAAACTACCCACGAGTAACGAATTATCCACGCCACCCAGAGCAAGACTCTCCCATCGCATCATCATCACCATCGCATTACACCTCACGAAACAGTATCGCCACCGCATCCCATCCTAAGAGCACCCGGCTTGGCCACTCAGAAAGTTTGCCGGCCCATCCTGCTTTTCTTGACGAAATGGTCTGCACGCGCAAAAGTGCACGAGCGAAGGCCTTTTCGCATCCTACTACACGCAGCGGGTCCTGTACATATTTGGCGAGGCGAAACCAAGAACGGTTCCAGACCTTCGCAGAATTGCTGTTTTTTCTTCAACTTCTACTTCTTCCACCGCACCATTGCATGCATCGTCTTGCGCTTTGGCTCTCTTGAATGATACAGGAAGCCAGGAGCGGCAGCGCGCATTTTACGGCACGGTTTGGTGCTGGTCAGCAAGGAAAGCGCCTTGCAATTACGGAAATTTTTGGAATGGATTGTGTGTACATAGAGGGAAGGAACTGAGGGAACTGGCTTTCTCGATGCTTGAAGCCAGTGGTCTCAAATGCGAATTCAAATCGACTTTTACGATGACGAGGCAGTTTCTTGTTTCACTTCCTCCAATTGTGTTCGAACCCGCGGTTTGCGGCTAACAAAGTGAGGCTCACAATCATTTGGAATAGGCAGTAAAGTCATGCAACATTGTGATCCTTGTGCCTTTCTATATCCTTCTTGGACATGTCATATCTGACTATCGGTAGTAGCAGTAGTAGTTGTGGTATAAACTCTTCGTGATCCTCAATCATTTCGGCACACCCTCATCAGTGTCCTCTTCTTCTTCTACAACAAGACCGGACTTTCTTTCCTCCAAAGTACTGCGTCCAATCTCCCTTCATCAAAGCTGGGCAACATCAAACTGCAATCCCTCCAGCAGAACAGCACATCACGACAATCTATTCGTTAACCTCAAAATTCGCTCCTTCCTTCTTAAGGCCCTCGACCACGAGCTCCTCGCCGGAGATCCGCTGGTACAAATCTCTGACGTCAGCTGTCATGCTCTCAAAGTGCGAGCTGGCATCGTAGGATCTGCTGATGAAGACTTGGTCTTGTGTACCATCGGTAACGGGCTCGTAGATTGGTGTTGGGTTGCCCAAGAATTGCTCTTCAATTGGGCCGAGGCGCTCGAGGCCAGGCTTGATTTCGAGGTGGTGGTTTGCATCGGTTTCGGCAATGGTGCTGACGATGGCGATATAGTAGCCCTTGGGGCAGACGTTGTGGGTGGAGGAGACCATCGCAACGTAAATGTCTGAGGAATTTGTTAGCTGTCTTGTTTGCATGTGAAGTGGGAGAAGGCAAGGATCATACCGTGCTTCCTGCCAATTTGCGATTGAGGAATGATCAGTTGCAGCGAGTCCGAATCGTCGGTGTTGGGGATGGGATGCTTCAAGATGCAGATCGCTTTGATCAGGTATCCTGTAACCTTCACCTTGTCGGTAAAGTATGATGGGTCGGCGATGATTTGCTTGCACTTGGTCTCAAACTTCATGCCCTCGCCTTCTTGGTCCCGCTCTTTCATGGTTGCTCGGATGCCCGAAACTTTGCCGTTCTCGTACTTGACCTCATCAACGTTCGCGTTGAGCATGTATGTTCCACCGTAAATGGCACTGAGACGAGCGAAGCCTTGAGGCAGCTCACCCAGGCCGTATAGAGGGTAGATGTAAGGGCTCTTTCCGTAACGAGCCATGCTGTTGACGTACAATCGAATGCGCTCGACGCAGTTCTTTGCCTCGCCCTTCTTTTCTTGGTAGTCGTCGGTGGGGTAGAGGGCCATGCTGTGTCCGATGAAGTCGCGAGTGGTGGCTTCGAGGCCGTACTTGTCGTAGACCTGCTTCATCGTGGTCTGGGCGAGGTTCATGCCTGTGCATCAAGTCAGACGGCGTGCTTCCCCTATCAGCCAACCTGCATACCGTTGTGTGTGGATGGGTTGCTCTCATCGAATTCGCCAACCCACTGCAAGAAGTTCTTTGCTCGCCTCTTCTCGAACAGTCCCATCAGCGGGCTCTTCAACGCCTCACCAGCACTGCTGGGCACTTTGGCGACAGTCGCCTTGGCTGCGGCGCCCTGCTGCACGTAGCTGCCAGCAACCTGCTTGAACTCGATGTACCGTGTCACATCAGTGGACACGAGGATGTTGGTAAGCTCTCCATTGCTCATCAGCAACTTGGGCACGAGATCGATGTTCCAGTCGTTGGCACGTCCGTACTTCTTCCACGGCTCCTCGCCCTTGTTGTAGTTGCCATACCGCTTAAACATTTGCTCAATGTTCAGCGAGGCGGCTTCGGCACCGTAATGGTCATTGCGGTCCATGTGCAGCACTTTCTTGCCCTTGACGGACAGGACGCCGGACAGAATGCATTCCGTCAGGCCAGTGCCCAGCACCACGACGTCGTATTCGGGGGCGATTTCCTCCATGGCTGTGTGCGTGCGGGAGCGGTGCCGGCGATGAGATTCGAGCAGAAAATGGGCGAAAAGGTGTGATGTGAGGACAGCGTGTTTATCTCTGGCGGTGAAAGTGCAAGCGCCAGTCTTGGTGTCGGAGCTATGTATGCCGCCCGCCCCAAACACCAGAGCCCCTCGACGCTGAGGTCACCAGTTGCTCCGTCCGCCGACCAGGGTCCCTCGTCCCTCATTCGGATCTTCACTTGCCAAGACTCTCGTCTCTACTCCTCCTGCATCTTCTGCTATTGTTTTTCCTTCACTTCTCAGATCGACGCTCTACGTTTAGGGAACTCGCAACCATGATCGCACTGTCATCCACAACGATGGGATGCTGGACGCCCTCGGCCAGTCTGGCTCACTAGAAACCACGTTGGCTCTGACAGTTGAGCGTGCGGGATAGGGGCAACCGCATGTGAGCATTCTCTGCAGGAGGCCTACCAAACACCGCTCTACACGCAGAAGAATTCGTCGATTTTCCAAGTCTCTGCAAGCGCAACGCCTTCGACCCGCCCTCTGCTATGGAGACCCCTCTTCAGAATCCCTGCAAGGCAGTGACTGCTCGCAATCGTAACTTTGAACTCCCGACGGCAAGTGCATTGGACGTCCAGGTACATTCCCAGTTCAATTGTCATGGCTACGGAAACAACATGGAAGCATGGCAGGGAGCACAGCTCCAATCAACACGCCACTTACTTCGATCATCTGCCCTCTAAAACACATTCGTATTGACAGCCCAGTGAGTCCGCAATCATACTGGCTTGAAAAATGAATATTTCTCAGAGAGCCCCGATCGTGATCCTGGAACGTGATATGGAGGCTGGGTTCATTGTGGATAGCTAACAGCTCGCAGAGTCTGACCTCCACAAGGCAATCCTGGAACAGGCTCTGCAACAAGAACGATGGGACCTGTGGCTGCGCGACTGACCACGAATTCTCCATTCGAACAGAGAACGTGATCCCGTACTACACGTGTGTGCCTATTTGCCAAGCGCCTTCAATCAGAAACAATTACGGGCAGTGCATCCGCTCCTGCGGCTCTAATGAAAGGCTCAATCAGAGGACTGGCGAGTGTCCATGTGTGGCCAACTACGAGAGACTTGGGAGCAGTACTACCTGTGTGGCGAAATGCGAGGCGGCAAATCCTTATACGACGAATGCACCGCGTAATTCTGCAGGAGACTGCACTTGCAGCGAGGGCGCCGAGCTTCTAGATCAATACTACTATGGTCGGATTTGCATGCCCCTGTGCGAAGAAGGGCTTCGTCGGAACTACTGGGGATATTGCGACGAGGAGTGGGAGAGATAGTATTTGCAAAAATGGTAATGAGAAGACTTATGCTACCTGGCGAACTGTCAGCTTTCAGCTTCCTCGAACTTCTGGGCAAACCCGGTCACAAATTACGAAGCACGCGTACGCCTTTGATCAAGGCTGGGACCCACAGATCAACGACCGCGTAACGTGTGGCTTTCTGTGCGCCGGAGATACAGTACCGCAAATTTGTAAAATTCGTCCAAGAGATGTACTTCAACGTCTGGGCCGTAATAATCGAGGGAGCACTGGTGAACCATTGAGCATCCGGCGCCGGTATCCAAATAGAGGTCGTGGTCGGGTTCGTCAATCAGAACTCGTGCACAACACAATCGTGGCAGATCTGCAGATTGGCCAGCACCGAATGTCAAGGTCTCCCGGAGGAACATGGCAAGAAACACGGTCAAATGAGTGTGTCTCATCTTCTGAACACATCCTCCTTTGGAGCTCTTGACCACGAGTCTGGAACGGTGCATACGAGATGCCATTGAAAGCTAAAAGTATATGGGACGAGCTGCCTTGAAACGAGGCCTAATCGCTACTTCCGACATTCTAAAATTGTCTCACTGGGGACAATGGGTCCAGGCCTGCCGAATGTGCTTACGAAGCAGCCTTGAGCGCTGATATGCAGCGGAAAGCCTGGCAGAAACTGCTTCGAAGCCGCTATGTCAGCCACCACACAGGCGTCTCCGCGTAACGCCATCACTTCCATCCTACACCATATGCAGAACTGGTGTCATCGAGCTGTGTATATACCACGGAGACATGACATACGAAGACATGCAAAGCGCTATGTCAAACGATCTGCAAGACTTTCCCATCAGGCGAACTGTCTTGATCGGGTGCATCTGCAGACTGGACGGCACTGATGGCCAATTTTGTACAGAAAGCCCTGGTCGGAGATCAGCCATATCAAACGATCGAGCACAGATTCCTATCGAATACTAGGCCTCTACCTGGCCCCTTCGAAGACCAGATGGCTTCGAGCGCCAAAATCGTGCGGAAAGAGCTGATAAGAATGTTGAAAGATGGCTGTGTCCTTGCGATTCCAAGTGTCGCTCGCAGAGATTTCGACCAGAAGCCATGGCATCTTTTTGATACGTTGAGAAAGGCCTAGTCGAAGACCAAGGATATATCGCTATTTCAAACAATCGAACACATATTCTCGCTGAATGCTAGACGTCGATCGAGACTATTTGCAGATCAAGTGGCTTCGACAACTAAACTCATGCAGAAAGAGCTGATGAGAATGTCTTTGCCATTTTCGATATTGCTCACAAAGATTTCGACCTAAATTTGCGGCATCTGTTGGTCCATTGGCGTTCAGTGGCAGAGTTGTCTGGAGAACAGGGCTTGGTGATACTCGTTAGGAACTAATTTACACATCAACACTATGTATCTCAGGAAATCTCGCTGGGCCAAAGCGCTACAGTGTCTGCAGATTCAACGGCATATCAATAACTTGATCAATCAGAGGCATGGGCAAGAAACGGGTGTGCAAGCAGTCAATTTCTGCATTTCGAAGATTCTATCTCAAAGACTTTTATGCTCTCAAATCATAGTGCAATCGCACAGAGCCAAGAAAAAACAAGCGATCAAACAGCAGAAAAAGCGACCCCCGAAGCCCCATTCACTCGTCAGCCATGGCAGCGTCACGAGCAGATCGCACATGCTCGTCTCTCTCGCTGGCAGTGAGTCCCTAACTCTCTGCCTGCTCGAGAGCCGTTCGTATGGCTTTCTGTACCTTCTCGCTGCCCAGCTCCGGCGTGGCCACCACCGCAACTTCCTTCACGCGCTCATTCAAATTGGCGGCGATGTCTCTCTCCTCCCTCACCATCGCGAGCCCAGTACGGATGCTTCTGCCGTACTCTTCCACGTACTGCCCTGTCTGTTGGACCCAGGCTAGCCTCTGCCCCCTCACGCCAGCAAGAAACACATCCGCCTCGTCGTCCCGCTGCTTCTGGCTCCTCGCGTATGTCACGCTCTCCTTCGCCGCACTCTCCATCTCGTTCAACGCCTGATCGTACCAGTCTTGGTACTTGAGGCGCTCGACGACGGTCAGGCGCTGGAAATCTGACCAGGAGAGCTTGCTGATCTCCTGGCCGCGAGCGTGGAAGCGGTGATCACGAGCGTAATCACCTGCCTTCTTTTGCAGTGGCTCTGGCCGGCTTGGTGTTGCTGGTGACTGCTGAGCGGCAAGGGGATTGGCACTGCCGCGAGGAGCCAGTGGAGACGAGAGCGGGCCAGCAGGCGGAGCAGCATTGCCTGGGAACGCTGGCATATTGTTGTTATATGTGCCCAGCGCAGCAACGACTGGGTCTCTAGATGTACCAGCAGCGCCTGCTGGCGAAGAGGCCGATGGGGCGGCGGCAGGCGACGAGCTGGTGGCGAGACTGTTGGTTGAGGTTAGTGTTATTACACTTGACGTGGACAGGATGTTGTTACTTACGCTTGGCCGCGTGGTCGTTCAGCGAGCGCACGAGCACCAGGAGCCGCCGTCTTGCTCCTGCTGCTGATGCCTTCGTGCATCGATTTCTCGTGGGCACGTCTGCCCGGACCGCTGTTGCACTCGCGGCCGCAATACTTGCAGGGGAATGAACGGGCAGACGTGGTGGATGGCGTGGAGTGCGTGAAGTAGATGGAGAAGAGGACGATGGAAGTGGTGGAATCGGTCGAATGCTCGAGTCTATGTCGGCGCTCGAGTGATTGATTGTCGGCAGGGAGTAGATGCGAAACAGCTGTAGTCGATGGCGGATGCGTTGATGGTCAAGAATGACTGTCGAGTAAGCTGTGGTCTTATTTGTCTGGTGCTGGAGGATGTTTGTGTGTAGGCAAAGATTGAAGAAGATGTGTCGGCAGAAGGGCAAAGGATATTCGAAAACAAAGTGGGTACCGCTAGTACCGATTAGGCACGGGTGAATTGCTGGGGTCTTGAGGGACCCACTGCTCTATTCGTTCACCAGTTCCCAATGAACTGGCTCAAGATCGAGTCGAGGACAATGCGATGGAGCATATAATGTCCAATCAGTGCACTGGCCTGCAAGAGGGACGCGGTGGTATGCTCGCAGCTGCGCTGGAGAAGGAGGATGAACGTGCTTATAGTCAGTTCGGTAGGAGTTTTATTGAGAAGACTAGGCGTGCTGCTTGCTCCTCTCTGCAATGCGTCTTTCCGTGTCTTAACAGTGTCTCTCTTCGTTTGCTCGTCGTTTGCTCAAAGCGTCGGCCTACCTTTCATGCCCTTGTTTCAGTGTTTGCCCAGCAAGAGTCCCGGCTGTGTTGGGCCACAGAAGACTCGTGCAACTTCCGTGCGTGCCTTCGAGTGCTCATGAGCATCTGACAGTTGCTGGCAGCGAGCAGAACCGTCGAGCAGGATCTTGAGCTGCGGTGGACGTGCAGTAAGACATGCAGCGACAATAGACAAGGGCGTGGCGCCACGCAGTTCATCAGCTCGTTGAGTCTCCAACTGTCTTACCGCAACAAGACATCACCGCATCGCCTCCTCTTCAATTCTTCTTCCATCGATCGCGTACACATCCAGGACCCCGTACCACAACGACCATTCGCGTACAACCACACTCCGCATCGATCCAACTTCTGCTTCCATCGACCACCAACATCAACTACCGTCATGCCTCTCTGGCCATCTCCGCGCCCTGGGCACATCTTCCCCATCATGCTCCTCAGCCTCTCGATTGCTGTCGTCCAGAAGACCTACTTCCCACACACGCTCCAAAGCCCAAAAAGGACACCGACGACCGCGAAGGACCTTCAGATTCGGGTGATATGGGCCCGTCGTTCTATTGAACAGTGGCTTAGAGCTATGCCTAGTGTGTAAGTATATTCCGAGAAGAGCGAGGGGTAGAGCATACGACCGCGTGAGGGAAAGAAACGGCTTGAAGAGCGTTGCCTCATGCGACTGCTGCGACACCACGCGCTTCATCATTCGGCCAGCAAGTCTTGTGGTTCCAACGTTGAGCGAGAAAGACTAGTCCATCCGCGCGCTTTCTCTGCTGGTAAGCGCTACTCGAAAGCAATGAGCATGGACACCTTGAGATTATCATCGTGCTGTGGATTTTTGAGACTCAAGCTGACCAGATCGTAGAAGAGTCCAGGTCAGCCGCATGCACTAACGATGTCTCTCCATGTCCGTTTCGTTCGGGGCCCCGGAGTGTCGAACTGCAGTAGTTATGGCGCGCTCAAAGTATTCGGAGAAAGAGAGAGTATGGGACAATAGTAGAGATTCAACTCAAAATTACCTTGAACTGATGTTCACATACTTCCATCGTCCGGGCGTACTTCTATATTATCACAGGCGATTGTGACCAGACCCTGCCACTCTCCAGATCACTACGGCTCTTGAAGCCATGCCAACTAGCCATCGTCAGGTTTCGATTCCGCACAAGACTCAGAGCCATGGGGACATACCGCAAGAATTCGGAACTTTCGTGTATCCTCCGACAGCTCCAAGGGCGTGCAGTCATAACATACGCTGCAGCAGATCACGTCTAGCTCTCTGACGCAGCTGCTGGTACCACGTCTCACTCCGCCCCTGTCTCATTCTGGACAGCATCAAGCTTGATGGCTTGTCCTCTATCAAGTACGTCATGTCCTCATCACCCTCTACATGCTCCAACCTGGGCGTGTGATCATCTCTTCAGCGTCTCCATGCTTCCACGGCAGAGCACTTCGCCCAATATGCAGTATGCATCCTCTTTCATCTGCTCCCGCTCACTTATAAATCTCATCAAACGGCCTCGTATCATTAAAACAACTATCCCAAACCTCATTCACCACCCTCGCAGCCTGCACATCATCCTTACAAGCCGGCCGATTCGCAACCGAAATCGTCGCCCGTCTTCTCACACACTCCTGCAACTGCTGCGTCAAACTCCACTGCCCTCGTGTAAAGAATTCCCTCGCAAATCGACACTCCCCCGACAACATACTCGCTCGAATCTCCATACAAGCCGCATGTCTCAGATCTAGAGGATCCATTACAAAGCGCAAATGATCGTATGCGTGAACCATTTCATGTGCTAGAGTGTCTTCTAAGTGGCCGCGGTTGCGGAAGTGGTTGGCGCATAAGAGGATGCCGTGTTCGGAGGAGAAGCCGCCGCTTTGTTTCGTGTCGCAGCGGCGGCAGCGGACGTTGTGAGGGCCGATGGAGGCGGAGCCGTCGGCGGGACCGAGGAGGTTGATTTGGTGTTGGAGGAAGGTTATGATGGGGGAGGCTTTGAAGAGCCATTTCACGTCGTCTTCGGCGCGTTTGATGTCGCGTTCTTCGTTTCGGATATCGCGTTCGTTGAAGTAGGCTTCGCGGGTCGCTGGGGGTGCGGTATTCGTGAGGATGGAGAAGAAGTTGGACCATGTAAGGTATGTTTGGTTGTCGGAGGGGTTCGTGGTGGAGGGAGATTGTGCTGTTTCTGCCATTGTGATGCGACCGCTATAGCGAGGTCCTGGAGATGAGGGCGATGCAGACCAAAGAAGCTGTCAAGAGATGAGGTTCCAACATTCACTTCGGGGGTTCGCTGATGCCAAGACAAGATCGGCATCATGCTTCTTGCTACACTACAAGTCTTATATACAGCACAACAGTTGGTGATTAGGCTAGAGTATAATGCGGAGAGCAGGAAGAAGTATTTGAAAATCAGGATATGTCATTTCATGCACTGGCTACTGTTTGTCACCAGAAGAACCTGCCCAAACTCCTCGCTTGCGATGCTTCGAACTTTCCAACGCCATAATCCAGGTCAGCCAAATGTGAGCTGGCCTTTACAGTCGACACCATTACAATTCTATCATCATTGGCTCTCCTTCTCCTTCTGCTTGCTCTGTCCACTCGTGCGCTGATAGTGCCTCTCGCCCTTGACGCAATGCTTCAAGATCCAGGGGTGCTGTTCCACCTCCTCCAGACTGATTCTCTTCTCTGGGTCAAGGACGAGAAGTCTTTTGATCAAGTCTTTTGCTTCCGAGCTGACGAATGGCGGCACAGTCATCTCACATCGTGCGATTCTGCGCTGGGTCATGACAGGTGTATCCTCGAACGGTGCTTCTCCGACCAAGAACTCATAGGTAAGAACACCTAGCGACCACAAATCCACCTTCTCGTCATACCAGTTCTCGTCTCGTCCAGGCTTGATCATCTCCGGGGGCAAGTAGTCCAGAGTTCCACACATCGTCTTCCTCCTGTTATTTGGTGCATGTACACTCCACCCAAAATCACTGATCTTGATCTCTCCATGGAGACCCACGAGAATGTTCTCAGGCTTAATATCTCTGTGCATAACATGCTTCTTGTGCAGATACTTCAATGCGCTGGCCATCTGCGCAATGTATTGTGCCGCCTGCCACTCTGGAAAGCGTTGTGCTTTTCGCAAGTGCTTGTACAGTTCACCCTTGCCTGCAAATTCGAGGATGAGAAAGATTCGCTTCGTGTCATGGAAGTGGCCGTATAGTCGGAGAATATTGGGATGGGCGAGGTTGGACTGGATCTCGATCTCGCGTCGGACTTGCTTTTCGACCTTGCCAGCCGACAGTTCAGACTTGTGAAGAACCTTCAACGCGCAGACGAACCCTGTACTACGTTCTCTGGCCAAGTATACACGACCGAACTTTCCTTTTCCAAGAGGCTTGCCAATCTCAAACATGCCTAGGTGGAACTGCTTGGGTTTCGATTGCTCGCTAGGCGCGGCAGAGAGAGGCTCGGGATCGGACGGGCGCGATTCGGCGGAGATGCGTTGCGCGCTTTGGGATGGAAGGGTGATCTTGGTCGGTATGGGTTGGAGGGCAGGCTTTTGTCCGGCATTGTTTGATTGCAGCTTTTGCAGCGGCAGCTTCATGCGGCTTTGTGCTGCAGCGCTCAGGCTTGAAAGTGAGATTCCTGTTACGGAGCTCTGTTTGACCGAGTTAGCAGGAGCAGTGAACGAGCACGCCAATGCTGCTCACCTTTGCCTTGTGCTGAAACGGTGCATTGGGATCGCGATTTTCCTCTGATATTGAAACGGCTTCGAGCCGCTTCTCCAAAGTCTCGGCCATGATGTGTGTGAAGTTGCTGTCAATGAATGTAGATGTAAAGTCTACCTCCAGTGACCGGCGATGTGTGCAGCGCGGACGTGGTGCGGCTCTTGGGTGAAGTGTGGAAGGGCGGGCAATGTGCGATGGGGAGGATGGAGCTACTGTTTATCGTAGCAACTGCCATAGCAACCATCTTATCGATGCCAAGACCCAGCTTCGGCTTCATCCTGAGCTCTCAGTCATTCTGCACGCCCACTGCAGACAACGTTGTCGCATCGCTGCAGCCATGGCGCAAAGCTATGGCACCTTCTCGCACACGTCGCCCAACGGCGTGTGGAAGCTCACGACGCGCAAGCAGCCCATCCTCAAGGCCGAGCCGATCGAAGAGCTGCACCAGGATATTGGCATCCCCATTCCTGAAATGATCTTCGGAGACAACTACGTCGCCCTCACTCATGTGCCTTCAGGATGGAACTTGCACTTCAACGCACGCGATGCCATGGACCGTGTGAGCAAGACAGAAGAGGGCATGTTGCAGGTAGCGGTCGCCGAAGAATGGAAGAAAGAGCGCAGCCATCAGGAGGAGGTGAAGCAGGTCGTAAAGCCTTTCGATTGGAGCTACAGCACAGACTACAGAGGAACTACAAGTGACAAAGACGGCTCGCTGGTCGAAGAGAGCCAGTGGAGGCAGAGCAACCAGACTGCGGATCCCATTCGCATTGACTTGCTCAGCCGCCAGGATCCCATTCAGTTCTTTGACGCTGTTGATCTCTATGAAGACGAGCTGGCGGACAACGGAATTGCGTTGTTCAACATCAAGGTGCGGATGATGCCTCAGCGCTTACTGGTTCTCAGCAGGTACTTCCTGCGGCTGGACGGCGTCATCATCAGAATCCGTGATACGCGAGTATATGTGGAGCACAGCACGAACAAGGTCGTACGGCAGTACACCAACAAGGAAGAGAAATACGATGTTGTCGCTGAACAGCTAAAGGCTAGACGAGAAAATGTGCCCGAGGCTTTTCGAGATGTGAACAAGCTGGCTCAGCTTCTACCCACAATTGAAGAGAAAACCGATGTCTTCGAAGTGACTTGAATCTGGCCATCCTGAACCTGCTCGGTGGGCCACTCTCTTCAACAAGTCACAGGCAGACTGCACTTCGAGAGTCTGGAGCGATCCAAGTGATGCCAGCCTACTGTTGCGGCTCCCTCCCAGTCAACCTAAACAAGATAATCGACGGATGGTTCTCCCGCATGGCTTCCAAATTGCGCTGCCGCACCAATGAAATCTGCTCCGACTCAATCTGACAGCGTCTTGCCATCGATGAAGACACCATCACTTCCTAGATAGAACTTTCTCGCAAGAGCGCGCAACTCCTTTGCAGAGAAAGCTAGATTCAGCTGGAGCTTGTGAATTTCGAACAACAGTCTTCCATGCCCACAGTGATCTGGGTCCTCCTGGTCTAGTCTCTCCACCAGCTCGAGGAAGCGGGATCTTGATCGCTCTGCACTCGGCCGCAGTTGCACTCTGTGCCCTTGATATCTCCCGTGGACCGCATCATGCATTTTGACGAAGTCCGGTTTCATCGAAGGATGCCAGAAGTCCACATACAGCTTGGAGACCTTTATGGGTACGGTATGAAAGATGACATCCAAGACGTCTCCACGGATTGCAAGGAGCTTTTCCGAGAGCAATTTGTGGTGTAGCCTGCCGTGTTGGTTGATATAAGGCGGACTATCGCCGATCGCCATGCGCAGAATTTCTAGCCGCAGCTCGCAGGGGAGCTTTTGGAAATTGAACGTTGGGCCCTCTTCAAGAGGCATGGCAGCCTGGACAGCGCCAGCAGCCTTGCCATCCAGCTTAGGGGTGATTTTCTGCCCGTGGCATAGTTGTCGGGGTTTTGAAAGGATGCTTCCCATGTTCGCAGAGTGACGCGAGGTGAGAGAAGGCAAGCGTAATGGTGCTGTCAAGATGCAAGGAACAAGAGTCTGAGGCTTGGTACAAGATTTTCGCTGTACCAGAGATTGAGACATGGACACTTGGTCACTGCTACTCGACGTTCCCACTGGAGCCAGAGGCGGTAACTTACACGCTACCTCAGACCTTGACATCAGCATCGACAACGAACCAGCAAGATAATAGGGAGATCGAACATGCGAAGGCCAGACTCGAACGAGCCTTTCGGCTGGCGATGAGTGAGTTTACACTCTCACCACGACGTCTGCAACGTTGCCCGAATCTGTGGTATGGCATCGGATCAGCTGGCTTTGGAAGTAAGAACTCAAGTTGGAGTATACCTTCACTTACGGCTGACCTCCGCCAAATGCGCACGCAATGTATTTTGTGCTTGCTTGCTTCGGCACAGTATGCTTCCGCAGCAGCTGCACTTTTGCATTATCCTGCACGTCAATGTCATCATACCTCCTACACGGCTGCGAATATGCGTGCCAAGGACTATGGTTTCGACGGACTGAGCAGCGCATCCTTCGCCGAAGGGCTCATGCTGCCAAGGCAATCCTTCGGCCAACGACAAAAGTTAACATCGTCCTCTCTCCTTCATTGATTCGGGGCCGTTCAAGAACTTCTGCTAGACAAGACACTGCCGGAAAATCACTTCCTTCGTCACCACCCGTGTCGCATCGTCGATTCCGCAGAACCTTTTGCTTTTACACAATTGCCAAGCATACAGCGGCTTCATGAGGACCAATTTGTTAATGATCCGACCAAAGTGCCAAAATTCTCATCTCTAGCGCTCCATCGTGCTTCTAAGGCAGTCTTGTGTATGCTGTTGGAATGCATATCGGGAGACTCGATGTGATAGGACGACGAACTGTATCAGATTCTTGGCTGATGTTGTACAGCAGCAGCACTCCCGAAAGCGTCTACAGATGGCAACAACGTTTTCTTCATTCAAGGCGCAATAGCATAATGCAGTCAGCCGTGGAGCAGCTTTTCCAATGAACCTGCCTATTCCAGGCTCAAAAATCAGAGGGTGCTAGTCTACCAAAAGGACCATCGTGGTGAGGCAGCATCCTACTGCTGGCGAAGACTGCTGATCGCGGGCAACGAAGCACGCCCAGGAACAGCATTTCGGCTAAAATATGTCCACTCAAGCACTTCGCGACCATGTGGTACTGCCATGAGAATGGATCGTCCACCACGTGCGGATATGCGGCAGCTCTTGTGACGGGCAATGTTGCTGGCCGCTTGGTATCGCACATCACTTCTACGTTCGTATCGATTCCGCTGCTTTCATGACCACTGCCTGCGCTTATGATCGATGCTCGGGCATTGGCAGTCAATGTGACTCTGCATGTCGCGGCTCGATCGCCCTCAAACGCTTTAGTAGCTTCGCAAAGGAGAGCTTTTCGGGCATAGGTTCGCGGGGATACTCATCGAGAGCTGTCAATGACACGGAAGAATCAACATTGCCAATGTCTTGGGTCACAATGGATCAGCGACGAGGTCGTCACAGCAGTGACGATGTCGATACCATTTGACTACGTGATGAGGGAATTGGGCAATATAAAAGTCTTGCAGAAAGACGGTATTCCGATGAAACAGCAGAGCAGCAACTCCTCAATCATCAGACAGATCTCGCAGCCAACCGAAATCCGCCATCATGGTTTCCACAACTTTCAATACCCTCTTAGTCGCCTCCGCAGCAGCCGCCGCGGCATCTCCTTTGCAACGCCGTCAAGATGGCGTCTTCCAATGCGTCGGAACATTTGGTCCAAACTACGGAGACTGTAAGCAGGGCCTAGCAAGATTGCAGCAATACAAAGGGTTTCTCGCTCACATACCACGTTACCGGGTGACATTTTGGTCAACCGTCTGCTCATTACCGACATCGATCAGCCTTTGGAACCCAACACTTGCCTGCCATTCGCTGAGGGCAACTGCCTGATCTCGCACTGCAATTTCGACGCGAACACCCAGAATGCCAACTACTTCACGATTGGTCTCGGAGCCAACTTCGTCAAGCAGAACTGCGAGCCGCTCAACTCCGGCGGATTCAGAGACCTAGGTTCCCAGCGTACTGAAGTCAAAGAAAATCCAGACTTTGTGCCAGAGCCAGTCGCGGCTACAGAGATCACCAATAGCTCCATCGTGCCCGTACCAAGGGCAGTGGCCAAGAGGCAGCAGCCGAACGTAAGCCTCATATGACTCCAAGACCATGATTTCTATTCAGCTTCACTGACAGCGCTTCAAGGATGACGGCATCGAAGTCACCCGCACAGGCCGCAGCGTCCAACGCCCCGGCTTCGACTTCGCAGTCTCTCCCCGCTACCCAGCCGGCAGCACCAGCACAGCCGAAGTCAGCGAAAGCCAGACCGTAGGTTTTGACGCCGGAACCGAGATCTCTGCCGGTTTCGAAGGCGTGCTCTCCGCTTCTGTCAGTTTCTCCGTCAACTTTGAGAGCACAACAACCAATACCCAGAGCGTCACCATTCCAATCAACTGCAGCCCGGGTCAAGAGGGACAGATCTGGTGGAGCCCACTGTACGATCTGATCGAGGGTAATGCTTTGCCTTCGGGAGACTTTGTGCAGGCTTGGTTCCCTGTGAATGATGGCATTTCGGCTGGCAATTATGCTATTCGATGCTTTGGCTAAGGGTTGACTCTGGAAGAGTGGAACTATGATCTGGGAGGGTGTCTGGACATACAGTGGCTCTCTGTCGTGCTTGGTTTTGGAGAAATGATGCTTGTCGATCTAGCTCTGTTACTCAAGAAATGAAATTTCGTAGGCTGTCTTTGCACTCGATGGCTTTGAAGTAGTGTGAATCATCGGAGAAACTGCTTGAGATGCCAATTCAGCTCCGTCGGTCCGTCAATCTCATTTTCCACGGCATATCTACACTCATTGCGCTGAAATATCTCGGAATTTGGAGATGCTGTTCAATCCAATCTCCCAGCTCCGTTATCCAACGCGCCAAATATTGGACTGCATCTTCATATTTATTGGCTTGGGAGCATTCAATGATGCAGAGATACAGCATCAAATAGAAATCTAGCTCCGTCTCCTCATCCCTCGATTTCCCGTAACGTCTTTACATCCATGGGCTCGGAAGCGTGCTGGAATTCAGAGATACAGCTCGAACCCATCCCTCAACTCACTCCGCCTCTCGTTCAATTTTCCACCCCATATTTCCACCAGTTGGCGTCGAATCAATTTGAGTTCTCGAGATACGGCTCAAATACTTGCCACAACTCCATTCCCCGAGCCGATTCATTCTCTACAGCATCTTGACGTTGAGTGGCTTGGAGTGTTTATGAGGCCTGGAGATACGGCCGAGATGAATGTCACAGCTCTGCTTTTCAAATTGGTCAGTCTTTCGCACCAGCTTGAGACTTGTTGACTTGGAGCGATTTCGAGAACCGGAGATATGGTTATGGATGATTGTACTGACTCTGTTTCAAAGACGTATATACCATACGCAGCGTCGATACATTCGATGGCTTAGAAGGACAGCAAGATCAGGAGCTTTGGCTTGATGCGAACACTAGCCCCCTGAATCATAGATCTGTTGGTCCAGCGCCGTGTTGATATTCGGTGGCTCGAACTCAGATCAGGAAACGGAAGCAGACCTGAAGACCACGCTGAGCTCTGTCAGTTGGAGCCTACAAGGTACAGCATGATGTTTGCCTGCGTGGGCTCGGGAGTGAAATTGAGAATTGGAGACAGTCATTGAGAAGTACATTTCATTCATTCATTTCGCCAAGCAAGCTACTTTCACGACACTTTTCTGCGCTATCAAATGTCACCGCTCAAAAGGGAAAATCGTCCTTCTGCTTGATGGTCCTCTTACGCTTGACCGGGCGATCTTCCTCCGTTGGCTCAGCCGTGAGCTTCTTCGGCGGAACGCTGCGGCGAGTTGCCCTCGGGGCATCGACGTCGATGGTCTCGTCGATGAGGTCGGCGTCGGCCTTGCGCTTCTTGGACTTAGTTGGGGCCGCGACAGCACCAAAGACCGCACGAGCCTGGGTGTTGTCGTTTTGCTCGATTTTGCGGCGTCTCGTCGAGCGTCGAGCTGGCTCGGCTGGCTCCTCTTCTTCGGCGATGGTGGCCAACTCATTGCCGCGGGGGAGGAGAGGATTGTCGTCGGCGGTTTCTACAACTTCTACCCAGCCTCTGCCGCGACGCGTCACGCGCTTCTCGAACTCTGGGTCTTCGGCCGGCTTGGGAGTAGCTGAGTCTCTCAGACTCTGCTTCTGTGATTCGGTGGCCTTGGCTGCGACTCTCTTGCGGCTGGCAGTCTTGGGCTTCGAGGCTCTCTTGCGCTTCGTGACCTTGGGTGCTTGTGCCTCCTTCTCGCCTGGCTCGAATGGACCGACACTTGGCAACAGTCGCTTCAGGTCATGAAGACGCTTCATAAGCGCTCTGTCCTCTTCCTTGGTGCGAACTTCGGGTGGCACGCCACGGACTGGCTCAACGGGACTGTCTGACCGACGTGATATGCGGTCTTGGACCCATGCATTCGTTGAGGATTTCTTCGAACCTCCAGCGGCTTGCGTAAAGTGTGATACCTTGGGTGAGTCGGATTTGGTGTCGGCGTCGACGGCGGAGTTTGGCTTGCCTCGTGCTTTCTTTGGCTGGCCCTCTACAGTCGTCGCGGAAGAGATCGAAGCAGCTTTGAGCAAGGCGTCACGGGCATTGTCCATGGACAGATTCGATGCTGTGGTGGCCTCAGATGCGGTCTTGTGCAGCGCGGCTGTCGTCTCTTGAACCTCAGCCAAGACCTTCTCCTTCTCCTCCTTGAGCGCTACGAGAGCATCTTCGATCATCTCCAAGTTCTCCTTCACCTTCTCGCGGTCATCTCCTGCGTTTCTGGCCTCCTGTAGCAGCTTCTTAATCTGTTCTTGAACCATCTGTACGCACTGCTCGTCCAGCTGCTTGCCAAGGGCGGTGAGGCTGTTTCGATATTGATCAATCTCCTCCTCGACTCGCTTGACCCTCTTCAGCATGTCAACTTCGCGGTTGAACTCATCCTTCTTCTTTGCAGCGGCATCTGCAGTATCTCTGTCAACGGCATCAAGCTTGGTGATGATGGCCTCGAGGCGACCCTTAACGTCCTCGAATTGCTCAGAGACGTCTTTGCGGACTTGCTGAATGGCTTCGTCGGCGGCGGTGGCGTTCTTCTTGCTGCTCTCTTCGGTGTAGGCATGGAGTTGTTGCGAAAGGGCTGTCACTTCGGCCTCTCTGTCTCGATCCGCGGTGGCTTGGGCTTCGAGGCGGCCGATAGCTGCTTCGAGTTGAGCCAGGCGATCGGAGATGTGACCATGCTCACGCTTGATTTGGTAGGCCCACAAAAGGGAGGTTGGTTCAGACGGAGGCTGCATCTTTGGTGCCATTGTGAAGGTCTTGGAGAACGGGTAGTGCGTGCAAGAACTGGTAGCGTCGAAAGTCTTGAAGAACGGAAAGTGGGTGGATGAACTGCCGACCTCGAAAGTCTTCTAGAACAGGAAGTGCGTGGAAGGACTGGTAACGTCGAAGGACTTGTGTACGTGTGTGCTGTGTGCGGTGATCGTGTGCGTAAGGAGACCGGCTCCGTCGTGCAGTGTGTGTGATCGTGATGAGTTCGGTGGGTTCGTGAGGTGTGCTGTTGTTTCGTGAGGAGTCGAACTTCTGGTGCAGTGCGTCAGTCGAATGTGGTTCGAAAGTGTGAAGGCGTCGAACCATGAAGGAGTTTTATATTTGATGGCAGAAGCTGCTGTATTGTCGAGTTGCCATTGTCAGTGTGTATTGTCGCGTTCTATTCTCGTCCTGTATTCTTGTTGTGTATTGTCGGCATTGGATTGTCGTTTCGTATTGTCGGAAATGTCGGTGGCTGGAGAAGTGAAGTCGGAAGAGTGCCAAGAACTGAACGTGCATTGAAAAGGAAGGAACGACCACAACGCGCATCAAAGAGGAAGGCGCCAAGGAGATGTACTTTTTTTGCTGTTCATACGCAGCTCTATCCTACGCACGAGATCGCAATTCAGCCTGAGCAGAAACAGCTTCAACGTAAGCAGTACACCGTGATCCGTTCTAAGAAACATTCGCGCAAGTAATTTTGACCGCAAAGCATCATCGCAAACTCCTTCCCGATGACCATGATGCATTTCTTCATCCCTCGCCATTAGCGCTTTCAGTGAGCAATCGTGATAAGGGCGCCCTGTCTGCGCACAAGCGGCGGATGCTGTCCAGGTATCGTGTGTGTAGTGGGTGCCTCCGCGGCTCGACAAATGAGGGTCCGAAGACCAGCTTGGTCAGGACTCAGTCGAACGTCAAAGGCGTGGGTGTGTGAGATATTGGTGTTGCACTTAAATGAGATCTGCGAGTATTGTCAGCGACCAGTCCAGTAGCAAAATGCGTGGAATCAAAACATACCGGCCACGTTCATTGGCATCTCCTCGATTTGAGTGCTGTAGAACTGCTCGATTTCACGCATCATGCGCACATCGTCGGCAGTGACGAAGTTGATGGCAACACCCTTACGACCGAAACGACCACCACGGCCGATACGGTGGATGTAGTTCTCGCGGTTGGCTGGCAAGTCGTAGTTGATGACCAGGGAGACCTGCTGCACATCGATACCACGAGCGAGCAAGTCGGTGGCGATCAGGACACGAGAAGAACCAGAGCGGAACTCCTTCATGATCACGTCACGCTGGGTCTGGTCCATGTCTCCGTGCATGGCAGAGACGGTGAAGTCACGGGCAGTGAGCTTGTCGGTGAGCCAGTCGACCTTTCTACGGGTGTTGCAGAAGATGACGGCCTGGGTGATGGTGACAGTCTCGTAGAGATCGGAGAGGGTGTCGAGCTTCCAGTCCTCCTTCTCGACGGCGATGTAGAACTGCTTGATACCTTCGAGAGTAAGTTCGTCCTTCTTGACGAGGATACGGACTGGGTCGCGCATGAACTTGGTGGTGACCTCAAGAACGTCCTGTGGCATGGTAGCGGACAGGAGGACGACCTGGGTGGACTGTGGGAGGAGCTGGAAGATGTCGTAAATCTGCTCGGTGAAACCGCGAGACAACATCTCGTCGGCCTCGTCGAGCACGAACATCTTCATGCTGTCGGTGCGCAGGACACGGCGCTGGATCATGTCGTGAACACGGCCTGGAGTTCCGACCACGACCTGTGGGCCGTCCTGGAGTGCCTTCATGTCATCTCTTACGGAGGTACCACCGATGCAAGCGTGGCACTCGATGTTCATGAAATCGCCGATGGCGACCACGACCTTCTGGATCTGCTGAGCCAACTCACGGGTTGGGGCGAGGATCAAAGCCTGGCATGCCTTGATGTTGGGGTCGATCTTCTGGAGAACGGAGATGGAGAAAGTGGCAGTCTTTCCGGTACCGGACTGGGCTTGAGCGATAACGTCGTTACCTGCATCGAGTCAGTCGAGTTTCGCGCTCGAGGGATCGTCAGTAGATACACACCCTTGATGACCGGCATGATAGCGCGCTGCTGGATAGCAGAAGGGCGCTCGAAACCGTAAGCGTAGACTCCACGGAGGAGCTCGCTCTTGAGGTTCATAGCATCGAAGCTGTCGGTGGTCTCGTCATAGTTGGACTCGATCTGACCTATAGCGCGTCAACTGTTATGGTGGGTTTCTTTGTGGAAGTGTATCATGCGATTGTCCTGTCGCCCGCCCGCACAAGCTGCCCCCCCGCCGCCTCGAAATTTTTCTGACCGTCTGCCGCCGCCCGCCAGGTGATATGCGCCAGTCGCGCGCGCGCCTTGTGTGACTTACCAGCATCGATATCCTCAAGTCCCTTGTCAGCCATGATTATGGATCAGGAACGAAAGCTCACTGCGCTGGGCAAGTGAGCTGAAAAAGTTCGGTGAGTGGGTGGGCGCGGGGATCCTCGTGGATGCCGGCGCGGTGTCGCTGAGGGTGTGCTGTGAAAACTAGATACCTGACTGTCGGTAGGGACAGTCGTCTGGTTCTAGTTGTGTGGGTATGTGCTTTGTGGTGTTGGTGTGGTTTGGAATTGGCAAGAGACAAATTCGCAGCGGAGGGCTTTCAAGTATCAAAAATGATGAGCGCACAGCGGTTCTTGCCGACTGCCGCCGCCACTTTTCAAAACTTTATTATTCCGGCAGAAATTTGGTCGCTCAGGCTACGCTCCGCCCTCTGACTGCACGCATCGCCTCCCACACTACTGAGCCTGCCTTTCCCCACGAAGCCAATCGGAATGGCCGTATCGCAGCAACTCGACAGCGGCTACCACAGTCCGGCCTTTGACTCATCGCAGCCACCGGTCAAGAAAAGAAAGCAGCACGACGGCGATAGTGAGGATGCTACTTTTGTCCGACGACATCCACTCGGCGTGCGGCCAAGCGGCAACGCACTCACTTCCAGCGTCAACTTGAAACAGTCGGCGGGGCATTTTGCACGGCTGCCAGATGAATTGATCGCAGCATTGCTTGAGATCCTGCTGCCCCAGGATCTCCTTCGTCTTGGTGGCACATGTAGAGCATTGCACGCCTTCACCAGGAATGAAGAGTTGTGGCGATCGCTATTTGTGGAGTAAGTTGTAGAGTCACCCGTAGACTCAGCGCATGCTGAGCAGCATCGGTAGGTCAGCGCCCAAGATTTTTTCTTGGAAAGGCACGTGGAGGTCGACATACCTGTCACAGGATGCAAGCAGGGAACCGAAAGTTGATTGCTCGCATCTCTTTTCCGACGTTCTTCATCGCCCGTTCTTTTGTGCCAATGTCCCACTGCATCCCTACGCTAAGAACATTCCCAAGCAAAATAAAATATCGCGACTCTCCGATCTATCTCACGAAGAGTTTGCAGAGAAGTGGTATGATCGGCCATTCATTCTGACATGGCCGGTCAAGCAGTGGCCCGTCTACAAGACCTGGTCGACAGACAGACTTGTCGAGAAGTACGCCGATGTGCCCTTCCGAGCCGAAGCTGTGGACTGGCCTCTGAAGACATATGTTGAGTACATGAACGACAGTCGGGACGAATCGCCTCTATACCTTTTCGATCGCGCATTTGCAGAGAAGATGCAGATTAAAGTCACGAGCGAGCCATCACCAGATGCGGATTACTGGGAGCCAGCCTGTTTTGGACCTGACCTGTTCCATCTGCTTGGCGAGCAAAGACCTGACCATCGATGGCTCATAGTCGGGCCAGACAGGAGCGGAAGCACTTTCCACAAAGACCCCAATGCCACGAGTGCATGGAATGCTGTACTAAAAGGCTCCAAGTACTGGATCATGTTCCCGTCATCCCCTTCCATACCTCCACCTCCGGGCGTCTTCGTCAGCGAGGATCAGAGTGAAGTCACATCTCCCCTCAGCATTGCGGAATGGCTTCTCGGATTCCACGCCGAAGCACGCAGGACACCCGGCTGCAAAGAAGGCATCTGCGGAGAAGGAGAGGTGCTCTATGTGCCGTCTGGCTGGTATCACCTCGTCCTCAACCTCGAAGCGAGCATTGCCATTACACAGAACTTAGTACCGAGAAGCAGACTTGGAGCTGTGCTACACTTTTTGAATGGGCCCAAGTGCAATATCAGCGGTTTCAGCGACGAGGTGGAGGATCCATATACATTGTTCGTGGACCGGCTGCGAGAGCACGATCCGCAACTGCTTGAGGAAGGATTGAAAGAGATGGAGCGACTCAGCAAAATTGGCAAGGGCTGGGAGGAGCTTACCAAAGGTGCAAAGGAGGCCGACGGCGAAGAAAGCGGTTTCTCTTTCGGCTTCGGAGGTGACGATGACGAGGAAGTCCCATAGATCTTCTTGCACAATGAAGTCCTTGCCCAGCTCATCTGCTCACTTCCCTTCAAGCGTCTCAAAATTGTCTCGAATTTCAGGGCTGCTGTATGCCCTCCATCTAATACGTCGGCGTAAACTCATACTCTGACTCACGATCCCTCACCTCCACTCGAATCTTCGCCTGCTCCACCTCCTTCCCATCAACAATCAACCCCGCCTCCATCACATCCCCCGTAACCACAGGCCCCACACCCTTCGGCGTCCCCGTGAGCACAATATCTCCCTCCTCCAACGTCATCACCTTACTAATATCCGCCAGCTGCCTCCCAATCCTGAACAACATCAACTCGGTATTATCATTCTGTTTCGTCTCCCCATTAACCTTCAAGTACAATTCCACATTATGCGGATCCTTGATATCCTCTTTCCGCACAGGCCCTGCAATTGGCAAAAAGGTATCGAAGCCTTTGGCAATTGACCAGGGAAGGCCGCGTTTCTTCGCCTCTTCTTGCACGTTTCGACCTGTCATGTCGATGCCTGTGATGTAGGATCCAATGGCATCTTTCCAGCCCGCTTCATCATTTTCGGAGAGGTCTTTGACAGTTTTGCCGATGACGATTCCGAGCTCGATTTCGAAGTGGAGGGTTACGCCCTTGGGGCGGAGGATGGGGCCTTCGTCGGGGAGGAGGATCGATGAGGGGGGCTTGAGGAAGAAGAAGGGTTGTTTGGGCCGTTGGTTGTTGAGTTCTGTTACGTGGTCGGCGTAGTTGCGTCCAATGCAGACAACCTGGTTTGGGAGAGACGGTCAGCGATTGAAGTCTTCGTTGAGAGGTGATTGAAGCCTCACCTTGCGGCAGTTCTTCTTGATCTCTTGTAAGCTCGTCATCTTGGATGATGTGCTTGCGAATGATCGTCTCTGAGCTGATGTGGTGAAAAACTCAATGCCTGGTATAGTTCTTCGCGAAGCCTGTAACGTATTTCTACTTGGCCTACTTTCGGCCACCAAGCCCGTTGCGCAATATGTCCGCCGGCCAGCAGCGCGCACTGGAGCTCTGTAAGCTGCTGAAGTACATTTCGGCAGTTGACTAGCCGCGAGCTTTCGTGCGAGCGGCGGAGACATGTCTATTCACCCGGCCTTGTTGGTTAAACCTGTCGTTGGTGTGGAGAATTGGCAGATTGTGGAAGAGGAGTCGCCAGTGCTTTTATATGTCGCAATGGCAGATCGGACGCGACAGGCAGTGCGCGACTTGCACAGGACCGTGAACGTTTCACGAGCTTAGGATGCTCTACTCCGACGACATCGGAGATAAACTCTACGTCTGCCAAGACGCGGTCGCCGAACTGCGGCTTCGTCTCGTCGGCCCTCTGCTCCTGAACATTCAACCATCTTCAAGCGAGGCAAGAGACACCCTCAATTGACGACCTATCTTCGCAGACATTGCCTCCACAGCTCTGTGTGATACGATCAAGAGGCCAGCTTGCAAACATTCAAGCATAGCTGGATGTACACGGAAACCTGAACATGTGAACCACTCTGGATCGCGCAGCGGAAGTCGCGTGTACTATGGTCCATGTGTTCCGCCTGCACTGTGCTGGAACTTGCAGCTTCTGGATGGCACCGAAGTTGAAAGCAAGCAACATTTCACGAGCCGAAGCTTTGAAGAGAGGGAATGCGGCAGAGGACAATACCAATGCACTTGTCACCAAAGGACGTTTCGTGTGAGACTCTTACTTGAGGCTCAGGTAAGACTATCAGATGCGCGCAGAACGCTGAATGTAACATGCCCATCCCAAATGCCATTGCAACGGCTAGTCTGCGACTCTCTGCACTTGTCTTTGTCAACAGCCGGGTCCTACTTAATCCATCTGACGAAGATGCGACAAAAGCTCATGTCTTGACTGGGCCTGCATGCAACAAAGGTACCAAGTGACAATGAACGAGCCTTGCAGGCGACCAAGCAGGACACAGAACTAGCGCGCGCTGCAAGAGCTTCCTTTGCTGGAGACCTGATCGCAAGGGACTTCCGAAGCGCCCTCTTACGCACAGCATGACACTCACGAGAGACACATTCTCGTTCCAAGGACGAGGCGGAGTTCTGCCTTGTTGTTAGCTCTTCTCCTAATTCCTGCTTGCACCGGCAAGAACTGACTTTGAGAGAGCTTCATCAACCACAGCTAGCAAGGGTATTTGTCGCGGCATTGCGAGTCTCCGGTCTTATTGCAGGAGATGTTCTAACACAGCCGCCGGACTCAAACGCTCACCCTGCATATTGCGCCCAATATAACTCGAAGATTGCGCAAACAATTCAACACATGTCTTGATCACAACCGCGCGAGCTGTTTCAGAAGATGTAATGCTGCTGGCGCAGTAGCTTGACAGCTGAAAGCCTTGGCGATTGGAGGCGTCACAAATGCCTGATAGAGCAGTGATGTGCAGCCGACCATGGTACGTCTGAGATTAGGTTGCGGCGTAAAGACCTTTCTGCGAACGCCCATTGACTATTGCGTTCACGAGAGTTCCCGCTGCCCCTCTACCGAACTTGATCAAATGGCGCAACCTAATGACTTGAGCTTCTGGTTAACACTTCAAAGACTTGGTGAGCGAGTGGAGCGGAGAGCGAACCTTCAGAAACAGCGCTGCAGTGTGCATGCAGCACCATGTTGCTCCTCTTTCGACCTTTCGACCCCTCGGCGTCACGACGCAGAAACTCAGATCACTGAGAGGCTCCACTGCTGACATCTTGACATATATCATGCCGCTTTGCCGTGGCTGGCGTTTCCAGACGCATCCATCGATTAGACCTTTCTCCCTTGAGCAAAACATTTCGGCACGCCAGAGAACCGTGCCAAGCACAAAGTAGAGATGCAAGACGTCTTTCCGCCCTGTCCAGGCCCAGCTCCTACCAAGCCATTGCCACCATTACCATCTCAGTAGGGCTGCACTTCAGCTGCTGAGCAGATAAAAGAGAGCATCATGTCTGCCATGATCGACAGTCCACAACCTATATCGCCATCCATCAGGATTCCCAGGATTGCAAACGTATCGCCAAAAATGACTGAACCGCTGTTGTGTCGGGAGTTTCCTCCAGGGAAGCAACGCTCAGGGAGACCGCGTCACTCGAAAGCGAAGACCGATGGAGTACGAATCTCATGCATGGATCAGCCATCGACGCTTCTCAATCTTCCAGGAGATATACGTAATATAATATGGGATCACGTTTTCAAGCGCGCAGATGGATTGCATGTTGCCTTGAGCGTCGACCGGAAACGCCGACATGATTACCGGAGCATTTTCGCCCTGAGCATGACATGCCGGCACCTGTACAACGAAACTCGAGGTCTTCCGCTGTGGCTCAACGTAGTCCATCTCCATGTTCCGGTATTACAGGACCTGAGTGTTCTTTGCAGCCACCGATATCAGGACTCGGCCCCTGCGATGCAGCCTATGGCGAGCAGACGAATCATCGAAGCACCTTTCTACGGCGATCTGGCGGCCAAGCATGTCGCTTTACGCAACAAAGCGCAAGAATATGTCACATTGGCAATGCGGCTGCCGCACGTGGATATGATTACTACGCGTTTGTGGACGATGCTCAGCAAGCCGCACATCCTCCGGAGTCTGCGAAAAGTCCACGTTCATCTGGGCTTTCAAACCAATAACGTCTTCCTTGAGCGCTTCTACACTGCATGGGAAGAGATTCTGCCATATCTACTATTGCTACGGAACTACACGGAACTGCGCGTGTCCTTTCAATTGAGGTTGAGCCGGAGACTGGTGGTCCACTATGACTTCAGGACTGATGATGCAGAGATGATGTTGTCGGACGTGGACCGTTGTGTCGTGATGGAAGGAGACCTGACTTTGCCTGAGATGGCCAGCGTGAACGCTATCAAATGGCGGATTTGGCGCGGTCTATTCGATATGACGAAGCCACGGACTCATCTGCCTCGACCACACGTGAAAAAGTCGTCGGCCACTGTACCTTGTTGGACGGGTAGGGAAGCGGTCAAATTGGACGCTCTTCGAAATCGTAGTACTTAGCCGTAGTCATATTAGATGAGCAACTTCACAACTCAATGCCAATGTGACAGCACCAATTGCTTTGCTGTAGCGTCAAGACCAAAGAGGAAGGAGTTCTTCCAGTGGGGCCATATCGTGCGCCAAGCCAATTGGCTTGCAAGGGTGATGCTAGTCGTGTTTTGATCTGCACGGCATCTGCAACTAGGGCCGATGTCTCCGCTTTGACATCGATTTGACATCGCCCAAACACAACCTTCGAGCCGCACAACACTCGCAGCACACGGCGACACACCGCACGACCTCAACGTGGCAGCGGCGTGCAAACGATGGTACTGCGCCTTTGATATGGCCATCCGCCGGCAGCTCCGCGCCCTTCATCAACACTGAGCCCACGTTCCTCCATCGACACCGCTTGTTCACGCGACAACGGCCCAACCGAAACGGCGGCCATGGACCTCTCACCGCCTGCAGCGCTCGCGAAGCCTCAGCACTACGGCACGTCTGCCCGCAATAGCGTGCATACCAATTACTTCCAACCACCTAAGTCGCCAGTCTCTGCAGCAGCCACCCCTGCTACTGCGACTGGGCAGAACTATTTCTCCACGAGTGTCCGCAAGAGACAACGACCAGACTCGGCGCATTCACGAGACGGACAACACACGCAAGGCACACCTTGGGCAGAGACACCAGCCTGGGCACAGTCTCCAGGTGACAGGATATTCGGCAGCGGCTACAGCCAGAACTCAGACCTCGTCAACGAGCGATACCGCCTAGCAGACGGCTTCGATACTCCTGGACTCGAGTCAAGTTCACGCCTTGAGCAGCTCACAGTACCCGAGGATGAATTTCGAAGACGACTCCGAGGCGAAGACGATGACATGGATTTCGCTGTGCGCTCTGGCTGTCCTGCACCTCTCTCTGGACCCCTCGCACGTGAGAGAAATGGTGTTGCTCGTGTGAGACCTGCATCTGACGACCGTTCACAGACGACATGGACGAGCCTTGCGATTAACTTCATTGGCAAGGCGTTCACTTTTGGGAGCACGGTAGTCCGTGGCTTCTACGCTGGAGGTGGCAAGGGCTATGACATGCAGAACTCGGCTCTTGTGGGGTCGGACTTGCTGCAGCATACACAAGAAGCCGTAGGCACGCCCATTCCCGGCTCATGGCATGACGCAGAAGCCGACTTCTTGGGCGATTTCGAGCAAGACAGTCCCTACTTCAATCATGGGTCGCCAAGTCGGCCTGCAGTAAAGCGACGACAAACGGACCGAGAGACCTGGGTCCTCGTTCCATCCGATCTAGAAGGCAGACCACCAAGTCCGAAGCGTAAGATCTCTGGCAATGGCATACCGCGAAGCAATCTCGCAGCTGCGAAGCCGTCTGCATCACGCGCTTCAAGCCGACGAAGTCTTGCGCCTGTGTCCCGGAGAACGACTTCGTACTATCAGACATACGCGGCCCCAGTGCAGGCCTCGACACCAACCCAAGCACAGAACAGACGCGCCTCGACCGCTCTGACCCGCTCACCTCAAAGTCGCCCTGCCTCCGCCGTTGGTATCACTCTTGTGAGTCCCGAGGCAGAACGCTTCGCTCGGCGACAAGCGAAACAGGACAAGGCGATGACGAGCATGAGCAATCGGATACAGGAAATGATGCGACAGGCGCAAGAAGCACTTGGCACGAAGTACGCTGTCGAAGGTAGCAACGACGCCATGGACGCAGAAGACGACGGGTTTATTGATGACGAGTGAAGACAAGGCAATGAGATGATAACGACATTTTATTGTGTACGACCACAGCATTGGAGGCCTACAGGACACCAAGAAATACGCGCATGGGGAGCGAAATGAACTAGCTAGCAGACTGATGATACCCACTTTTTCGCGCTTTGGGGGATAAGAATGTCTATACGAGTAACACAGGCTTGAAAGTCTTTAACTGCCAAAATTGTCATACAACTTTGGTCTTTCATGTGACTCCGGTTCTCATGCTTTCCCATCATCATGAGCCCACGCCTCAATCTCCACTCTCATTCCCTCTAACGCCAACTTCTCAACCCCAATTCCAGTTAACAATGGCGCATGCTTAGGAAACCACTCCTTCAAAGCCGCACCGCAAGGCTCCATCGCCCCTTCCGTCAAAGGTGCAAAATAAATGTTCAATTTGTAAACTTGTTCGATTCCCGACCCTGTATACCGCGTGTACAGTCAGCTTTGAATCTCACACTCACACAACACGCTTCCAAAGAGAACGAGAATGACTAGACTCTTCGATTGTACAGCAGGAGCAATTACGTACCGCCAGCTTCTTTCACTGCCATATCAACATTCCGAAACGCCTGATCGATTTCCTCCCGATGATCTGTTGGAATTTTACCAGTTTCTCGGTTGAGACCTGGTTGTCCTGAGACGAGGATTTGATTGTGTGGAAGACGGACAGATTGGGAGTAGTGGAAATTTTTGGCGTAGGAGAAGTATTGGAGGTGAGACATATTTGTCGTTGTCCTGTTGATTGATTGCTGAGTTGTTGGGTTTTCGATGGATAGAGAATCGGTCGATGAGCAAGGTTTTATATATTGATTTTGGAATAGGAAGTACATTTGTAAGACAACAGTGGCATGGAATGGTTTGTAATCTTTTCCTGCGCAATATGGGTTTGTTGATGATAGCCCTAAGGAGCTTGAGCAGATGGATGAGCTTGGCGTATGAGCTGATCCTTCCAAGATGCCAAGCATATCTATATCTATCTATGAGCAGCATTGGCGAGTGCATGTGGCGAGGTTTGTTCTCGATATCTATCCTACCGACCAGCAACTGCTTGCAATTGGAATGCGAACGAGACCTCCTTGCACTTGACCTCATGCTCTGGCAGTATTGCAGGACCACATGCCCCACTGCCCACTCCAGCAGTTGCAACGTCGAGTCGCAGAAGTAAAGCGTCCTCTTCCACCAGCTCATGTGGATGTCTCGCAGCATCCAGTGCCTGCGGAGAGTGATATCCAGCGGCCCATGCAAATTTGCCATTACCATCAAGTCTCGTGGCTCGCAAGCCAAGACCGTTCTCGTCCGTGAACTTGACGCTTCTGGCGCCCATTCTGTTGCCATTCTCTTGCGGCACTTCATAGTTCGTAGCCAAGTCTTTGACTTGTGAGGTGTATAGGCCCATGCGCTGAGCAGCCTGCTTGTCTGGATACGACTCTCCCGGTCCCAAACCTAGATATTCGGCTGCAGCGAGAGCCTTGTTGAGACGGAGGTCGAGACCAATACGAGGAAGAGTACTCGGCACCTTGCCGCTCGGTGTGAGTGTGGCTTCCACCGTCAGTCCGTCAGCAGCGCTGATGCGATACCTCATATTTGCAGTGTAGCCCCAGTCCAGGATCGGCGGTGATAGGAAGACCGTGGAGGTGACTTCAACTTCACTTGGTGATTTGCGATCGATGCTGCTAGTGCGAAGTTGAGAGGTGAGCATGTCTAAGCCATAGCGTTTCCAGTCAAGATCGTCTTTCGGCCTGTCATTGTCGGTGGGCGCACGGTAGAATCCAGGTGTAAGGAGACTTGTGCGCATGGTGTCTGGAGCCAAAAGCTCCTGTCCACCTGAAGTCCATGAGGATATCATTCCAGAAGATCTGTCGAAGATGATCTTGAAGTCGCTGTTGAACACTGTCCATGCGACTTGCGATGTGCTGATGCGCACATCATTGGCTGGGGTGAGCGAGGCAGCGATCTTGCTGTCGCTACTGGTTGCAGTCTCCCCTGCTACAGAGCTTGACTGGTGCTGGAACCATGCGATTTCGTATCCTGCGTCTGCCCACGACGTAGCATACCACTGTCGGAAGCTGATTGTAAGTAATGAATCAGGCAGTTTTGATGTGAGTGCCACTCGTTCCGGCAGAATCTCGACTGCCTCTCCCGGCTTGATGTCTGGCAAATCGACAGTTCCGGAGGCGAGTAGTTTCGACCTATCCTGAGAGTTAGCGCGTTGGAAACCTGGTCTGAATACATTCACTGACCCTTCGGAGAACGATTCTACCTTGAAGACCGCCGTGACATGGTTCAGCCCAACGAAGTCGTATAGATTGGTGACAAGTACCTGCCCCTCCTTGAGCTCGGCCTTGATCGGTGCTATGACCTTTTTGTACTCAATCAATCCAGGGGTTGGAGAATGGTCGCTGAAGCATAGGCCGTCCATGACAAAAGTCGAGTCATTTGGGATATCTCCGAAATCACCGCCGTATCCGTAGAAAGCCTTACCATCTGGAGTCTTTGTGAGCAGACCATGGTTAGCCCACTCCCAGATGAAGCCGCCTTGCAAGCGAGCATTGCGACGGAAGAGCTCTTGGTACCCTTCCAGGTTGCCAGGACCATTGCCCATAGCATGAGCATACTCGCACAACACAATCGGCTTCTCGTACTTGCCATCGTGCACGCCTTCGGTTTCAGCAAGCTTGGCGAGCCTCTCGACGGAAGGATACATGTAAGAGAAGACATCAGCTGAGAGTGCGTGTGCATCGCCCTCGTAGTGTACAGGTCGGCTGGGGTCTGCTTTGCGTGCATAGTCGTACATCGCCTGATGGTTCCGGCCGTAGAAGGCTTCGTTGCCCAGCGACCACATAATCACAGAAGCATGGTTTTTGTCGCGCTGAACGACTGCGGTGATCCTCTCAACGTACTGAGCTTCCCATGCTGGATTGTCAGAGGTGTACGCAGCCGCCTGAGGGAATGCCAGCTTCTTCCGTTCCTCATAATCCATCTCCTCGGGAATGGACAGTGGTCGGGCTACAGCATCGTAAAAGCCATGACATTCGAGATCTGCTTCATCCATGACCCAAAGACCTAGCTCGTCGCAGAGATCAAGCATGCGGGGGTCCGGCGGGTAGTGGCTGCAACGTAAAGCATTGATATTGTGGCGTTTCATCTGAAGCAGATCGTCACGGATGAACGCAAGAGGAACTGCGCGCCCGAACTTCGGGTGGTGATCGTGCCGATTCGCGCCTTGAAGCAGGATGCGTTTGCCATTTACTTTCAATAAGCCGTCCGAAATCTCCACGGAGCGGAAGCCAATCCGCTGACGTATCGTCTGCAAGACTTCGCTACTTCCTTTGGCCCGTAGTATGATTTCCAGATCGTAGAGATGGGGCGTCTCAGCCGTCCATTTGATGGGACGTGCGATGTGTCTCGAGATCTTTGCAGTTTCCTGGCCTGGCCTCAAAGCCGAATGGCTTTCTGCCACAATTTTATCATTCGCACTCAATCGCACTGTCAGATATGCGTCCCAGTTCACCTGAAGCTGTAGACCCACGTGAAGATTCGCGTCCTTGTACTCATCGTCGAGTTCTGTGTTGATATGGAAGTCCTCGATCCGCGATTCAGGTAGCGCAAGCAGAAGCACATCTCTGAATATTCCCGATAGCCACCACTGGTCCTGGTCTTCTATGTAGCTGCCATCTGACCACTGATACACTCTTACGAGCAGCTCATTGTCCCGATTCGCTCTAAGATATCGAGTCACGTCGAACTCGGCGGGGTTTCGAGATCCCTGGGAATAACCTACTGGCTTGCCGTTGATCCAAACGTGAAATGCACTATCAACGCCTTCAAATCGAAGTCTGATTTGTGAAGAGGGGGACCATGACTTCGGAGTGCGGAAAGTGCGTTTATATGTGCCTGTCGGATTCTCTGTCGGAATGTGTGGCGGGCAGACCGGAAATGGGTAGATGACGTTCGTGTACTGCGGGCGGCCATAACCTTGAAGCTGCCAGTGTCCTGGTACTGCGATTTTGTGCCATTCTGGAGCAGCGGAAGGCTCGGCGATTGTGACGTCCAGCTCACCATCGTCAGACGTATCGCCAGGAGTGTATGACTGGGTGTGTAAGCACTCCGGATCGGGAGCATGAAGAGGCGTCGGGGCATAATGGAAGTCCCATTGTCCGCTGAGCAGGAGGGATTCCTTCGGGATGTAATAAGCTCTGTGCGGCAAGCGGTTCTTGTGCACCACTTGTTCATTGCTATAGTCTGGCAGTTGCGAATCTGATCTCTGCAGAACGAAGTCTGTGAAGTCTTGGGCCATGTTTTCGAGACGCGTGTTTTGTGCCGGGCGTGGCTGCGGAGGGTGGGATCAAGTCACATCGCCGGCCAGCAGAGGGCCAGCTGATATAGTATCAGCGGCCGAGCATAGCAACGCCATGAGCGCAGGATCGACCAGTGGCATTGCTCGTAGCGTCGGAGCAGGTGCGAATGTCTGTCCACCCAGCACTACAACGTGCTTGCCGACGTGGGCTTCCTCCCATGCCAAGCCATAGAATATCGTGCCGAGGCGGACCGAATGCCTCCTCACTTGCTCCTTCCACTGTCGCAACACACTGTAGCATCCCTGCAACGCGGCGAGCACGACACATGGCCAGCGATGCGCGATGGGGCCGGAAGAGGGAAGCCCAAATGGCGATGAGCCGCCAAAGAAGCGACGGCGAGGGCCGCACGCTTGTGCGACGTGCAGACAACGCAAAGTGAAGCAAGTCGCAGATGCGCGAAAGACCGGCTGCATCCTTCTAACGCCTCAGGCAGATGTGATGGCAATCAACCTTGTCGCAATTGCAAGAACTCCGACACCGACTGCCTGTATGGCACCGAGCCCATCACCAAGGGCAAGAGCGATGCCATTCTGGAGACGGTCCTCCGCCTGGAAGATCGCCTGTCGTATTTGACGGCCCAGTTGTCAGCGCATCCAGGCCTCTCTCCTCTGCCCGTCGAGAGCGTGACAGCGACTTCACCGCAAACAGTGACCACGGACCGACAGCCTTCTTCCGTTACCGGCGCACGGCAGCTTGTTCATGGCACTCGACATCGCAGAAATGAAAGCCTGGACAATGCCGTTCTCTCTGCGCGCCACACGTCCACGACCGAGTCTGTGCTGGCCTGGCCCTTTTTCGATGTCTTTCCTGGCTTACGGACGCACTATCAGCAGATCTTCACCATCGAGCAGCAGCGACGCCGATACCCTTCGAGGCCGGCTCAGCCGCCTCCTTCGCTGAAGCCAAATGAAGTCAATGCGGCTGTCCAGGCATTTCAGGCGACGATCAACTTCTCCTATCCCACTGTGACCACCAGCCAACTCGCAGATGTTGAGCATCGTGTGCTTGAGAGACAAATCGATGACAGCATTGAGACGAGCTTAGCCCTCATAGTAATGGCGCTGGGCTGCGCAAGTCAAGTCGTAGATGGTCTGGCAAACACTGGCTCGACCTTCTCTGAGGACAGTCAAGTGCAGAGAAGTCAGGTATTGGCACACACTTACTTCGAGCTCTACTTGCAAGGACTCAGTGGTGTCCATCTGGAAGTATCGACCACGGCCACGCAGTGCTTGTTCTTCACAGCACTGTTCTTCGCGTATCTCCAGAGGCCATTGCAGGCGCATTCATACGTTTGTATGACTGCGACGAAGTGTCGAACATTGCTTGCTTACACTTCAGCCGACACTGGAATCGATACGGAATGTCTGCGGCGAGTCTTCTGGTCTTGTTTCATTCTGGAGAGCGATTATATTGCTGAGCTTGCAGCGCTGCCTCAGACTGGCGTAAGCGACATGGAGTCATCCGTACCGTATCCAGCTTATTACCAAACGTCCGAGGACGAAACCGAAAGAGATCAGTCTTCGCTCTACTTTCTGGCTTGTGTCTCGATGCGGAGGCTTCTGAACCGAGTGCACGACTTACTGTATGCGCCAGACACTGGGGTAGCTTTCGACGATGCTCGCTTTCCACATGTTGTGACTGAGCTGGATCATCAACTGGAAGAGTGGCGGACCTGTTTACCACCTGTCTTCCAGTTCTCGATCGACACCACTCCCGCCAGCTCCCAGCGAGGGGGCTTTTTGCGACAAAGATATTTGACTTGTAAGTGACGCAGTGGAAAGTATATCTCATTTGCTAATTTCGAGGCGCAGGCAGAGCGGTCATCTACCGGCCGTACCTGAATCAAGTCCTGTCACGCACCTCTACTGGAGAAGCATTGACAGCGCAAATGCTCGACAAGAGCGAGATCTGTTTGACAATGTGTCTACTGCACATCCTGAACCTTAAAGCCTTCTCACAGACTGTTCTGATTGATACCTGGATCTGTTCGTTGTCGTAAGTCTGCAATTTCCGACGTGCGCTCGCAGTCCTGCTCACTGATAAAACCCAGCATGGCTAGCACTATGTTGCTGCTCCTCGCTGCTAGTCGCATACCGGCCTTGAAACAACGACTAGATTCACAGGCCCTAGATGCTGGGAAGCATCTCGCTCGGCTCATCGAACCGTGGACACATGTACACGGAGGCGCAGTCTCACCAAGTGTTCGGCAGAGTCTGCGCATGATCGGAGAAGTTGACGCCCTTCTTCATGCGGAGTACGGCCGAATCGATCCAAAACTTGATGCGCGCGTGCAAGGACTGGTCTGAGAAGTATGGCCGCTGTTTTACCATCGATGACTATGCAGTCGTCGACCGAGGTTCTTTGGTCTTGGTACACTTATGTTGTCCAGGATAGTCTGTCTTGCTTAAGTGCGTAAAGGATTGTTAGTCCGCACCCCGCATGCGAAACAACACAACCTTGACCGACACTCTTGTAAAACAAAGTGTCTGTGAAATCTATCAAGCTACCGGTTACCTCGATATGATCTTCACGTATTGCTATCTGGCAATCGCGAACATGGATGGTTGAACTGCGGCAGGTACGTACGGTAAAGTTCATGATTTCCACTTTATGTTGCTGACATACATAGACCACCTAGTCTTCAGTCTGTACTCCCAGTTGGTCTGCAAGGGAGCGCATAGTCTCATCGACCGCGTGACCCAGACTGTCCGCTCTAAGCAAGGGATGCAGGACCAAAGTCATCGACGAGAAGACCAAGACAGGACGCGACACAACAGATCACGACGCCCTCAGACTTCAATGAAAGAATGTGCAAAATCGACGCATAATTCGATCTACCTCGACAAACTGTTACATGCTCACAAATGCGACTGCTTCTGGAAAGCCTGCTGCTGCCCTAGCGTGTCCCGTACAACGTCCTGCACAGGCCTCCACTGGATCTTCAAGTCGCGATCAGCAGGCTCTGTATCAACCTCGAACTTCGATGACAAAGATGGACCGTCATCCAATTTGACCTGCACCTGCGGAAACTCTTGCTTCACGAACTTGGCCACCTCGTTCCATGCGACCGCAGGAGACGACAGGCCATATTCTGTCCCATTCTTCAACTTCTCGTAATTCCGCACCGCATTCACGTGCGATTCAGCACATTGCTTCACATCAACAAAAGTTGAAGGCATGGTTGGCTGAGTCGAGTGTAGGGAACTCCAAAGGACTTGGTTCATGCCGTCGAGCTGGTCAAAGTTCTTCTGGACAAGTGATTCGCCAATCACGAGGACCGGGTGGAAGGTCACCAGCTTGTATTCGGGCTTTTCTTTCTCGACAAAGTCGCGCGTGGCTTGGTGGGCAAGAATCTTGCTGGCGCTGTATTTTGCGCCATGGCCTGCGGCACCGTCTGGAAATTTCATGTCCGCGGAAACTGGTAATTTTTCACCTGTGTTTGCTGCGAAATGTTAGCTGACATCACGTCAAGGGCTTTGGAGAGAGTAATCTCACCTTTGATTGGAGCACTCGAATCCGACAAGCCACCCAATGGAATCAAGGCCAGAATAGAGCTCGTCACGACCACAAACTTGATCTGCTCATGCTTCAAAGCCTCCTGCAGGATCGCGAGACTGCCAGATACCGCAGGTTTGACATAATCCTCGCGAAAATCTTCGCCTTTGCCTGGCATAGGTGAAGCAAGATGGAAGACATAATCAACGCCTTCCAATGCCTCTTCGAACGCACCGGGTGTGGTCAAGTCAGGAATATGAGCGAATTCGATCTTGTCCTGCGATGCATCTTTGAGGATATCTCTGAGTTCTTGTTCTTGCTCTTTCTGTCGAATGCTCAGACGAATTCGGTAGCCTGCTTGGAGGACAGACTTGGCGGTTTGTGAGCCGATGAAGCCAGAGGCCCCTGTAATGAAGATGAGTTCTGACATGTTATGCTTTTTGAGCCCCGGATGGTAAACACAACGAACTGATGCTTGCTTGGATGTCTTACATGGTCACCCTGGTATGTGCTAGTGGTGAATATATACTTCTACGGTGCCCTTATGCCACGTATGGCGCCATTCGTGCCACTTACGATTCCCAATACAGACAAGCAAGCTTGGTCATGTTATGGAGACATTTGTTTACTGAACATGGCCGAGATGGGCTGCGCGCGTAGCCACAAGTATCGAAATTACCAAGCATTCCCATGATGGTGGATCCACGTCCCAATTGTTGTGCCTGCGTGCGTAACGGCCGACTACAATTGAGATCGGATTGTTTGGTAAACAACAATGTTGCAGCGCTGTGGGTACGGGACGGAGGTACAGTTTGCGAGGGCAGTGCTGTGGTGGATACGAGCCTCGTGACGAGAGTGGACGCAACGGGCCTAGAAGTTGCATTGTGGCGTCTCCTACGCAAGAGGGTCTGATTACTGATCTTCACAACACACAACACGCGCGAGAACAAGAAGTTCAAATAGAAAGGATACAAGCCACATTACAATTTCTGATCACAGCATCTATCAACACTCGGCGCAGCAAAACGACAAATCAATCATCGAGTCTCGCAAGGAAACACTTCTTACATCAAATCAATTCACATCAACCAGAACCTTCAATCAACCATGCCCCACTGGAGAATCTTCCACCCACCAGACGTCTTCCAAGACGCCCACTCCAAACAATCCCTCGCAGAAGCCATCACAAACCTCTACAGCGACCTCGGTTTCCCCCCCTTCTACGTCGTGGTCACATTCCTCCCCACCCCCGACGAAAACCAATTCGTCGGCGGCCAAGTTTCTCGACTTCGCGGAAGGCCCTTCATTCGATTAAACATCGCGCATATTCATGTGAATATGCCGAAGGATCCTAAAGTTCATCAGGATTGGACTGCGAAGATGGATAAGGCGTTGAAGCCGCATATTGAGGATAAGGGATTCTCGTGGGAGTATCATGTTGAGGAGACGGAGAGGCTGTTGTGGAAAATTGATGGGGTTTATGCGCCGGAGTTTAGGAGTGAGGATGAGAAGGTTTGGATGAAGGAGAATCGGGTTGTGAGGGCGGAGGAGATGGAGGAGGTGAGGAGGAGGTTGGAGAGGGCGAGGTTGTGAGTGTGCCTTTGCGGTTTTCCGAAGGGCAATGGATTGAGAGTGGCTGATTAGCATCTTTTAGGACTTGTTGCGTTGTTCCTGATCACGCGGTCGTGTACGATAAGCAGCTGATAGCTCGAGGCGTTTCAATTGGGTGCAAAATATCTCTTCTTGACACAGTGGCATTTTGCCAGACCTTTTTTGCCTTGCATCTTGAACTACGGGCCGGTCACAGCCTCGCATGTGCTGAGTGAGAGCTCTGCAAGCAAGTTAGAGAATTATCGAACTCGGGTCATATCCAGCTTCACGACATAGAGTGTGCGTGCTCGTGTGATGATGCGCGTGCTGGAGAGCTGGTTGTGAGAGGAGTTGATGTCGTCAAGAGAACCTGGAAGCGGCAAAGACCGATCCTTGATCGTGGGTGACTAAGCAAGCGCCCCATAAAAACAGCTCGACCTGGCGATGGCTTCGATGCCGCTAGACCTGTTCCTGAACAATACACTCTCCGCCGAATGCCATGTAATGGTGATGTCAGGAGCCGTTATTGATGAGCACAACGGCGATGATGCTCTCATGTAGGTGGGCTTGGACTTTTCCTCTGTCTTCATCTCTTTTGGCCATAACAGACAGCACTTCCATCAGAGCATTTGATACAGGAATTCGAGACGCATCAGAAGCTTGCCACTAGATCGAGAAATAAGACACAATGGCGACCAAACAGCAGACCTCGACGAAGCCGACGATGGAGAATAACAATGGTATCACTTACCTTTCAAAACATCTCTTACAATATAGAAGCTAACACTCCCACCAAGTCGCCGGCGGCCGCCTCGCCCTCTTCTCCAAAGACCCTCCAGTCGGTTTCTTCAAAGACGGCTACTGCAGATCCGGCCCCGACGACAAAGGCAACCACTCCGTAGCCGCCACCGTCACCTCGCAATTCCTCGACTTCACCGCCTCAAAAGGCAACAACCTCAAAGACGTAGGCGTAAAACCCGGCCAAAAATGGTGTCTCTGTGCTTCGCGATGGAAAGAGGCTATGCAAGCTGTTTCAGATGGGAAATTGCAGAAAGAGCATGTGCCAAAGGTACATTTGCATGCTACGCATGATGCTGCTTTGAAGGAAGTGGAGTATAAGGATCTGAAGCAGTATGCTGCGGAGGGTGAGGCGGCGCAGTCGCAGAGACAGGAAGGTCATCATACGCCTTCGAGTGCGGGATCGAAGGTTGCGAAGGAGCATCATGAGATTAGCAGTCATGGTATGTGGAATCTTTTGGCAGTGTGGACGACTATTGACGATTTCTTGCAGACAAGTCGCTTGCGCCTGGGTCCGCTTCTGGTATGAACAAGACTGGGTCGGTGTCAGATACCAGCGCAACTAGAGGATAATTTTGTTTCAAAAGCGATACAGCAGAATCAAAGCATGGCAGTTTCGAAGATTCCTGTGCACTTTCCCTCTTCACCATTGCTTCTGATTCCCGTTGGCTGGTTCATAGTTTGCTTACCGACGGGAAGACGAGCCTCATTCTGTGCAGCAGAATGAGAGTCGAACACGAGCTCAGGACATCGAAAGCTACAGGCCGCAAAGCACCAGCTTGGAGCAGTAGCAAGGTGCATGAGCTGGAGAACGCATTCTTTGAAGGTCTGCCGGTGCAACACGGACAACATTGGAGGAGGTGTGCAGAAAGGCGGAGAAAATGTGCAAAATATATTAATTTCCAAGCATCGTAAGATCTTATCCCGATCCTGTACATGAAAGTCTTCCTTTTCGCTTCAGCTCCACTTATCGTATCATATCTCATTACACATCAATTGATCTCCCACTGAGCTGACTTCTCGACTGCGACCTCCTCAAAAGATCGGAGACTTCTGGTAACCCGGGAATCGCTCAAGCTGAGCTTCATCGATGGCCCTCAATTGCGGGCAACCCAGCTGCGTCACAATGGATCCAACAGCATCCTGCACACCATTAAGAATATTGTCGAGGATCAAATCAGCCTTGGCCTGCGCAACGGTCTGGAATGCAAAGCAGCCGAGGTTGTTGCCCTTGAGAAGATCGTCGCTGTTGAAGACACCACCAGTGAGATCTTCCACGTTGACGCCGGCGAAGTTGTTGGTCTTTCCGTCGAGGTTACCGCCGATGTTGAGGAATTTGGGGCTGTAAATCGAAGTTAGTATATGTGCGGCATGCGTGTCAGGTTGACGGAGGGGTACTGACTGGAGACGGGCAGCGTTCAAGACGTCACCGAGGAAGTATGGAATCGAGTATGGTGCAGTCAGGGATCGTCGGTACCAGTTGTCGGGAATGCCTACGCAAGAGAACGTTAGTGCGTGTTCCATGGCAGTCAGGTCCAAGTCTGGAACATACGCTCATGTCCCTGGCGAGCTACATAGTTGCCGTTCTCGCCCTCGATTCCGAACCAGCTCTGGATAGTGCTGTAGCTGAGCGTTCCGATTGGGTCTTCTTCGGAGTGGTTGGCCATGAAGCGGTAGACTATTGATGGTCAGCAACTAGACGCGTCTATCATGGATCGGATCTGTTCGTACTGAACGTGAACGCTGCAGGTTGCACGAGAAGTCCAGGGAATGGTCCGTTGAAGAAGTATTTGTTGTTGGCGACCTGGCGATCGAAACGTTGCGAACGGTAGGCAGTCAGACCATCCAAGGTCACCTCTCCACCAGGGTTGGCATCGATCATATCCTGGAACTGATCCGCATTGGTGATGTAGTTGTTGCCGATCTCGTACAAGTCGCCTCTAGTTGGGGAGATGTCATTCTCGTACTTGTTGTGGCTGTTATCAAACTACAGTCAGTTACACGCTCCATGATCGCAAGAAAAGAGACGAGGGTAACGAACCTGCCAATCAAGCCGTTGCCTCTCTGGGCAAGGGGTCCTCCGACGCCCGGTGGTGGTGTTCCTCCCATAGACCAAGCCATTAGGTCACCTGAGTCGATTAAAGCACCTAGTACTGCCAAGAAGGCGGAAAGATCTGTGCCCATCCCCACCACGTTCATTGTCGCATCGATGTATTGGGCGACGGTGGCATATCCAGAGCGAGGTAGGAAGCCACTTTATCGTGTCAGCAAAAGATCATTCCATGACGACGACCAAAACCACTTACTGGTTGGCGAAAGCATTCAGGCCGGGACAAACACCTCGAAGGTCATTAGGTCCTGGCGCTTGCTGAGACTTGTCAGCGTTGTCTCTCCCACCTGTTCAGCGGAGCATCATACCCATTCATGGCCTGAGCCCTCTGATACATCAATCAATTGCTTCTCCGCATCGAAGGTTGGGATGGCCTCGAAGATTGCAGTCGCAGCATCCGCACTCTTTTGACGTTTGGCAAGCACCTCATTGGCGCGGGCAACCACATTCGGGTCGTTTCTTGCCTGCTCAAGAAGATGTGCTGGAAAGGCAGCAGCCAAAGGAATAGCGCTAAGGAGCGCAGAAGAGGTAGAAAACTTCATGGCGAACTAGCAAGCCTGGAGGCGTAGGGAGAGGCGCAGGGGAGGACAATGTGGCTTGATCAAGAGAACGCTGGAACGCATTCCCGAAGGCGGCGCAACACTCCTAATATCACATACCATTTCCTTCGCATTCGCTACACGTTGAGAGCATTATCTCAGCTCATCTCAAGTTCCGAGGCACTTCGCCAACTTCGCAACATGAGAAGGGATCGTCGGTCAGATCGTGACGACTCACGGGCATCATGGGCGGCCTCATGGTGAAGACGTCGAGGAGAAAGTGGCCATCCAACTCCAGTGCGCACCGCCCTAGGTGAAGAGCTAGTGCTTAGCCCTTGGGGTTGAATTGTGTAGAGGATGATCATGGTAAGATCGATCGATCTCACGTTTTTGCGTGGTATTCTGTCCACTCAGAGGTCGAGTATTAGTCCGTAAGACGCCAATTGAGGCTCTGATCACTTTGTCGCTTAAATGCCTGAGCGTAGCGCGACGAGGCCAGATAAGGCAAGATCCTCATGCTTATGATGTTCTTGGGATTTGATCGACGAGGAAGCCACCCAAACAGAGTTCAGCCTCCATGTCACTCATACGTATTTTTGTCCTCCTCGAATGAAACGCGGAGACCACACCGAGGCCACTGCAAGGTGCGGTAGCAGTGCTCTGCGGAGAGTTTTCATCGAAGGACTGAAGAAGGAGTACAGCCCTTGTTGTACCTCACGAGTGAACGAGGCAGTCCACTCATGCACGCTGCATTTGCGGACTGCCGCGACGATCATTCCAGCTTCAGATACAACAGAAGTTGCCACTGCTATGCGCGTGCTGAGCTGCTCTTGCTGCGGATGCCACCGGCATGACTGAGCGCAACCATTGCCGCTATAGGTTTGGACGCGTATCTCGAGCTCCTGCAGCGACTTCTTGGTCAACTTCACCTTCGCTGTGCATCCTTGTTGCTGCTGTGACATCGTGGTCACCAAAATTGACTTTGATGCAATTCTTACTAGGACTAGCGAGCAAACCACGTTACCAGTTGCACGCCCGACAGTACCTACTTGCTCTGCAATTGAGGTAAATAAACAGGACAGATGGTTGGGTCATCCTGCCGACTCGCTGCTTTTCAGAGTTGGCCACGAACTTCAAGAAAAGGCCAAAATGCGAATGCTTCCAGATCTCAAGGCTGGATGTGGGCAGTCCCAGCGCCAAAACCGTTGCAGTCTCAGAACTGTCGCCAGCAAGAAGCTCTTGAATCGCGGTTCCTAGTATGGCAATGAGGCGATGTGTATGCTGAAAGCCACTTTGGTGTGCCAGAAGAGTGTCCGCTTACGAAGCCGGGTCAAGTATGCAGTCGACAGAGAGTAAGTGAGGGTCACGACGTGTTCGGCCAGCAGCGAATATTCGTTGTCGTCGTCCAGTGCAAGCTGGGGAGCATGAACCGTCGCAAACTTGCTCTGCGGGTGGCGACCTCTCCCGCCGACCATTGGCCAAGCTTTGCATTGGCCTGTGCTTGAACTTCGGCAAAATCTGCAGGTACAATGCTGTGATGCATCTGCCAACCCGATCGATATCACAAGTCTATGTTCCACCTCATTGACCTCAATAACAGCGACGAGCCCTAGAATTCATTTCAGCTGGAATGAACACTTGTTATACCGCCGCTCCGATGTCGATGCCGGCTCCTGGTCAGACCCATTAATGTCCCCCGATCAGATAGGCCGGGGCGATAGATGAAAGGAGTTGACCGGCCCGGGGATCCACCATCTGATAACTCGCACGACGACATGGAGCCTTCCATCGTACAAATACGAGTCAGCCAGCGCTGACAGAGAGGTTCCAGCAACAGAGAGCAGGTCAAACTAGAGAATTTTCACGTCAGAACTACCCATTGCGCTTCCAATATGGTCCTACCGGTCCCAAACCCTACCAAATCGTACTGGGTACGCCACAAATGGAGTTCAGATGCACCAGCACGTATTGATGAAAGCTAGATTGAAGCCGCAGAATCGCCACTGCGACACCATCGTTCCACCTCTGAGTTACCATCAGAGGCTGACGTTGTGATTGTCGGGAGCGGATATTCAGGCGCTACAACTGCGTACTGGATTCACAAAGTATGCCATGCGCCAGATCACATTGCATAAATTCATGCTGAACGACAGACCAGTCTACCGAAAATGCAACCAACAAGCCACGCATGGTCATGCTCGAAGCACGAGATATCTGCAGTTGCGCGACTGGCCGCAATGGTGGTCAATTGAGACCACATGCTTACTCTCGCTACTTGCCATGGAAGGAGCGCTTCGGAGCACAAGGTGCTATGGAGCTTATTCGGCACGAAATGTCGCATTTGCCTGCTTTCAAGGCTTTGGCAGAAGTTGAGGGGATCGCGGAAGAAGTCTGTCTGAAGTTTGGCGAGACTTTCGACGCTGCCATGACTGAAGAAGCCTGGACCCGGCTCAAAGGCAATTATGAAGCCATGAAGGCAGACCACGGCGAAGATAACGAGGTTGTCAAGGTTTGCAAACTCCTTGAAGAGGCCACCGAAGCAGAAGACTTTACTCAAATGAAGGGCACACTTTCCGCGGTCGTTCATCCAGCCGGACAAATGTGAGTGAAGACACCTACTGAAATTTGGCATGAGCTGACATTGTGCTAGCTGGCCATATAAATTCGTGCATGCTTTGCTGCGCATCGTTCTGGAAGCAGGCAATTTTAACCTCCAAGCGCACACACCTGCACAATCCGTTTCAGACCGCGATGCAGATGGCTGGATCACTGTCACAACCGATAGAGGCACCATCCGCACTAGATCTGTAGTGCACTCCACAAATCGATGGGCTTCTCATCTCCTTCCAGAGTTCAGCAAACTCATTACAGGCGAGAAATGCGCCATGGGTTCCATCAAAGCTCCAGAGGGCTTTGTCAAACACACTGGCTCTCAGCACTGGGACAGTGCCATCAACGTAAGTTCTTCCGGTTCAATGTCTGGCACTATGCAGATTTCTGATATGGGGGACAGAATTATTTTCTCCAATTGCCTCCTCCATACAATACTATCATTTTTGGTGGCGGAAGACAATTCCTCATTCACAAGCCTGAAGAGTGTTTCCTGAACGACGAAGAAGATAAACAAGTCGACGGATTCGACGACTTTGTAAAGACATGGCCTGCATCAGATGTAAAGGATTGGCCTGGGTCGGACCCTGCAGAGCTCGGCAAGGATGCTGGTGAGGGTGGCGTATGGACCGGCAGTAAGACAATACACTTCAGAGGTATCATGATTCGAAACGTACTGACTTGAGATAGTCGAGTCGGGAAGCGCTGATTCATTCCCCTTTGTGGGTCCAGTGCCAGGTCGCCAAGGACAATTCATGGCTGCTGGGTTTGTTGGCCACGGTAAGTGAAGCGACAAGGCATCTGCACCATTCAAGAATCCTAACAAATAGGCAGGCATGCCTCGCATTCTTGGTTCGACCGCGCATATCACACCACTTCTTCTGGAATATCTTGAAACGGAACACAAGATGCCATCGATGGCAGATGTCTTCCCTCCTCTACCAACGCCCTTCCATGCTACACCGGAGCGTGTTGAGCGTCTTGTGCGGACAGCAGATGTGGAAGCAAAGCTGAAAGCTTACAGGGAAAAATGTGCAGAGAGTGCTGCCAAAGATTTCTGTCATATCGAGAGGACGAAAATGGCCACCTACAGCGAGAATGCGTTGGAGCGACAGGACTCTCCTATCGGTAGTATCTAATTGCAGAGTCGACTGGGAGTAGCAAGAGCACCCGAATTCTCGAAAGTCTTCACTGTTGAAATGCGAAATACTAATGCATTCGGGAACCTAACTTCTACGACCTCTCCCAAGACACATCAATCATCCCTCTTCCCAGCGGGCTCTTCAACAACTTTAATCGGCTGAATCTCCGCCTCCTCATAATCCTTACTCACACTGACCAACTTGATAAGCATAATCATACAAGGAATCGTCAAAGCCAGCACACCACAATTCGCATAAAATGGTCTTCTCGGATCCGTCTTACTCGCAGAATTTATCCCGTAACTCACAGCCTGACCAGCAGTCTCAAAAGCACGGAAAAGTCCTCCGACACGAGAAGAGCTTTCTACGTTGGGCGATAAGCAGCCTAGCATCCAGTAGAGGGATAGTTGGGTCCAGTAGCCTGTGATGAAGATTATGAGGTAGGGGAGGTAGGCTTGGGCCCAGCGGGAGGTGTGTCTGCAGATTCAGGTTAGTATTGGCTGCAGGTGAAAGCGGAAATTGGGATTAGGGACTGACTTTTCATAGTCCAGACCGACGTCGCTTGATGTGCCGAATTTGCTGTATTCGATCCCAATCCAGATGAAGCAGGCGATTTGGGGGATCACCCAGCAGAGGAAGGCGATCCAGGCGCGGCGGCCACGGGTCCAGTGTTTCATGTCGAGAAGTCTGCCGTAGGCGATAACAAGAGGGATGACGATCGATGCTGGTCTACGTCAGGAAAGCTGAGGATTGGAGAGTCTGTGACCAGAACTTACGAACGATGAGCGATGACAATGCTCGAGCTCGGACAGAGAAGTGAAGAGAAAGGTATGTGCCCATGGTCCTGTGAACAGAGATCGTCAATGGCCGTTAATCGAAAATGCCAGATCAGGACACGAACGACTTACCCGCCATAGAAGAAGCTGTAGAAACTTGGGATCGCAACGAACCAGATCTACATATCTGATTAGCAACAGCAGGACGGCCGTATGTTGCGCACTGTCAAGTACTCACATGCTTCTGTGCAAGCATTCTCGCCAGCGCAGCAAACTCCTGTTTCCACGAAGCATGTTCATCGTTAGTCGGAACTCGAGTTCCATCTCTCCTTCGGACTTTGCTGGTTGTGCTGAGCAGAACCGCCCAGATGATGCCGGTGCATTCGAAGCCGACGAACAAGAGGTATGTGAACCAGGCCTAGAGTGGGAAGAGAAAGTGACAAGTCAGTGCTGACGTTCTTGAGCAGAAAAATACCTTCGTACTTACGATACCGCCTGCCGAACTCTCCTCACTGTTTGTCGAAAAGTTGATGGCGCCACCAATGACACTTCCGGAATTCCTCATAGCACTCCAGATCCCAAGGTAAAATCCTCGATCATCCTGCGGCGGATACGACAACATAGCGGTCGTCTCAGCGACATATCTAAATACTCGATATCAGCACACATTCCATACGGCAAAGCAACAACCACCAAAAAGATCCCTCCGAGAACAACAGTTCCAAGATATGACGAAGGGACAGGAAGAAGAACTTACAAAAACCCACTCGTAATCCCCCCAATAACCTGGCTCGCAAGCAAATACGCCTGATCCCCAAACTTGGCCGAAGTATAGTACGCCGAACCCGTCAGCGGAAAAACAATCGCAGCAATAATACAAGAATTTCGAATCCCGAGTTTATTGATTAGAGGTCCACCAAGAAGCGTCGTCAGACAACCCATGGCATAATTCAAAGCATTGGCCAAGTTGGCAAGATATGGAGACTTGAGACCTCCTCCGCCAAGATTCGTGATGGCATCGCCCATAGCCTATGAGAAAACATGGAATTAGCTGGGAACTAGGGCCGTCTGGCGAACAGGATGCTGGGAATAGTGACAGCTACGAAGGAAATTTTCTGCTTTTTGGATTTGGGTGTGTGCATTGCTTACCGGTCCAACAAACGACAACGCTCCAAAAAGAATCATCTGAAATAGCACACTTCGATAGAACGTGCTCATTTTGGTGGAGCGCAAGTATGCGAGATCGATCGTCGTTATTGGGGTTTGTGTGCCGACTGCCACATCTTGTTCCAAATCGCCGGGGTCGTGGGCAACCTTGATGTCCACTGCAGTGTTGATCTTTTTGTTTTCGTTGTTGTTGTCATTTGATGAGGTCGTGGGGGAAGACATCACAAGATGAAGAAAAGAGAATATTTTGGCTTCGCAATGTCGGTCAGAAGAGCAAGCCACGTCCCAGCAGAATGCCAGAAGCCGTCTCGATGGAAGGAAAAGGGCAAAAGTTCGAGAACTTATATCTCACGCGATCCGAGATACAGGCAGGCAAGCGAAACACAGTGATACCAGGCCTCTGGGCACCTCGATAGGCCACGCAAAGACATGTGGCAAGCGACTCGAATGGGAATGCCAGGATGTAGCCTGTAATTACTCCACGAGTGCGGTAGATAGTAGACTTCTCCTCACAGCATAGTAGGTCGCGTGGGCTAGCTCGGCTGTTGAAGAATTCCACCCCATGCTGTAGTAGTCAAGCGTTGATAAGACTGCCTATCAAAAGCTTTGCGAATGCACCGGTCCGGTGGCCGTATTACCTTCACTCTGATTGAACAGTAAGAAAATCACAACCCTAAATGGAAAGGTGCGGGTGCCTGCATCAGGCTGCCGACGTGGGCCCGGAGTGGGAGGACAGGCGTGGAGTTATCTTGGGCTGTCGAACACCGGCCCAGAGGCATACGAGTTATGCTGAAGGGATAAAATATTCCGGTCGTCACTGATATGAGCATAGATTGATGGATCGCAGCTTATTCGACTTTGCCTTGACCGGCCATTTCAACAAGCTCTTCCTTGTCCTCTTTGACGCCGCCGAGGAAGTCGATGCTCTCCTCATCTTCCTCTGCATAAGGCGGCAACCCGGCATAGTGGTTGATCCAGTTGAGAACCACTTTATGCCAGACCAGGCTGTTCTCGGGTTTGAGTACCCAGTGATTCTGTTTACAGTTAGCAACAAATAGCTCCGAATCGTCCTATACATTGCGTACCTCGTCTGGGAATGTCAGTAACTTCGACTCGACACCTCTGGCCTGCAATACATTGAAAGCAGCAAGACCCTCGGCGACTGGCAACCGGTAGTCCTTGGAGGAATGAATGATCAGCTGGGGAGTAGCCCAGTTTGCAAAGTGCTCGCTAGGATCCCACTTTCTCCAGTCAGACAGGGTCGCTTTGCTGAAGTTGTCGTGTCCCTGAGCTGCCGCTGATGTGTTGAAAGGATTGCCCAGATCGAAGAGTGGAAAGTAGAGCTCTTCCGTGGAGAGCATGGCACCTGCAAAAGACGTTATGCCATCATGGCAAACAAGCGCCTTGAACTTGCGTCCAAGATCATGGCCTTGTACCCAATTCATCATGTATCCTCCATAACTTGCACCCAAAGCCACAGCGCGATTGTGATCGGCCTCAGGCATGTTCTTACTTGCCCACTCAAAGACATTGACAATGTCCTGGTACGGGTCACCGCCCCAGTTGCGATGAATGGCATCCGTGAAAGCCTGGCCATACCCAGTGCTGCCCGTTGGGTTGGGAGTGATCACAATGTAGCCCTGCTCTGCAAAGATCATTGGGTTCCATCGGGTTGACCAGCTGTCGCCCCAAGCATTCTGGGGTCCGCCGTGGATGATGTAAGCCACAGGGTACTTCTTGCTGCTATCAAAATTGCTTGGTCGAATCACGATGCTGTGAACTTCGCGATTGATCTCAGGGTTGCTTGCCGGCGTCCATATCGACGAGACCTGAGAAGGCTTGAGTCCACCAAGTTTTGACCCTCCAGCAGAGTTCGAATGCGTCCAGCTCACGTACGTGTGCGACTCATTTGGCGGCGACTGGGGCGCAATAATGAAGAAGAAAGAGTTGTCAGTGAAGGAGGTACCAGAAGCAAAAATGCGGCCGTCTGGTAAGGGTCGAGCGTCGCTGACCGAGCCATTCTTGGTCAATGCCTCTGGCTCCTGTGATCTCAAGTCGCTAGGTAGGCGGTACAATTTGACAGTGCCAATGTCTTCAGCCGTGAACAGAAGATGTTTTCCGTCAATAGTCCATGCCAGTGACGCAGGACTTCTGTCCCATCCGCCTTCTGCGGAGGCAGAAAAGGCACGCTCGAGGCTGTTCACTGGATCTTTGACCTCTCGCAGTACGAAAATGTGATTCTTGTCCGCTTCGTACCCATTCGTCTTCATTGACAAGAACGCAGCCTGGCTCCCATCAGGGCTGAACACTGGAGACCCCGAAGCGCCATCAAATCCAGGTACAACGACTTGTTGCAAGGTAGGAGCATGTTGCCCTTCCCAATCGTGGATATGCAAGATGTACACATTTTCCTTCGTGGTCAACGCCGGGTTCGATTTCGGATCTTTAGACACAAATATGAGAGCATCTTTGCTGAGATCAAAATTATCGGTGCCTCCGAAAGGACGAATTGGGCATTCCAGGCCAGTCTTATGTAAAGCGTTCGTGTATTGTGATAAGCTGAATTTGCCATGGCCCCGTCTCGACAGCTTCGCATACCAGAGGCAGTTTGTCTGATTCGTGGTCCAGGTATCCCAATGTCGCACGAAAAGGCCGTTATATATCCTCGCTGTAGACTGCGGTTTCTTCTCCGTTTCAGGATTATAGATAGTTCCAACGCGATTGTAAGCCTGAGCAGAGAAAACCACAGCAAAATTATTGTCGTCCAGTTTCTTCACCTTGAGGTTGCCCGCAGGTCCTTCGATTGTGCCTGGCAGATCAAATCAGCAAAACGAGGAATTCCAGCTTTCTTGGACCGATCTCAACTCACCAGCAACATAATATGCCTTCCCCGCCTCCTCATTCCCGATAACCTACAACCAAACAAAATCATCAGCCTCAACTCCACCCCCAAAACACAGAACCACCCCAAAAATCCCAAAGACAAAAATAAAACATACCTTCCCAACACTAGCAACAAAAACCTTCGTCCTCCCATCCTTCTCACTCTGCAAACAAACAAACTCATCCTCATTCAACCAATTCACATCCGAAATCTCATCCTCTTGGGCCAAAACATGACTCTCCCCACTCGCGACCTCCAAAACTCGCAACTCATTACTTTTCGAATGCGAGTCGAAGTTATAAGTGGAGATGGTGTAGAGGACGAGAGAGCCTGAAGGGTTTGGTACGCCGGCGCTGCGGCGCGGAGCCGAGAGGAGGACTTTGGGGGTGAAGTGCATGGCGCGGAGGACCATTTGGGATGATTGTGGAGATGAAGGAGAGGAGTTATGGTTTGGGGTTTGGTTGTAGGAGATCTTGATGATGATGATGCTCTGATCAGTGATCTTATGGTGTGATGGAATAGGCGACTTGTGGCTGCTGTGCCACGCGTACTCTGAGTCCAGCGAGGTATTTGAGCTCTTAAGCTGTAGGAGATTCCGGGACACAGATGGCAGGACTTGTGTATAAATGTTCCACGGACAAAAGGCGTCAGCATTGATGAGGAGTCTTCTACATGTACATTGCGGCGTCGAGGTGTCGTGCGCGGGGAGCTGCAGATCCCAGTCTCACGCTACGATGACACTAGTGCAGGTACAGTAAATGCCCAGGCTAGGAAGGTGCCAAAGGGTATTGATGAATGCAGAGACAGAAAGAAGAAGGTGAAAGAGGCGGTAAAGAGTAGCTAATAATCTACACAGAAATTCATGACTGTCGTGATATTGTCACACTGTTTCTCTCTATTCAATGTCCAACGCCGCGTCTCCGTCGTCTGGCAGCGCGGAGATAACTCCTTCGACCATGGCGATGAGCTCGTCGACATCTGGTCGATCGGCTGGCTCGACAGCAAGACATCGTCGAACGACGTCCTTGACGGGGTCAGAAATGACATCTGCTCGCTTCTTCTTCGCATCTTCGACGTCCGATACTCGTTGCTTGCCACGCTTGGCTTCGGCCACGCCTTCGTCTGGAAATCTCCAATCGCCGCCCAGGACACAGAGTGATAGCGAGCCACCCGTCTCTTCACTTCTTGCTTCAAAGGGTGATTTGCCGACCAGACAAGCATAGAGCGTGCAGCCCATACTCCAGATGTCCACTTTCGTATCAATCACCGTATCGGTCTTCACATCGAACAGTTCCGGCGCTCGATATGGCATCGTGCTGTGCTCCGCAGCCTGATCCTGAACCTGCAAAGCCATCGCCCTGCTCGTGATAGGCGTCGGTGAAGGGGCAAGCGACCCCAAATCCATCAGAATCGGCTGCGTCCCCGTATCCGCAATCATGATATTCCCCGGCTTAATATCTCGATGCGCGTAGCTTCGAATCTCCCCCTCAGCAACTCCTTCCTGCGCCGCCATAACCTCTCCCTCCATCAACGGCTCCTGTTGTCCATCCTCCTCATCATCTTCATCATTCTCATCCCTCTGACTCCTCCTCCGACTCTGATTCGCCCTCTGAACCTCCTCCGCCGCCTCACGATCCGCCAACGCACCCTCCTGCCTCACAGCCTTCGCTTTCCTCCGACTCGCCTTCCCACCCGGCGCTCCTCCAACGCGATACTGATGCATAGCCTTCAACGCCCTACAAACCCCCAAAAACAGTATCATCAACCTCCTCTCGGGAAACTTCGCGCGATTAACCAAATTCGCATTAATCGCATCCTGTAAATTCCCTCTCCGATAATACGGCAACAAAATATAAACCGTCTTACTCCCCGCATCTCCTCCACGATCCGTTTCCACCGCATGATCAATCGCATGGATAATATTCGGATGCGGCGTGAATAAGCTATACGCTTCGACTTCTTTCAATGCCAGCGAGACGGATTCTTCGCCAAAGGGACATCGGATTTTTTTGAGGGCGTAGAGGGTTGGGTCGCCGGGTGATTGTACGAGGTAGACGTAGCTGAAACCGCCTTCGCCGAGGAGGCGCAGGATCTTGAATGAGCGGCCATTGATTTTGAGGGAGGGTGTGGAGGGGAAGCAGGAGAAGCAGTTGCCGAGTTGCCAGAGGCCGTCGAGGACGTAATGCGATAGCTGTTCGACCAGAGAGGGAGACATGGAGGGCGGGTTGGGAGGGTAAGTGTTGTTGTGGATCGGAGGTGTTGACAACGCGCAAGACAGCTTTCCCCAGCATGCCCTAGTTCTTGAAGCGCGGCCAAGCAGGCAGGGGTCGCGTGGCTGGCAGCTTGTTTGCCTCTCGTCACCAGCCAGCAAGCTTCTGCGTTCACGAAACACTTCGCATTTGGTACGATGACAATCGAATAGACCGAGTTGGCAGATTAATGAAACGACTGCTCTATTCAAATCTCACCGATAACGCGGTGTCTAAGCCATGCCTCGTCCGATTCCCACTCATGATACATTACAATGAACCTGTCAAACCCCATTCCCCTTTTGAAAACACTCTCAAATGCAAATGCTCGTGATGATGGTGATGATGAAAAGCCCGCGCGAATGGAGTATCCCGAATGATAACACCAAGAGTGCCCAACAACCTCTACGCCTCCCCAGCCCCCAAAATCTAATATAGATGAGTGGTGACCCCAAACACATCGATGCTGCGCCTTTCCAGAAATCCGGATTGCTGATCTCGAGAGATGCATCTCATTAAGCCTGCTCATGACCTCCAAAAAATTCTCCGCATCTTTGTACACTTCTGATTTCCACGCTGTTCCAAATACGTTTTCCTCACAGCGCTCCTTTGCGGTGACAGCGCAGCGCCGATTGAACAAACATGGGCGCGTTTGCGAAAGCCAAATGCTTGAAAGACCGCCAGCAGATCGCCAAATTGCAGTGGTGACGGAGCAGTACGGCAGCTGCCCCAGATGACATTGGTCCTGGGTCTCCAACGCGAGCAAAGTCCAGTTTCGTCCGAGCTGAGGTCCACTGCTGGAGTGCTCGATTGTCCTGCACTGACAAGGGAATTGTCCTAGAATAGTCCCCATTTCTTCTTGCCGCCCAACTCCTTGCTCTTCGCTGGTTCCCTGTTCATTGGAATGCCTGGGTCACCGCTCGCTGCAGCTCGGATGATGGCCAGCCTTTGCCGTGCAGTTTCATTGCCTTGGTCCGCAGCTCGCACATACCAGACATTAGCTTCGAGCGGATCGCGGCGACATCCGATGCCCATTTCTGTAAAGTATCCGACAGCGTATTCAGCCTTTGGCCAGCCTGTTTAAACAAGTCAGTATGAACGGATATCGCTCTCTGGGCTGCACGGATGCTCACCTGTCTCCGCAGCCATCTTTGCCCACATGTAGGCCTCGGCTTCGTCTCGCTCCAACACCGGCTCCGCTCCAACCATGTACCACGCACATAGTGCCATCATGCCTTCGACGTGACCTCGCGACGCAGCTCCATTGTAGAAGTGCACGCTCAATGCTGCGTCTTTGGGGCAACTGTGCAGTCCATTCTCGTAGGCTTGTCCCATCATAAAGTTGGCCTGTACATGGCCCAGCTCTGCGGCTTGTGTGATCAGTTGCACGGCGTATGCCTCGTCCTTGAAAATGTCATCGCCGTAGCCTGTGAGGTGCAGTAACCCAAGCTCGAAAGGTCCGGCGTTGTACTGGGGATCAGCGCTTTCGGAAGCTCGCTTCAACCACTTGACGCCCTCTCGGTATACATTCCTAATCCTGAAGTCAAGACCCATGTCGCCTTTGATCTGTGCGAGTCCTAGTCGTGTTGCAGCTCCAGGGTGATTCTTCGACGCGCTGGCTTTGTAAAACTGTACAGCTTTGGGGTAGGACTTTGCACAACCCCAACCAAATTCGTAGCACAAAGCTGCACGATATCCGGCCTCTGCATGTCCGTGTTTCGAAGCTGCAACAAAAAGTGGGAACGCCTTATCATAGTCTGATTTACCCTTGTTGAACAATCCACTGAAGTACCCATCCCCGAGATAGTACTGAGCGAAGGGATATGCTCGATCTGCCAGTCTTTGTAAGATGTGCTTAGCTTCGTTAATCAATTCCGCGGGATCAAGGTCATCTCCAGGAGCTATTTCATGCGCAGAGTTGACCATGAAAACAGCGAACTCGTACTGCACTGCTGCATCGTGCGTCTTCTTCACATTCGCGCGGTACATCTCAAGGGTTTTCTTCGTCTGCAGTAGGCTGGCGGCATTTCCAACCACTGATTGCAGGCCAGCATTGTTGAGCTGTCCACTGGGAGCAACTTGCTGGTTGTACGGGACATTTGCAAGAAGCTCGACATAACTGTGCGGGCGGGCAAGAGGTGAGCGTCGTTGCGTTGAAAGATCACGACCATTTCTTGCGGGCGAGCTCGAGTCGGACTCGTTCGCGCTCAATGGTGATAGTGTCCTGCCCCGCAATTCTCCTCCAAGAGTATATGCTGATGCGGGCCTTGTCAGCCCTGTACGCGGTACCGCAAGACCCGCCGACCCAGAGTATGAATTGGATGGACGATGTTTGCCTTCGGCTGACGAACCAGAACCGCTCGAATTTGTCGTTGCTTGGGAAACTCGATTGTTGGGCTTTTTGGCTGTCTCCGGAAATGCATGGTATTGCAGACCCGGGTTGTCCTCGGTGTTGCCATTCTCTCCATCTTCACCTTCTTCCTCGATGCGATTTGGATCAAAGGAGCCTGATGACTTCCGACTATGGCTCGACTCACCAATCGAACTTTTTTGCGCCGGCCTCATCGGTAAAGAGCTGACGCTTCCCCGATAGCCCGAGTCTGGTGTGGCGGTGTCTCGAGAAGCGCGTCGATTTTCCTCGCTCATTTGTATTGCCGCCTGTTCTCCCTCAATGTGGAACATATGCCCCGGGCTGATATTGACTGGGCTGGCAGGTGCATGCTGTATTCGGACTTCTGGTCCTTGCCCATAATCAGGCTGTAGACTACTCGGAACGGGCTTTCTCCTCACTGATGGCGAGTCTCGTGGAGGGGTGGATTCTATCGTTGCATTGGAAATTTCTCGGTTGTGCGAGTATTCGCCATAAGTGGGCGTGCCAGGCCTGACGGCCGTATCGGTGCTGGTCAATCGACCATCTTTTGGTTCCCACTGCACGCTGTTTGGCGAGTCGGGTGTGTCGGGCAGTTGCTTGTTGTACGACGCTGCAAAAGCATCCTGCGTCTGCGCCATGGCCGGCGCTGGTCTCTGAGAGGCTATTATATGGTCGGCTCGTGTGGAGGATGTTTCTATACGCGGTTCTCGTATCGTCGCGGATACCAAGCTTCTATACCAAATACGAGCTCGTGATAGTGACGAAAGCAATGGGCGGAAATGAGTGTCGACCGGGGCGCACTGGTCGATTCTTTTGGGCGGAGGGCAGGAGAGGCTACGCAGGGACGGCGGGCGCCAGAACGCGGCGCGCAGAGAGCCGCGAGGTTGTCGATTGAGGCGCGCAGTCTAGAAGAATTGGGTGGCTTTGGCGGCGGCACGGCTGGTGGGAAAACAGATTGCTCCTTCGCTTCTCAAATTGGGGAGGCTCGAAGGAGGGTGGTGGCGATGAAGAAGGAACAGGCAGCGTCAAGAGAATGAGCAAGTGGTGGTGGTTGCCAATGCGCGTCTTTGTTCTCTGCAGCTGCTGTCAGCAGCCATTATTGCGTCGTCGAGTATACCACCTCCCGCAGTACGGGCGGCGGATACGGCGTGTTCATCCTTCTGCCGAGCTCAATGTAGGAATGACAAGCGGCCAAGTCGGGGCCGCGCAAAGTATCGTTTCAACAGAATTCGTGCTTTACGTACCAAACTTCACCCCAAGCATGCAGCCAAGATTGGAATGGAGATGTCGCTGCAACTCCGCATTCCAGCAGCAGCTCGAGCGACGGCAGCAGGAGGGAGCAGCGCCCGCAGCAGCACAGCAGTACGAGAAGGCGGGCTGGGCTGGGCTGAGGTGGTATCCGGCAGAAACAAACTCGACGCTCGTGGCAATGCGTCGAACTGTGGTACTGTTTCGGCCTTTTGCTGGTCAGGAGGACCCCTATGATGGATGGCAGAGGCAGGGCGGCGTGGGCGGTAAGGCGGCGATAATGAGATCCACCGCGCCCCGATTTACCTCGTTTCGCGCGTCTCGAGGGATGAGAACAAGGCGAACGAGCGGCGGGCAGCGGGAACAACACCAGGTCCAGGAGGGGGGATTTCTATGTTGCCTGTTCTTCACTTACGTAGCCAGCCAGCAGCAGCGAGTGAGTGGATTGTGCGTGCGCACGCGCGCTCATGCAGCGTCTCAAATTGGATGAACCAACATAACTCTCCGCTTCCCTTTCCGGCGCGCTGCTAAGGAGATGGCGCTCACCGATCCTCATGAATGGAGAAGCTTCTGTCTCTGTTGCAGGAGCAGCTTCGGTCCATGTCGCCCAAGGCAGATGTCTCCGCAAAAGCACCTGGACGATGCTCACTCGCCTACGCAAGCACGAAGACGCCATCTGAAACTACTGTGGTAACATGCAAGGGTGAGCTTCCCTGCTGTACAACTAAACTGGGGAGTATTGGTCAGATGCAGATGCAGACAGGCGCACTTTGACAGTTGCCGCATCGGTGATCGAAGTGTCGCAGACAGCTCAATCGGTGGTCAAGATTGCGCAGGCGGCGTGCACGATCGAATGGCTCGAGTCAATGCAGAGTTGCGTGTGCCAGGTGGAAGTGAAGGGTGTCCTCCGTTGGAAGCAAGCGAATGGCAGGGCTCGCTGGAGACATGCCGGCGAGCCGAAAAGAACCATGAGCGCCAACCAGGAGACCCAGCACATCGATAGCCTCATCAGCAGATCTACATTGACCGCTGTCGGCGGCGGAGTTTTGCTGTCGTGAAGCGTATTGTGCATGCAACAGTCGCAGTGGAAGCGGAGAGGTCGCCTCTTGAACACGAGAAGATGGCCATCTTTGGTTCGGAAGACGGCACGGCGTGAAAACGTGGTCGGTGGAACTTTGAGATGCAGGTGATGCGGCAGAATTTTGTTGTGCATCTCATCACTCAAGACCCAAGACGCGCTACCCAAAATCAGAGTGCGTACGTGAGAGCGATAGTCGCAGAATGTTCAGACCGGATCACGCGAGATCCGTCTTCTATATCATTTTGTAAGCTCTATGCGATGCAGCCTTCCAACCGTCGCGCTGCAATATCCAATTGAGGAGCAGCATCCGGCCGCGAACCGAAGTTGGGAACGTTTGAGATCTCCGACAAGGAATTGCGTCGCACGGCAACACCCTGTGCTTTGCCGCCAACGGCCTCACGTTGTGCACACGTCTTGTCTGGTCCCTGCCCCTCGCCTGATCGTCTGGATACACTCGTGTGTGCAGAATCGATTGTTCACGAAAGAGATGCGGCTCGATAGCGCCTGCAGTCCGATCCTTCGCTCGTCCGCGACGCAGGCCGAGCGCTGAAAATAACCCGTTGCCACCACGTTCGTCGCGCTCGCTGCGACAGCTGCTAGCCCGCCGCGCTTCAGGGGCTCAGCGTTGCTTGGCCGTCTGCTGGACAAATCAGCGCAGCGCGGAGGCAGACATCCTCGTCTCTTTCGCACGGGGCAACCATCGTTCTCACCACCGCAGCGCCGCCATCCCCAGTGTCTCGCTGTTGTCGTCGTTGGCGCGGTCTTGTTGCTGTCTGTTTCATCGTCACTCGCTGCGGTTGCTATTGTGTGCGTCGCGACACTCGTTTTGGAGCAAACACCCCTCGCCTCACAGTACCTTCCGCCGTCGCTTGCTGAGACCCCCTCGGTGCAGGCAGGCACGCAGGAACATCCGGGCGCAGGAACAGGAATAGCCACCCATTCTGCCCGGCCGCGCGGTCCTGGACACTCGATCCGCCCACCACCCCACACACTCCTCCGCCACTTCGTACCCTCCGCTCTCACGCACGGGACACCGTACAGCCTGGTGTCGGAACAACGTATTATTGTAATCGCCCGAGAGACGACAAGCCAGGAAAACACTCTTAGCGGGGTCCATATCCGAGAAACAGCCAGGGCTCTGGAATGCGTGGTCTCGGCCAGCGCTAGACCAGAATAATGTCTTCGAACAACAGGCCAGACCCGACGCGTCGGCGAGACTCGTCCGGTCGCCCTGCGAACAACACTCGCCGCTCCTCCGGCTCACGGCAACGTAGAACATCTGCAGGCCCCGAAGAGCGTGAACATCCAGCCTTCCGCACCTCGAATTCGCATCGGCAGCGTCGCGAGAGCAGCGGTCACCGTGAGAGGGCTGTGGAGGACCTGAACAGCCACCATCGGCGGCGGAGGCAAAGTTCCTCACACCGGCAGCCACCAGCCCAGTCGCGAGGCATTAGCAACGAGAAAATACGAAAGGGCGATGGCTATGGTCCTGAAGTGCGAGTGAATAACATTCCACCTTCGCCATACTCTCCGAATCCTCAGGATCGTGATCCCATGATGGAGGCCGGTGGCCAGAGCAGGCGCGATGAGCTCAATCGCAAAAAGAGTCTGGTTAGACCAGAAAGGCGACGCATGGACCCCAACGATCCGGATTATTACTATCGCAAGCGGGTGCAACAGTCGGATATGAACGTCATGCCCTCAACGACGGGTCGGGATCCACAGCTCGAAGCAGATATGCAAACGCTGAGCTCGGATCCTTCGCTCAAGACGGGAGAAGAGAATGTGCCTCTGAATGAAAAGGAGGGCCTTCAGCGTGGCAAGTCTGGGAGAAGTGCAAGCAAGCGTACTCCTGCAAAACTGCACCGAAATTTGTCCAAGAAAGAGCGAGAGCGCGAGGAGAAAGAGGAGCGCAAGCAGAAGATCAAGAGTGAGAGCGGAACTCCTACGTTGTGGGGTACATATTGCCACATGGTGACTTTCTGGGCTCCAAATGTGTTCCTCCGATGTTTCGGCAAACGGGCGAAAGATGCGCAACGCGCGTGGCGCGAGAAGATCGGGTTGATCTCCATCATTCTGCTCATCATGCTGTTCGTGGGTTACTTGACATTCGGTTTCACGGCTACGGTGTGTCCAGAAGGTGGTCCTCTGCGATTACGCATCAACAAAGTGGGCCCGGGCTACATGATCTTCCACGGGCAAGCGTATGACTTGACCAGAAGTCAACATCCTCTGGCACGAGGCGTCCCTCCCAACTCCAATGTCCTCTTCGATCCGGACCCGCCTGGAGCAGGCATGGACGGCAGTTTTCTGTTCCAGAACGTGAATGGAGCCTGCAAAGGTCTCATCACAGCTGCACCAGGCTCAGATGTCCCCACTGATGCTTCAGGTAACCTTGCTTGGTACTTCCCTTGCAACATGTTCAAACAGGATGGTTCGTCAGCACCCAATGCGACTATTCCGTACTACCTGGGCTACTCTTGTCACACTGGTCGCACTGGTCGAGACGCGTTTTACAGCCTTCGGTCGTCCGGAGATGTGTATTTTAATTGGGACGACGTACGAAATTCCTCTCGCAATCTTATGGTATACTCGGGGGATGTTCTCGACCTCAATCTGCTCGAATGGTTCAACACGACCCAAGTCAGCTACCCGGCCAAATTTGATGAGATTCGCCAGAACGAAGCTCTCCGCGGCAAGGATGTCACTCTGGCATTCGCATCTGGAGAAAACAAGCAGGCAGCTCAGTGCTTTCAGGAAATCATCAAGGTGGGCTCGATTGACACCGAGACTGTCGGCTGTATCGCATCAAAGGTCGTGCTCTACGTGTCTTTGATCTTCATCCTGGGTATTGTCCTGGCCAAGTTTTTCATGGCTTTGTTGTTTGAATGGTTCCTGAGCAAGAAGTATGCTGCTGCCAAAACCAGCATGAGCAAGGACAAGAAGGAACGGCAGGATCAGATCGAAGAATGGTCGGATGATATCTATCGTGCGCCTCCGAAGATCACGGATCCGGCTTCGACGACAGGAACCGACCGATCGAGCAAGCGCAGCAGCTTTTTGCCAACAACGTCACGTTTCACCAGCCCGTATGCTATCGACCGAGGCAACAGGAAGAGTAGCTTGCAGCCAACAACCATGGTGACCTCATCCTCGAACAACAGGCTCACCATTGGCAACGCTGCGGCTGTCTATGGTCAGCTTAACCGATCGGAAGGTACCCTTCCACTATATGGCGCAGATGGACGACACTCAGAGAGCCGCGCCAGCTTGATGGAATCCAGCAACTATGGGTCTTCTGCTCAAAGGTACAGCAGCGTGATGCACGGCGAGGTAGACACTCGCGGCCCACAAGGCTTCATCCACGAATCTGTCGTGCCGCAACCTCCTCCAGATTGGCAGCCATACGGCTTTCCCCTCGCGCACACCATCTGTTTGGTTACTGCATACTCTGAAGGACCTGAAGGTATTCGCACAACATTGGACAGTCTTGCCATGACCGACTACCCGAACAGCCACAAATTGATCTACGTCGTGTGCGATGGCCTCATCCAAGGTAAAGGCGAATCCATGTCGACCCCCGATGCTTGTGTGAGCATGATGAAGGACTTTTCAGTGCAACCCGACCAAGTTCAGGCCTACTCGTACGTCGCTGTCGCCTCTGGAAGTAAGCGTCACAACATGGCTAAGGTGTACTGTGGCTTCTACGACTATGGCGCCGACACCAAAATTCCGGTCGAGCGTCAACAGCGCGTGCCCATGATCGTTGTTGTCAAGTGCGGCACTGAAGAGGAAGCTAAATCATCGAAGCCCGGCAATCGAGGCAAGCGCGACTCCCAAATCGTGCTTATGTCGTTCTTGCAAAAGATCATGTTCGATGAACGTATGACCGAGCTGGAGTACGAAATGTTCAATGGTATCTGGAAACTCACTGGTATCTCACCCGATTTTTACGAGATCGTGATGATGGTCGATGCCGATACCAAAGTCTTCCCGGATTCGCTCACTCACATGGTTTCTGCTATGGTCAAGGATCCCGAAATCATGGGACTTTGCGGCGAAACTAAGATTGCCAACAAGCGAGCAACCTGGGTTTCCATGATTCAAGTCTTCGAATACTTCATCTCTCACCATCTTTCCAAGGCTTTCGAGTCTGTCTTTGGTGGTGTGACATGTTTACCAGGCTGTTTCTGCATGTACCGCATCAAAGCACCAAAGGGCGGAAAGAACTACTGGGTCCCTATTCTGGCTAATCCCGACATCGTCGAGCATTATTCGGAGAATGTCGTGGACACCTTGCACAAGAAGAACTTGCTGCTCCTCGGAGAAGATCGATATCTGTCCACGCTCATGTTGAAGACTTTCCCCAAGAGAAAGCAGATGTTCATTCCCCAAGCCGTTTGCAAGACCACTGTACCAGAGACTTTCAAGGTTCTCCTCTCGCAACGTCGCAGATGGATCAACTCGACTATCCACAATCTCATGGAGTTGGTCTTGGTCCGGGATTTGTGCGGCACCTTCTGCTTTTCAATGCAGTTCGTCGTCTTCATTGAGTTGATGGGTACCTTGGTCTTGCCAGCTGCTATTAGTTTCACCATCTACGTCGGTAAGTGTTCTCGTTGTCATTTGTCTGAAAAGTCTGCTAACGCCTTGTGATTAGTTGCTCTCGCTGTCAAAGCTGCCATCACCGGAACCGAGGCGCCAGTCATCCCCCTGGTGCTCCTCGCGCTCATTCTTGGTCTTCCTGGTATCCTCATCGTCATCACAGCTCACCGAGTCTCGTACGTGCTCTGGATGGGAGTCTACCTGTTATCTCTTCCAATTTGGAACTTGGTCCTTCCCACCTATGCCTTCTGGCACTTTGACGACTTCAGTTGGGGTGACACACGTCAAGCGGTAGGAGAAAAGAAGGGCGCCGGCAAAGGAGGCCATACCGAGGAAGGAGAATTCGACTCGAGCAAGATCGTCATGAAGCACTGGAATGTCTTCGAACAAGAACGACGCCTCAGAGGCCCACAGTGGATGGACAGCACCCAGACACTGTACGGAAATGGCACCCAAGGCAGCCCGAGCATGGGCAGCCATCACCAAGCTTATCCCGGACACGAACGCAAAGTCAGTTCGCTCATGATCTGATGACTGCTGTTTTACGAGACTACGAAAACGCAGAAGGACCAAAAAGAGATTAGTCAGGCAGCAAAACGGAAAGCGGCATACAGGACGGCGCACAGAACCGATAAATTTATCAAATTTCTCCACTTCGCGGAAAGACGAAGTAGATAGAGGAACGAGGGGATGGAAAACAAACGAAACGATTTATTGTTGATGTTCTTTCGACACTGTCTTTATGGAGACGGACATGTATATATGGGATTCAGGCCTGTTTTTCGACTTGACAGATTGGGCTACGGATCGCTTGGTGGCGGTGAAAGGCTAGCCTTAGATGGAATCGGAAGCATCCTGGGATAGGTTCGACACAATGGGCGCGAGTGAAACCCGGACTCGCAACGGAAAGATTAGTTTATTACTCTGCATTCAATGCTAATATGTGATATTGTTACGCGATTGCTTTCTTTCTCCTCTCTTCTGGCAATTCCAACGGCTCTCTTACCCAAATCTTCGCCACCTCTTCCGCCACACTCAACAAATGAAGATCTCTATACCTCGGTGCCACAAGACTCAATCCAATCGGCATATTCTCTTCACCTGTAAAACCAGGAATATTCACAATCGGAACATGCAACGCAGTCCAAATTCCCTGAAACACCGCACTCCCCGTCCTTTCTAACCCTTCTGGCGCAACATCCGGTACAGAAGGCACAACCACAGCATCGAATTCTTCTGCTATCGCATCGAATTTCGGCCTCAGAGCTGCGATAGTATCGCAAGCTGAGAGATATTGTTTCCGAGTATAACCGTGGAATTCTTCAACGTGTTCGACTAAATCTGCTGCGAGGGAGGATTTGGCTAGACGGTATTCGGGGAGAAAGGACACGCGGCCATCGGAGAAGAGCATTATGGTGTGGAGTTGAGGAAGTGATTGGAATTCTGGGGGGAGAGAGAGGTCGGTTATGTGGGCGCCGGAGGATGAGAGGAGGGAGCGGGCTGTTGAGAAGGCGGAGCGGGTTCCTGAGCCGGCGTGGTTCCAGACCATGGTTTTGCAGAAGGCGAGTTTGAGGCCGCGGACGCCGTTGGAGAGGGGACGGGGAATCTCGTCGTCTTTGAGGCCGAAGAATGTGGAGAGGAGGGTGAGGTCTTCGATGGAGCGGGCGTACCAGCCGAGAGTGTCGAGGTTGAGGCTGTAGATTTTTTGGCCTTCGCGGGAAACGGAGTTCCAGGTGGGTTTGATTGCGTAGATACCGTTGAAGCTTGCTGGACGGATCATGGAGCCTCCTGTTTGGGTTCCCAAGGCGAGGGGAACTTGGAAGTCGGCTACTGCGGCGCCTGAGCCTGAGGAGGAACCGCCTGGTGTTCTGCCTTCGTGATGGGCGTTTGCGGTCTTGGTGCCGATCACGTTTGCTGCGAATTCGGTGGTGGTTGTTTTGCCAAAGATTAAAGCACCTGCTTGTCGGAGCATGGCAACGCTTCCAGCATCGATCTCGGGCATGCTGTCTTTGTAAATTGCCGAGTTGTGCTGGGTGGGCATGTCTGACTGATATCAGTTTTGTTGAATCCTCGTTGTTGGCATGACTTTCAGTACCTTTCGTGTAGATTACATCTTTGATGGCGACTGCAACTCCATGTAATGAACCACGTTCTTCCTTTGGTAGCCTGTCAAGAGCTCTCGCCTGTTCTAGGACCTGGTTGCCATCCAAAAAGATCCATGCTCGAACGGCATCGTCTCGTTCCTTGATGCGGTCCAGTAGAGAACGGGCATAATCTTCCACAGTCAGGTCTCCAGCTCGAATTGTCTTGATCGCCTCTGTGGCCGTGAGGCGATATGGCTCAGTCCGCATGCTGTACGACGTTGTCAGAAGTTCTGGAGTAACTATCGATGCTCAGCACCAACAAAAGACTTGGTGCTCACCCACGACGATGTTGTCTGAGGCGAGGAACTGCATCTCCTCTTACGCTGCACTTGATCCTCCGCCGGAAATACCACTCGGCGGCGCTTGACGCCCGCGACTTGGCCGCTATCAGCCAGCAGATAACCTTGCGTGTCCAACGACCCTGTCGACTCGGATGCCGGCGCCATATTCACGGCAGACAATGGAACAGCTAGAAGGTGTGACAGAGAAGTCCATTTTTGACGTCTCTTATTACGACGAGCCTCGGTGGTGATCAGAAGGCTGTGAAAGGTGGTGTTGAAACGCCTCCCGCTGCACCTTCCTCCACCTCATTCGTTCCGCCGACGTTGGGGTACGAGCGCCAAGAAGGGAGAAAGAATTTCCGTCCTCGTTGACTTTCCAAAACCAGTTAGGAGGCAGCAGTCGGTCAACTACTGTTCGCGGAACATCAATTCGATGGAGTCAGCAGAAAGTCCAAAGCCTCTTGTTTGGATCAATGGCTTCCCGGGTGTTGGCAAGCTCACAGTCGCAAGAGAACTTTTAATGCTGTACACCAAAGCACAGGTGGTACTGATTGACAACCATCAGCTCATCGATCCTGTTGCTGCCCGATTGCAGCGTGATGATCCCGAATACTATGTGGAGCGTCGTAAGGAGCGACAGAAGGCTCTCGAGCGGTGGGCGCTCAATAGAGACGAGAGACATAGATTGGTCGTCTTCACGGGTGATCCATTGACCTGCTCTATCTGTATCACCCGAGATCTGACTCACAAAGCAGACTATCAATCGAAGAACGAACTCAGCAGCGCGGTTGGAGCAGAATACAAGGACGCTGCGCTAAGAGCAGGACGCGTCTTCATACCGGTCGTTCTGCATTGCGACCAAAGTGAAAATCTGAAACGAGCTGTATCGACGGAGCGGCAGGAGTCTGGTACTACGAAGCTCACAGACGTCGAAATTCTGGCAGAGCTTCGTGCGGAACATGTTATGCTGACTTTCGATCAGCCCACTCAATTAGGACTGGATGTGAGCGAGCTGAGTCCCAGTGTCGCAGCAAGGAAGCTGTATGAGCATATTGCGTGTATCGAGCTGCACGTTCAATTGAAATCTTGAGAAATCCATCTGGCACGTCTCTATATCGCCGTGACATTCCAAATGTCTGCGAAGGGATCGTCTTCCGAGTCCAACGTACGCTTGTCCTCCATGTTGCTGTTACCAAGTCAGTGCCAGCCATTTGCTGTTCATCATAGAGACCTACTTGACGACTCTCGTGACCACTTCTTGGCCATACAAGCATTCGATAAATGCAAGCGTTCCGTCGATTCCAGAAGACACTCCAGAAGTCGTCCAGATATTCTCATCTACGACCCAGCGCGCATGAGGGATCCAGTCAACTTTCTCGTTGGTCGCTGTGACACTTTTGTATGAGGCTTTGTTTGTGGTGGCTCGTCTTCCGTCCAGCACGCCTGCATTCGACAGCAAAAGCGCTCCGGTGCAGACACTGATGATGTACTGTACTTTGGACGATCTCTGCTTGATGAAGTCGATCGTACTGTTGAGCATAGGATTGCGGGTCCCAATGCCCCCCGGCACCAATAACACAGCAAAGTCGGGTGCTGTCGCGAAAGTCGTGGTTGGTGGCACTTGGTAGTGGGTGCTCGAATTGCGTAAGCTCATCGAGGTGTTCACAGGTCGGTTGGTCACCGGATCGAGAGTGTCCGCGATCAGATGCAGATCGATCTTATACTGCCCTCCAAGAAGCCGAGTGCATCGAGCGGCCCGAAGACGTCCAAAGTCTGGAAGCCGCGGAACAGTACCACGCCATAGCTCCTTGGGATGGTGGTGGAATTGAGGTCAGGCTGGGATTGCACGCCTGCAGACGTGAGTTGGAGCAGGGATATGGGTGCAGAGCAGGTGAGAAGCTTACAGTAGTCTGGCTGATCACTGTTTGTCTCGGGCGCCGCTGCGGCTGTCACCAACGCCGCGGCCTGCAGCAAGAGTAATATTGAGATGGAGTACTTCATGATACGAATGATCACTGTCAATGCAACGACCTCTCCACGGCGCCCTTCTTATACCACACCAGCCGACCCGTGTTGCAGGTCTCCCGACTGCTTATTGTGCACATCGTTTCCATTTCAACACGCGTGCTCGCTGCCACCGATGCGAAAGTGCAGAAGGATTCCCGTGAGGCGCAAGTAGAGAGGGCAGGCCCTTTGTTCCTGCTGTGCAACACGCCCAGCCAATGAAGTCACGCGGTAACTTGCTCAAAAGTCCGCAGGCGCGACTTGCATGTGCCCGCCAAGCTCTTGCTGTGTTTCATGAACATATCTCGGACGCGAAACGTTAGCCTCGCGCGACGTTAAAGAAGCAAGTTCCCACTCGATCCACATCGCCAACACCACGGCCGATCAGCGACGTTCACACCTTGGATCACTCGGGAATGGACATGGCGGCCATGTCAGCGACCTCTTCTGGGGCAATGCCAACGTCGACGGCCGCGTCGATGGATGATATGGATATGGGTATGGGCGGCTGCAAAATCAATGTAAGTGTCCGATAGTCTCGACCGCGGACCAAGACTAACGGGAGCAGATGCTGTGGAACTGGTATACCATCGACGCTTGCAAGTGCCTCTCCCGAGCAATGACAATATCAGCCTAACGTTTGCAGGCTTTCTCTCGGAGTCCTGGCGCATCACGTCCAAAGGCATGTTCGCAGGCTCCTGCATCGGGGTAATCTTGTTGGTCATGGTTCTCGAAGCTCTTCGTCGCGCTGCGAAGGAATACGATGCCTTCATCGTGCGGAAGCGGATGACCGCCGTGCAGCCATCTACCGCGACCAGTTCTCAGCCCAGTGACAGCGACTCGAGCAAAAATGCAAGTGCCACAGCGACAGCTATGCCTTCGAGGCCACTCAGCTTCAGGCCAACAATGGCCGAGCAGCTCATCCGAGCCCTTTTGCACATGCTCCAATTCGCAGTGGCTTACTTCATCATGCTTCTAGCCATGTACTACAATGGCTACATCATCATTTGCATTTTCATCGGCGCTTTCATCGGCGCGTTCGTCTTCAATTGGACCAATATTGGACTGGGGTGAGTACGGCGCAAAGGCACGAAGTCATAAACTGACCCATACTCAGAGGAGAGAATCGCGAAATCACGTTCTGTTGCGGATGATGGATCTCGTCAAGAAGTCGCTCGATGCGGCAGAGCTTGTTGCATGGGTCGGACTGGAGGAGCCGCATGCCTTTCGTCTTCAGAACTGCGTCTTTATTGCGCGGAGCCGCCTGGTGTTCCGGCTTGATCGCGTGTTCTCGCACCCGCTCTCCTTTGCTGCGTTTCGCCGGCGCTGTGTATAGCTGACCGCATTGGGGCCTCGAGAAAGCTGTTCTGCGGTTCAGGATCTTGCTTGAAGCAGTCTGAGCACCTTATGTCCGACTCACTCGTGACTGCGAACTACACCTTCGTTGTAAGAGTGGGCATTTCGAGGACAGGTCAGTCAGTAAATAAGTAATCGCAGATGAACTTCCCCGGCCTTTGTATGCTGTGGTCGCGACATTGAGACTTTCTCCAGCGCCCTGTCGTTTCTTGCTCCCTCCCAGCACCGACGAGGGGCCGTCAGGGATGAGCTCTCGCAAGGCAAGCGACCACCCTCTCAGCGGCTCCGCACAGGGAACAGCTCTGCATCTCCATTGCTGCGAGGCGGGTGGGCGATGGAGGACATGGTGTTCGAAGTCGGGAAATGATGCAACGCGTCGCGGGGTTTGCTTGATCCCCGTTTGTCAGCGGCCACTTTCTCCGGACCAGCTGCCGCTCTTAACATTTTCACCGAGAGCGAACAACACGACGAGCGGATCAGGCACCCTGTCGAGAGCTCACGAGCCGTTTTCGCGATGCGTTCCTGCAGCCTGAAGCTTCGAGAGCTTCGCGTCATCCATCCTTTAAATTTTGCTATGCCTTTGTGAACAGCCGCACAACATACGGGTTGGTCAGCTTCGAGCACTATTGTCGTTCTTGTGCTTTATAAACACCACTGCTCTTTCCTTTGCCTATCTTATTCCCTTCTCGAAGTACGTCCCGCGTACATACCACCATCCACAAGTCACAACGTCATCATGGCACAGAACCAAGCCGCGTGGATTGACAAAGAGCCCAGAAAGCCTTTGCGAGTGAGTTTCGACTGTCACTGTTCCACCAAACATCAATGCTAATACAGCACTCAGGTAGGATCGGCTGACGTTCCTACGCCTGCTGATGACGAGATCGTTGTCAAGAACCATGCCCTCGCCATAAATCCCGTGGACTGGAAAATCCAGGACTACGGCCTCTTTGTCCAGCAATGGCCCAACATTCTCGGCACAGATGTAGCTGGTGAAGTGCACGCGGTGGGCAAGAACGTTACACGCTTCAAGAAAGGCGATCGCGTGGTAGCGTGAGTTTTGTCCCAACACTTTCTACTTGACCAGATCTAACATGCTCTCAGTCACGCCGTGGGCCTCGCAAACGGAAAAGCCACACATGGTGCCTTCCAACTCTACACCGCGATCCAATCGGCATACGCCGCAATCATCCCGAGCAACATCTCTTACACGAATGCTGCTGTCCTCCCTCTCGCCATCGACACTGCCGGCCACGGCCTTTACGACCAGCGCAGCAAGGGCTTCCTTGGTTTGCCTGAACCGACACTACACGGATCGCCTTGCAATAAGACAATTGTCGTTTGGGGTGCTTCATCATCTGTCGGAGCCCTCGCAGTCCAGCTCGCCACAGCTTCCGGCGCAAAGGTCATTGGTGTGGCATCAAAGCACAACCACGACTTTGTCAAGAGCCTCGGAGCAGTTGCAGTGCTCGACTACAAGGAGCCTACAATAGTCGACGATGTCGTGAAAGCCATTTCTACTGCTGGAGGAGAGTTCGCGGGTGTTTACGATGCTATTGCCCTCCCGGACTCACGAAAATCCGTCTTCCCGATTGTCGAGCAGTTCGGTGGTAACAATGTTGCGGGCACCCTGCCTCCACCAGAGTCTGGTCTTCCCGAGAAGATCAAGTATGGAGCCATCTTTGCTGTGAATGAGGTCAACGCTCCGATTTGGGAGAAGTTCGTCACCCCGGCTCTGGAGTCGGGACAGCTCAAGGCTGTGCCAGAGGCAGTCGTCGTCGGAAAGGGACTTGAAAGTGTGCAGAAGGGGCTTGAGGCCAACAAGGCTGGTGTTAGCGCGAAGAAGATCGTCGTGGAGTTGTAGTCTAAAGAGGGTATGAAGATGTGATAGAGTACATCGGTGGAAATTCATGGCACATGGAGCATCTCATGAGATACACATACGACCGGCGTATACATCTGTAGCATCATGTTGCATACCATACGGCACCTAACGCACAGCTTGGCATATTTGATGACAAGCTTGACACTTTATGGAAGGAAGTCTTATCCAATAAGCAAAATGAGCGACGCTACTGTCAGGTAATCTCAACCACACCAACACCAATAGCATACCAAAATCTCAAAAGCATGCTGTAACCCACCCTCAGCCTGCGGGCAGCCGGCGGCTTCTCGCGGAGCCATCCATGAGTCTATATATTGTACCCAAAGCTTGGACCACCACGAATTTGCTCGTCCAATTCAATTCGGCTGACACCTGTCTTGGCACGCTTCACGCTGCTATACAAGGACAGCTGATTTCGGCCGTTTGGCTCAATGGTAGAGCGTCCGCCTCCTAAGCGGAAGGTTGTGGGTTCGAGTGAGTTGTCTCTATGACTTGCTTGAGTGTGATCATGTTCTAATGTCGCCCGAAGGTCCCATGATGGTCGCAATGTGTAAATTGCTTTTTTGCCTCCCGGGGTATCTTTTTGAATGGAAGAAGAGAGTGCAAGGCATGCTATGCGTTGTAGTTGGTGCGTTGTTCGGTTGAATATGCGCTTCGGAATGTGGTAAGTCTGGAGACTAGGGGAGAATATAAGGGCGGACGTGAGAATGAGATGATGGTGACGTTGAAATTTTGCTTTGATTTGGTCTCAATAGCTATCGAAGATCTCGCGATGTGTTATGTACTTTGGCAAGGTATAGTTCTGATAATCGTTCGAATGATAATGCAACAGTGCCGACAATGGTAAGAAGTACGGCATGTTGCATATCCAATGTCCAGTCTCGTGCGATTTCCGAATCCGAATCTTGCACAAGTCGAGGGCGTTGGTTGTACTTATACGTTCGCTTGAAGTCGAAGATCCAAGATATTTGTGCGAATAGTTTGGGAGTGTTGAGTTGCTTTGCGCTGTTAGTCATGGGTCCTAATCCGCTCGACGCCGAGAAATGTACCATGAATATAGCAAAGACTATGGCGATGCCAACAATCCAGATGCTGTTGGGCACGCTCGTTGTAGGTGTCCGTGAAAGGCCGATGCTAGGTTCTGATCGTTGCGCAGTAACATCCAGCATCTTGCTTCGAATTCTGGATATTTCACGAGTGGTGCTGCGACTCCGCACTGGTGTTGATCGGCCGCTGCTAGCCAGATTCTCGAACGACGACACTGTGTGCAGGTGTGCGACGAGGTTCGTATGCTGAGGTATCGCCAGGTGATCCATGGTTGGTGTATCTCACTATGCCTCTGGTTCTCACGGTGTAGAGAGCGAAGCGGTGGCAGAGTTCTGACATACCGAGGCGGTGCGTCTAGATGTATACAATAGGCCAAGAGCGGTTGCTAGCCTTCCTGCAGCTCTAAAGTCACACGACCAACACCGTCATGCGATGGTAGTGCGCTGCGCCATGAACCTTCGCTGGTGCAGGAAGCGGACACATCCGATTCACGCATGCTTGTAGGAAGTCCATCTTGGCCATGAGGCTGTTGTATATTGTGTTCACATGGTGATGAGTTGCGTGGTAGAAGTGTGTGCTGGAAAGATGGGGGATGTGAGTGCCAAGCAGCCGATCGGCTTGAACCTTATCCGCGTTTCGAGCCTAGCGGCGAGCTCACTCGACTGTGCATGTGTAGTGCTGTAGTTTGTTGCACAGCACCGGACTCGCATTGAGCCTTTGCGCGTTGCTTGTCCGTCCGTCCTCCACGCACGATTGAACATCCCGGCCAACCACGCAAACGCCGCCGATACAACGGGACGCCACAGATCGCAAAACGGGGAGATCGCCAACGAAGGCGGAAAGACGCAAGTTGCCGAGAGCAGGAACGGGGTTAGAGTGAGGCAGGAAAGACATCCACGCAGTAATGAATGCCCGCAGCGGTACGTAACACACCATCATCCATACAGGACAGCTGGACGTCGACACACCACCACTCCGACACGGCCAGCACTGCCGACATGGCCGAGAACCGGCCTCGCACGCGCGGTCGTGGGAGACGACAACAACAGGCTCGCGTTCCACTGGCACCGAATTATTATCAACACGACAGCAGCTCGGTGACTGACAGCGTTGCGGGTGACATAGGCAGTCAAGCGCAAATGCGCACCATGAACATGGGCTCCTTTGGTGCCCAGCCGAACGCACGACAAAATTCCAGACTACAGAATACACAGAAGACGGGACTAGGAAATGGCAATGCGGGAGCTGGATGGGCATTTGGTGCTCCGGCATCAGCAGGGACTGGTTTTGGGGCGCCGGGTCTAGCACGTCCAGGACAGCTGTCTGGCTTTGCGCAAATCATGGGCGGAGGAGGGCAAACACAGATTGACATGAAGTGAGTCTATCAGGATAGCCACAAGAGCTGCGAATGCCTCGATCTGCACTTGGGCTGTTCCACAGAGATACTGATACTGGGCAGTGATTTTCCTACGTTGGCTGGGCCCGGCCGGTCCAACTACAACGCCAACAGCTGGAACAGCAACGCCGTACGACAGGCGCAACCACCGCAATCGGCTTCGCAACAGCCCGGACAGCAACAGCGAGCGCCCTCAACTGCGCCGTCACAGGTGTCGGTAGATCATTACGAGTCACAGCGTTCGCAGCAGCAGTCGACAGATCGTGGAGGGACCAATCGGAGCGACTTTCCACAGCAGAGTGATCAGGTATCGACCAACGGCGATTCGGCGCGGCAGAACGGTCTAGGGAGCAGTATTTTGGGCTCCCCCAGCGATTCGATACCGCAGACCAACGGTCAGCAATCCCAGCTGCCAATGCGCGAGGTGTCCGGCTCAAGTCAACAGGCTCCTATTGGGAGCGGGCAGCCTACACCCCAGTCGCAGGTTGGGCCTCCACCACAAGGCTTTGAAGCACAAGCTCTTCAGCACGCGTCACATACGAAGAGATGGGAAGATCTCACCGAGACAGAGCGATATGGCATGGCAGGCCTGATGTCTCAACTCGAAGCGAGACGTGCAATAGAGTCAAATCAAGCCATGGACGAGACTTTGCCGGTATGGACGCGAAATACCGCTTTCCTCATGGGCCAGGAAACTCCCGACTTCGGCATGGACTTGAACAATCCGGAGCCTCTGTACCCAACATTCTCTGTTTTTGGAACACGAACGCCTTCCGACTCATTCTACGATTTCCGAGATCAGTACACCGTTCCATCATTCCACGTGCCACCTGCGTACACCGTTAACAACGTCCCCGAGATGGCCTCCAGGATGCCGGCATTCAGTGATGGTAATGCGTCTCATCACTCTCTCCCGGGAAACGCTAATCTCATCACAGAAACCCTATTCTGCATATTCTACCAGATGCCACGCGACATTATGCAGGAAATGGCAGCTACTCAACTGAACCAACGGGACTGGCGGTGGCACAAAGTTCTGCGGAAATGGCTGCAGAAGGATACGCGCGAAGCCAACGCCGCCGCTGCTCCCACGCTGGTCGACCACACAAACGGAGCCCCTATCGGCCAGGAACCCATACGAATCAACGAGCGAAGCGAACGCGGTGTGTACATTTTCTTCGAAGAGAAGGACTGGAAACGAGAACGCCGAGAGTTTACATTAGACTACGACTCTCTGTACGTCACAAACCTAATGCCTACTGCAGCAGCGGCAGGCGTGTACGGCGGTGGAGGACGGAGCGGGAACTTTGGCGGCATGAATGGAGGGCCGGTGGGAGGATCGGTCGATCAGAGCGCAATCACGACTCCGTCGTAAGTGGCATTTGGGCAGCAATTGGCACCATGTAGGCCTTTTGGACGAGAGACACCAGCATCTGGAAATGCAGCCGTGGCCACGATGAGAAAAGTGTGATGAGAATTGCTAATAGCCTCGCGCAGGCTCATCTCGCCAATGCAATATTTTGGCTGACCAGTTGACTCACGGTGCGCAAATCCCAGCCTATTGTGTTGTGAGCATGTGCCAAGGTGGCAACGCAAGAAGGTGAAGCTGAACTCATGCTCGACTCCGATGATCCGCCGGTGAAGAGCGAGGGGAGCGGTGCTGAATCACGGACGCTGCAGTAGTGCGGCCGCGGAGTGGCTCCCAGGCGCCCCACAGTGCTGCGAACTTGGGCTACACATATTGCCCAACCTGGTTGCTTCACAAACGAGGCGCCGTCACACTCGCCTTCCTTGTCATGCGGCGTAGGGAAATGCTTGCGAAAAGGGCAGATCTGCCTTCCATCTTCCGCTATTGGCGTAGACCAAACATGTTCTGCAGGACTGTAAGATTGCATGCTACAAACCGACTATACTACGCAGGGATATAGATTATAACGGTATGCCGCGTTCAGCGAGCAAAACGGTGCAGAGGCGACGCTATGCGACTCGCCCTCTCTGCGGGCTGAATGAGGGTACAGAGGCAGCACGTGGCATCCGAAAAAGCGGCAGTATCTGGTTGGTTTAGACCACATGCACGCAAGAAGCTTAATCTTTCCCACCAAGCCACCACATCTCCCGCCGCACGTATTGCGACAGCGTTTCACCAGCATGTTGCCACCAACAAACAATACCATGAAGTCAGACGCGCCTGGAACTGCTTCTCACGATGTCACGCCCGCGTGGTGCCGGATTTCGCACAAAGCCGGAGCTTCCTGCGAACGAGAGAGAACAAAGCGCCGCGGTGCAGTGATCCGCGACTCATGCCCACGAGCTAGATTGCGCCACCAGCAGGGCGATTCGTAGCTTTGCCAAAACTGATCGCCCTCCGAAGCTCTGGGCCTTGTTCGAAACGGCCCAAACAGTGTCAGGTCCATTGTCTGCGCCGCTCCCATTCTGGAGCTGCCCTTGCAACGTTGATAACGTGAGGCGTTCCCTCGTCCCCGATTTGGTTTCCTGTCTTCTGCTTCTGATCGTATTCAACCTGGATCTCACGGCTTTGCCTGCTATCGGTCCGGAAGAGTTGATCGATCAGCGTCCCTTGAGAGATCAACTGTCGAAGATGGCACCTAACAAGAAGGAGACCCTGCTTGAGCAGTGTACGGGAGTCATTGCCATTGGCAATGGCATTGCCGTACACATCCTCGAGTATCTCTCCATTGTCAAAGAGGCGCCCCATGGCTTCAGAGAGATGGCCATCGAATTCGTCGAGACATCACGAGCTTTATTTCCCGCCAAAGCTGGTCTGGCACGTTCATCAGCCAAATTTCAACCCGACGTCACGGCACAACTCTCACAAAAGTTCCAGTTGACGAAAAATGCTTTCATCGTCCTGGACCAGGTCGTCAACAAGTTTCTCGGCAACGAGAAGAAGCAGACTTTTGGCAAATTCGGAAAGGGCTTCCGAATGATGTTCGCGGATTCAGAGATTGAAAAGTTACGCCTTTCCCTCAATCAATGCAAGGCCGAGTTGAGCATCAGCACATTGATGTTCTCGTCCCTGCTCGGGAACGACAAGGTGGACGCAGCAACAGCTATCGGGTACACCGCTTTGGCAGCTATACTCGGCATTCCCGACCCAACTGTCGGAAGTGCTGGAACACAACAAAATGATGCCTATGCCAGTCTGTCGCCAGACCGGAGGGAGCTGCCACCAACTCCTGGTCAATTGACCTTTGCAGCTCGCGATTCGTCGCTCCCACCAACGAAACCACGTGCCATGCCTATAGAAGGCACACAACCACGATATCCCGATACACCGTCCAGCGCCGAAACGTCGAGGACGACGAACATGTCATACCTGAGTGACCGCAGCTCTGTCATGATGCAGCCTGGCGACAACGGTTCTGACATCACATCTCTCATGTCGATGGTGCGAGAACAGGAAGATCTTACACAGTTCCACGACAGAATTTCTAAGCAGGCGATACGGATCAAGCTTGATCCTGCTCAGATGCACCGACGAGCTCCATCGAAACGCAGTGTCAATGGAACACCAGAGTCGGCGAGAAATGCACTTGTGAGCGCCATGCAGCAAAAAGATCACAAGATGGTCGAGCATCTTCTCGACAGCGGCGTGCCTCCGGAGCAAGGTCTGCTCAAGGAAGCGTTGATCACACACGATCTGGGTACTGTTCGATTGTTCTTGCTCTATGGCGCAGACCCCAATGCGCGAGACAAAGATGGTTCGACGCCACTCTATACAGCGACGGGATCGTCGTTCTACGAGGCGGCTACGCTGCTTGTGAAGTATGGCGGTGATAGCAATATCAGCACTGGCCCATACGGCGAGAGCCCGTTCGCTGTGTCCTTGACGAACAGCAAAGCACACTTTGCACAGCTCTACCTGCAGCACGGCGCTGACCCAAATGCCGACATGGGCAATGGCGAGACCGCTTTCACACAATCGATGAATAAGCACACTCCAGCGACTCTCGTCGAGTTGATGCTCGTCTACGAAGCGGATCCAAACAAGAAGAACGCACGCGGCGAAACGCCCCTCTTCAAGGCTATCACCGCTGAGCGACACGATCTGGTGACATACTTGCTAGAGCATGGCGCCGATGCCAACATGCCTGGCCCAAAGATTGTGCTCTGGCCTGCTGTGCACCAACCGAACATGCTCTCGATCTTGCTCGAACACAAGGCGGACCTCCGCCGCGCTCCTGGACTTCTCGAACTGGCGACATCCATCAACTCTCGCAAAGCGATCGACATCCTCCTCAAGTACGGCGCAGACCCCAACGCAAAGAAGGACGGCATCTACACACCACTCTGCTCTGCTATCCGCGACAACCATGAAGATCTCGTCGATATCATGCTCGCAGCAGGCGCAGACCCCAACCTTCCAGCGCTGGAACACCCAACTTACAAGTGTGTGACATACCATCGCACACACATGCTCCCCATCATCGTTGCCGCAGGTGCAGACCTTCATAAGCCCAAAGGCCTCATCGAGCACGCCGTCCAACACAACGATCGCGATGCTCTCGTCTACCTCATCGACCACAAAGTCGACATCAACGCCCGCAGCGTCAACACCGGCCACACAGCCCTCACAACCGCCATTCGCGAGAACAAACTCGAACTCATCGATTTCCTGCTTTGTCACGGCGCCGATCCGGGCGTCCGCGGTCAAGAATGGCCCATCGCTATCGCTGTCAAACATCCTGAAATTCTGGCAAAACTCCTCCCATATATTCCCACAACCAAAATCATCAAAGGAGCGCTCGAAATGGCCGTCGTGGCAGACCAGCTCGAAAGCGTCAAATTATTACTCGCCAAGGGTGTCGATGTGGAAGAGAAGAATGGCGGTGTTTTCAGTCCACTCACCACATCGATCCGAGAGAACCGAAAGGAGATCTTCCGATTCTTGGTTGATCAGGCAGGCGCGGACCCAAACTCTCCTGGAGAGCATTTGCCTATCATCAAAGCTGTAAGTCTCGAAATGCGTTGTTTCATGGGTTTGACGCAGCAATACTGACACACACCGCTTCAGATCCGCCGCCACCGCGAAGACGACATGTCCTACATCCAACATCTCCTCACCAAGGGCGCCGACATCAACCTCATGTACCGTGGCTGGAACGCCGTGCTCCAAGCACTCGATAACGGTGATTTGAAAATCTTACAATTGCTCGCGAGAGAAGGTCATCCAGATCTCTCCGCTCGCGGAGAAGATGGAAGGAGTGTGGCGGAAGTCATGCATGAGCGCGGACTAGATGAGGAAGAGAAGATTTTGAAAAGTGGAGGGGGTGAGAGTAGCAATGGGCAACGGGTGAGCGATCAGAGGGATATGAAACATGCTTTGAGCTCTTTGAGGGAACTTGTGCTTTGACGGGAGGAGGTTTTGGAGGGGTTGGAGGGGGTGAGGTGAGGTGATGGATTTTTGAACTCCCCCAACAACGATGTGCTGATTACTTTTCTTGGTGAAGATGGGTCTATGAGGAGGATGACGGCCGAACGAGAGATGTGCTTTCTTTTTCGTCTGTTTGGTGTTGATTGAAAAGGTCATATATACCCGGTGCGTGCGTGCGTGGATTGTTCTTGTTGCTTTTCGTTAGCTGCGTAACAGCGCCTTTCGCTCTATATGAGAGATTGTCATTTCTCTTTTTTCTGTACGTATGTAATTCAGAATGAATCATCAATCATAAAAATCATATCCACTCCTCCTCCCAAGTCCCAATGATCTCGCCACTGCAATCGATCACCAATCCTTACCCATCAACTTCCTCCTCCACCCTCTTCAACTCGTACCTTTGCCTTTCCCTCCCATCTTCATTTTCCGTGCCTACCACCCTCCATTCTCTCACTCCCCTTACTGCTACTTCCTCATCCCCATCCTCCTCGCCCTCCCCAATACCATCTGCCTCCCCACCTCCACCTTCCCCTTCGTCTGGTCCAACATGCCCAACCCTCTCCGCCCTTATCTCACACTCCCCCCACCCATCAGCCCCCAAAGGCCTAATCTCCCAACACTCCCTCGAACACCAGACATTTCTTCTTCTTCCCCACTTTTCACTCTTTTCTCTCCTGCTACAAGTCTTACAACCCTTGTTCACACACGCGAACCGTACGATTGAAATGTATGTTCCGCATATATCGCAGATGTAGGATGTGAGTTCTTTTGTCCTCTTGTCAAGTGCTTCGCGGGGGCGATTCGCTGGTTCGGGGGATGTGTTTGAGGCAAAGGGGGTGGTTTCGGCGCTCTCTTGGTTGACTTGCTGTAGTTCTCTGATGCGAAGAGCGAGACTTGTGAGGTGCGTTCGAGAAGCTCGGAGGTCTTCTGTAGGAGGTGCTGGTGGTGCTGAGAAGATGGGATCTTCTGGAAGACGTGACTGGTTTCGATTGAGTTGTTCCTCGACTTCTCGTCCGTGCAGGAACTCAAGGTGTTCAATTGCTGCTGAAAGATGCTCGTCTTCGATGGTGTTGAAGAAGTCGTGGAGGTTGGTGGAGGGAGTGTAGACGGCGAATTGGATCTGGTTCAGGAAATATTTTTGTTCTTTCGAGACGAGTTTGAATTTGGGCTTCGACTCGGCAGTGGTGTTGTGGTCTTGTTCAGATGTTTCTGCCTGGGTCGTATCGGCATCATCGACGGGAGGCTCGAGCACTGCATTTGATGTGGTTGAAGACTCTGGGTTGGAAGTGGCCTGGCCAGTACGACTGCTGCGCGCCACTGGGAGGATCACCATGCCTCGAGCTGCTTTGCTGCCTTTTGTAGGCATTCGCCTGCTGTTCTTGGTCTTGCCCATTGTTGATGATATTGCAGAATGTGTCAGTACTTGCAATGCCTGACATATAAGTACTGAGTCGCATCAGCAAACTAAAGGAGTCAGACAGAAGGGTCGAGGCGTAGAGACAGTGAGTGAGCGAGCTGTTTGCGATGATCGACATTTCTGCTTCACTCATAGTCAACTGAAGACAACTGGAAGACCATAAAGTGAAAATGTGCATGGCGCGTGAAGTTTCTTGTCTTGATTTCGTGGCTACCAAAGTGCCTTTTCGGCGTGCTCTTCCGCCGTCATCATACTGCAGCAAAGGCAGTGTGCCTCGTTGGATATCCTCCTTGACGCCATGCTTTCCGTTCCTGAATGCAACAACCAGATCTCGATGCGAGTGCGATACGCTTATGCGACGAGGGTGCTGGCAGTGGCGCTCTCGTATCGCCAGGTTGGTGGGAGAGCACCAACGGTCTTGTAGTAGCGAGAGAGGCGGTGGATACGGGACTCGATCAGAATGAGGCGGAACTTGCTGTCCTTGTCCTTGCGGTTGCGCTCGAGGTGCTTGCGGACAGCGACGGCCTGCACTCCTGGTTAGTTCATGTCTTGCCCGTTCGTGATAGGTTCACGCTCACCTTCTTGATCAACATGTAGAGGTCCTCTGGGATTTCTGGAGCGAGGCCTATTGTCTCTCTGTCAGTCTGTGACCAAGCAGAGGCATAAAATTTGTGCATGCGCATTGCAGAGGCATTGTGTGTATTGTAGTCCATCTTTTGCGAGGCGGTGTTTCCACTGGCCTCTATGATTTTCTATTTTCACACCGGGGCGACGAGTGGAGGTGTTGGCATACCGTTGCCCTTGAGGATACGGAGGATCTTGTTACCTGCGCAGTACCAGTCAGTATCATCTCCTGCCTTTCTCTCGCTGACAGTCGGCTCTTACCAGTGACAACCTTGACCTGGGCAACACCGTGCGAGTCACGGAGAACGACACCAATCTGCGATGGAGTGGCACCCTTCTTTGCGAGCTTGCAGATCTGGTCGACGACCTGATCAGGCGTGGTCTTGAGCCATGCCGGAGGAGCGCGCGAGTATGGGATGGCGCTCGAAGAGATACCCTTTCCGTTGCTGTGAAGACGACCCATGGCGGCGGTGGTTGTCGGGAGGAGTTGTCGAGGTGTTCGTTGGGTGCTTGCGGTCTCGAAGTTCAGAATTGCCCGCGCCCACCGTCCACACCTGCTCGAAATCGAATTTGAGTCTTGGCAGCGCTAACCCGCTTTGGTGCTAAACCTTGTTTCGTGCCTGCCTCACATGCACCACACTTCACCCTTCACTTTCAGCGGGTCGTCTATCTGGTGTTTTAGCCGTGCACTATTGTCCTTCTCCAACTTCACTCGTCACATGCCCAGTGTAAGCAGTACTGCTTTCACCATCTGCAGGAGTGCCGACGGCCTCCGCGCGGCGTTCCGTTGTGAGACCATGTGCGGCAGCGTGTGATTGCAAGTGCCACCTCTGTTTGCTGCACATCTGAAGGCGGCGCGCGCTGTGTGGAAGGGCGCTGAATGAGCACATGAAATTTGCAGCACGCGTCGGTCGGTTGATTGTTGATTGTGAAGCCGCGTCCTATTGACTTATTCTCATCCCCCGCCCTCTCTTCCACTTCTTCACCACAACACCACCCACACTCGTTAAGCACTTGCTTCTTCCAACTTCTACCACTCCCTCCAGCACTCGTTAGCCCTCTCTTCCATTACACCCACCCATCACCAAACACCAAGAACCTCAGCAAACCCATCATCAACATGCAGATCATCACCGACCTGTCGCTCCTCGCCACTCTGGCCTCGACCGTCGCTGCCACTTCGGCTTCCTCGGGCTGCAGCACCGTGTCGACCACAATCACCACGACCGTCGCCACCATGACCGTCACCGTCACTCCGGGCGCTTCGTCGACTGCTGATGCCGGCACTGCCAGCCTGAGCCACAGCACCTTCACCTCGGGCACTTGCTCGTCCAGCATCCCAACCACCAGCTCGAGGTATGTGTCGCGCGGACAGCAGCGCTTGTTGCACATCGACTCTTATTGACTCTTCCGCAGCTCCGCCGCTGCCTGGACCTCGACCAAGCAGGCCCCACCAGCTACGACCACTCCTTGGTCTCTGTCGACGTAAGTCGCCTCCTTACAGACCATTTCCTCGCACTCGCTAACCACCTCGCAGCTACACCAGCTTGGCAAAGACTGGCACCACTACCGTCACTCAGTGCGTCGCTGGTGCCCAGCAGGCCGGCGTCAACACCGTCCCGGGCGCCAACGGCACCACCTACGTCGTCTGCGCCGGCGCTCCGCACCCGACCGTGAGCACCATCACCGGCAAGCCCATCGCTGATCCTCTCGGTGGCAAGCAAACGACCACGGCGTTCTCCTTCTACCCAACCGGTCACGCCAACTCGACTACTGCCACGACTGCTACCGGCACTGGCAGCGTCCACACCACTCCAACCGGCATCGTCCCATTCACCGGCGGTGCTGCTTCTCTCGACGGCAAGAAGGCTCTCGCTGCTCTGGCTGCCGTCGCCATTGGCATGCTCTTCGTCTAAGGCGGCTGCTGCCTGTCACGACAACGACACGCTTCCCCAAGCTACGAAAGCGGAGACTCTCGCAGATCTCTGCCACGACTGATGGATGCACTGCGTCATGCTTACGGCTTCACTACGATGGTTGCATAGGCGTTCTTTGATTTCTTTCCTCGATCGCGGCTGCGCGAGGAGCACAGCTAGAGGCTTCTACAGCGGAGGATTTTGAGCGTGCTCGAGACCTCCCAGAGGCGCATTGCGTGCACATTGCTGCTTGATACCACTCTGTACCACATGAAAAGCGACTTTGATTCCCAATTATTGTTGACTTTCAGCGATCGTCAAACCTCGGTTCAGCTGGTCGTTCCTTTTCCTGAACATATTCCCTCATAAGAGAGTGCAGGACCGCCTGTGGCCAGGGCTCAAGAGATGGGGCACGAAGTTGGGCAATATCCCCCTGCCCGGCCGATTCGACATTCGTGCTCTCTTTTCTTTTCTGCTCTCACTCTAACAACTTTCAACAGGTGCGTGAAGCTGCCCAGGCTCCTCGCATGTCCTTCGAACGTCTCATAGACCGCGAGGCGGCTCTTACTCGGAAGGACATGCAGTACGCAGGACATTCCAGACTCCGAATATGATCTTTGTCGCCTGAGGATGATCCAATGCAGCATCCCCAGCTACCTTTGGAGACTTTCGTCCCCGGTGTAGTCTCGGTTTGCGTCATGTGGTCAGGACTGCGAGTGTTCACTGCGGTAGTAGTAGGTGTCTGCGATGGCCCTTTGTCCGAGCGCTGTGAGAAGCCGAACAAGGCCACGAGTGAAGAATTTCACTTCGGCTTACTCTCCACCTTCTTCTGTCTCGTCTTAAACTCCCTCGGACTCTCCAACACCTCCTGCTTCTTCCCCAACAACTTTCCAATCACACCTGGCCCACCCCACATCCCCACCTTCCTCTGCTTCGCCCTCGCCTCGGCCTCCCGATACTCTTTCTCTTTCCCACCATACTCCGCCCCCGTTTTCGCCTCATAAACCCCAGCCCACCCAGCTTTAATCATCTCCAACCCAACATCCCTCTTCAAAACCAAAAACCTCCTCATATGTACCATTCCAACAACACGACCATACTGATCCTTCGCCAAAGGCAAAACTCTCACCCTCTGATTCAACAACTGTCCCGTCAACCACTTCAACGCATCTTGTCCATGCGGCTGCCCCGGTCTACCAAAATGTGGTAACTCTGGAGCATCAATCCCTGCGATGCGGACGTGGATTGTCTCATTGGAGAGTTCGGTGGGTTTTGTAGGGATACGGCGATACCAGCCCCAGCCTGCGAAGCGGCCTAGAGGAGTATGATATAGTCGGAAATTATCTGCGTCTCCTACGCGTGTGACGTAGCCGTAGAGGGATTTCTTTCGGAGTATTTTTGGGGAAATGTAGTCTGCTGTGCGGATGCGGCGGAGGTGGCGTTTGTAGAGGAGTGGGAGGCTGAGGGCGAGGGTTGCGGTTGCTGTGCACCAGGCGATGGTTCTCAGGTTGTGGGAAGATGATGTGGAGCTGGGCTGGTTTTGGAGAGTGGCAGCAGGACTTGGGGATGTGCCATTTTCGCTGGTTGTGCTTGGGTTTTTGCGATGGTTTGAGAGCTTCCACTCGCTCCAGAACCAGCCCATGCCACGAAGACGCGTTGTGAAGAGCACGAGTCGTGATTGAAGGTCGGGATGTTCGGCTTTGAGTTCAGCCGCTGGACCCACTTTGGTGAGCTTGGGCCTGGCATTTGGTTCCTGCTCCCTCGACTCTGCAACAACAACTTCGTCATGAAAAGGAACTAGAATGGGAAAAGAGCCTACAATAACTCCATTGGCTTACTAGTATTGTGGGCAGAACACAGGAGCCCAGAGAAGTGACAAAGTCATCGCACGACTTCGTCCACATGCCTGCAAGTAGCCCCAATGGTATCTCACAGGCAGGATGCACTAGTGATGCACGATTCCCAGGCACATAAGTAGCTCACAATGCTACGCTCAGCTCAAGTTTCGACACTAACAAAGGATGTCTTCGTTGTGCGATATCTGCTCGGATCTGGACGTCAGGAGACTGCTGACCTCACCAGATAGTAATGAAGAAACAGAACTTGGAAGCTTGGAAGAAATCGAAGAACGAAGTGAACAATGCGAGCTATGCAAAGTCATCCTTTCAGCTATCCGCTACGGGCCATGGGCATACAGAGGCAAACTCGGCGAGGAAGACGGCTTCGTCCTCGTGCCTCTCTGGACAGTGGCTCTTCAGTGCAAATCCGGTGAAAACGAAGACCCCATCAGAGCGTACAGGCTTCATATCTACACGAATGAGTTCGAAGATGCTGGAGATGTGATGCTCGATGCTGAGGACTCATTCCGCATCAAGCGGCCTGGCATCGGTTATGGAAGACGCGTTGCGCCAGAAACTATCAGCTACGATGTCGTCAAACACTGGATCTCTACATGTGAGAAGAGCCACGGGGAGTGTAATGCCACGTATCGATCTGTGCAAGCTGTTCAACAGTTGCCTGAGCAGTCACTTCTGATAGATGTGAAGAGGCATTGCTTAGTGCAAGCTCCTCAAGACGCCAACTACGCCGCTCTCAGCTACAAATGGGGCGATGCCAAGCAATATCTCACCCTTCAGCAGGAGTTCCCAGATTTGCAGATCGAGGGGGCACTGACTTCGCGGTCTCTACCGTCCACGGTCCGGGATGCGATCACATTGACCAGGGAGATCGGACTCGACTATGTGTGGGTAGATGCACTCTGCATCATACAAGACAGCCCAACACACAAGGCTGCTCAGATTGGTCAGATGCATCTGGTATATGGCTGTGCCACTGTGACTATAGTTGCAGCGTCGAGTGCTGATGCCAACGATGGCATGGTAGGTGTCAGCGGCAAGCCACGAGACATCGTGCAAGCGTCGACGACCATCGATGGGCTTCGCTTATTCCCGCGAACGTGCTTTTTGGGCCGGATCATGAATGGCTCCGAATACAATACACGTGCTTGGACCTATCAAGAATCGTCGCTCGCCAGAAGAATCCTGTACGTGACTTCAAGAGGAGTTTCAATGCTATGCTGCACTACACTCTTTAGTGAGGAAATCAAGCTTGAGAACGATGCATGCGATACACGAGACTGCCAAAAGCACTCTTTGAATATGGCTACCGAACAGAGAAACGTATGGCGAGAATTCATCGGCAAGCAAAGAAAGCAAAAGTCCACATCCGGATGTACAGAGGCCTGCAAGATGCGGGTCAGGCAAAGTTACAACGAAAGCAGACTTCCCAACCTGCCCAAGCCAACTCATACGGCTGAGACCAAGGACTGGTCTGGCACGTACTTCAGTGCTTGCGAAGACTGTCTAGCATTCAATCGACGCAGCGAAGCAGAATGGCTGATGTATCTCGATGCGGTCCGAAGCTACACTCATCGACAAATGCGATTCGAATCAGACCGCTTACCAGCTTTTGCGGGTATTGCTGGAATCTTGGCAGACCAGTATGACACCAAGTTCTTGTTCGGTCTTCCAGAAAAGTACCTCGAGTTGGCCTTACTGTGGGCGCCTCGCAAGCAATTAAGCCAGCCATGTCGCAGAGACGGCCTTCGAGGTATTCCAACCTGGAGTTGGGCTTCGCATGAGATCTCCGCAGGGTATAGCGGGGACAACTGGCTCACGACTGAAGTCGATTGGTATCGAGCCCATGGCGACGGAATCAAACCTGTGCACAGTCTGAAGACGTATGGAACTCACGCTCTCCTTCGAAAGGACTTTCACAAACCTGTCAATTTGCTCGATCTCAAGAATCATGGCCTGTTACCACTGGACGATACTGCACTCTACGGCTGGGTCCAAAGCTCCTCGGATTTCTTCCTCAAGGACTTACAAGTTCATACCGCGGACCAGAAACCTGTCACATCAGCATTGGGATATGTACGATTCAGCGACGTACCTCCCAAGTACGATCTCGATTATCAGCCTGTTGAGGTTATACTGTTATCGCGCAGTTATCATACGCCGATTCAGAATGTCTACGACGAGAATTGGGATTTACAACCACATACTATAAATCTTATTGTCGTGGAGAGAGACGGCAACGCGGTGAAGAGATTAGCTAAAGCTGATATCAATGATGTCAAAGCATGGAAAGACGCGAAGAAAGAATGGAAATTGGTCAAATTTATTTGATTGTGAGGGGCAGAGCTACTCGATCGTCAACGTGCGTACTTGTCAAGATCATACCTCAAGCGAGATAAGTCAAATGTATTTGACTATGAGGGCCAGAGCTACTCGGTCGTCAACGTGCGAACTCATCAAAATCATATCTCAAGTGCGATACCCCAAGGTCCAGAAAATGGACACAGGTACTCTGCATCAACAGTGAGCTCCCGGTCAATCGCCCGCTGGACAATTATCGACGTCATACCTCCATTCCCCAGAGCATTGAAGAAGTTCCGAACTCGGCCAGCGAGATCGTCCATTGGATGGATATCCCCATCATGAAGGGCTGCACCATCGCCAACGTCCTCTCTGTGCACAGTGAGATGAGAAAACCCGAACGCCGTCACCGAATAACGCCAACAGAAGGCGTAGCGTGCGTCCGCTTCCAAGAACTGGTCCATGAGGTCCGGAAAATTGAAAATTAACCAGCCAAGTGTATCTACTTCCTCGCCGGAACCGACCGTCTCGAGGTCGCGGTCGCGGATTGAATCGACGTATTCGATGGTTAGTTCGCGAAGAACAGAACCTGGAATAATGATTGGGTGGTCCATCGCTTCAAGCTGTAGTAATCTTGTTGTCAGTTCCGCGTGCGCTTCCATTGCTGCTATAAGATCCTCGTCATCAGAGTTTTCTTCGTCAGATTCCTCTTCGGTATAATGATAAAGCGTGACGCGGCATGACGGGCATTGAGAATTGCAGAGTTCGTTTTCGTTCACCCACAGTTTAAGACACTCGAGGCAGAAAATATGGCCGCATGGTGTTTGGGTGGCTTCTGTGAGAGTTTCGTAACAGATGGGGCAGTCGCCGCGGTCTGAGTTCTGCTCGGGAAGAGGCGTTAGGGATGCGAGGTATTCTGCTTTGGTCAGTTGTTCTGCCATGGTGGCCTGTTGGTGGTGGAATGAGGTGAACCAAGAGGTGTGTGGGGTTTGCAGTTGCAGTCGTTGTTGATCGTGTATGGGGCTGCGCTGCAATTTGAGGAATTCTGTTCTGATCTGGTCAGTCTAGGAGCGAAGGTATCTCGATTATAACAGTAGAGGGAGTAGGGCACAGTCGGTCGCGACATTCATTGTCTAGGAACAAAGTGAATGTGCCCGTGAAGAAAGAGTGATCAAGGAAGTTGAAGAGAATTGTAGAAAGGACACAAAGCCTTTGTTCCTATATGCTTTTGGGACGAAGTACGGGATGAAATGTTGCGGGAAATGGTCAAGTCTGTATTGAGTGCGATTGTGGCGACTACAGCTACATTCTACAACCTCTCTGGCCCGAAGCATACTCTACTAACACAGAGCGATCATATCTCAGCATCCTTTCGAGATAGCGTCGGTCGGGGCATCTTATTCTACATCCTAATCGCAATCTCGGCGTATCACCTACTCTACAAGACTCTACAAAACGATCGGATTATCGACAGTGCCAAGCTCTGCGGGCGCTGCTCGTGCTGCTCGTGCTGCTCGTGCTGCTGGTGCTGGTGCTAGTGCTCTCGCTGCTCGTGCTGCTGCCGGTGCTGCTCGTGCTGCTACTGGTGGCGGCGGCGGTGGTGGTGCTACTGCTGCTACTGGTGGTCCTGCAACCACCGCAGGCTCCGGCTCTTCCCACTCATCATCTTCCTCGATCTCGGCCTGATAGAGCGGGGCGCGGCAGCTTGGGCAAGAATTGGACATATCCTTGAGCCACATCTTGATACACTTGAGGCAATAAATGTGCTTACACGGCAGCTGGGTGGGATTCTTCATGTTCTCGAAACATATTGGCTGTGAAAAGTAGTTAGTATAAGGTCCCATGATGTCTGGATTGAGGATGCTGTACTTACGCATTCTTGTTTGTTGAGCGGCTTGAGGGACTTAAGGAAGTCGGCCTTGGTTGGTTGTTGGGCGGCCATTTTGTCTGTTGAAGTGGGTTAGTGGTATGTTTGGTTCGCGGTCGGAGTTGTTGATAATCGTGGACGGCTGTGCTGCGGTCTTGGAAACTTTCTACGATCTGGTCAATACTGGCTCGAGTTCGGGGAGGGAAGCTGGCAGATATAAGAAATGCAGTGGTAAGCAGGCAGTGATGGTCGTCGGAGAAAGTTACTGTCCGCACACAACGTGAATGTGAAGGTGAAGAAAGACCGATTAGAGAGATCGTCTTTGGCGATGCAGGCTTTGAATTGTATTGTGTGTTTGAACACAAGGACTTTGTTCCGAAAATATGTCGCGGGGCAGGACGAGTTTATGCATCGTTGGTTCAACTTCGAGATGCTAGAGTAGGTCAGCGCATGATTACTTAGAGAAGAGGAGAAGAGAGGCATTGCGTATGGGTGAGATGTAATTCTGATGCGGTGTTTTTGAGATAGTTCATTGATCATACTTGCGCCGCGAATACTACGTTGCAGAAACAATTCGTAACGCACGCCGGACTCCAGCCATGCTGCTAAAAACGAAAAAACAGACTGGTCAATAGGCCTGACTGGTGTAAGTGCTAATTGGACGGGGTCGCGTATGGAGTTACTTCACTGGTCCTTCCAGTAAAGCATTTTCTTCCATCCATCATCGGCTTCGACCCATCTGACCTCCATATCTTTCTGGCGCATGTCGGCCTCCTTATCAGCCGCACGCATGTACCAAGATTGGCCATTTGCGTCGTAGACCTTCCTGGTCCAGCCCTCCTTGTCCTCTTTGAGCATTCTATGGTTTTCCCTCTTGGCCGCTTCCTCGGGACTCATGCCGAGCATAGCCATTTTCTTGAGGTCTTGAGCCATATGCTGCTGTTCCTTTTGCTTCTTCAGCTCGAGACTAACGCCTGTTGTGGCAGAAGTCTTTCCTCGAAGAAGGTTCTTCTCCCATCTGCTTTCTGCCAAGCTTGGGTCGTCGAACATATCGTTGCCCTTTTCGTACCTAGCATTGAATGCGGCAAGTTTCTCTTTGGCGTCGGAGAGGACCTTGTTGGCTTGGGTCTCTTGGCCACGCTTTCTCAGAACGGCAGCTTGGACCGCAGCCACTTCGACTTCGCGTTCGAGCTTGGTACGGGCGGCTTTGCATTGCAGCTTTGGGTTGAGAGCCTTGTTCTGCACTGCTTGGGCGCGGGCTGCTTTGAGCTTTTCCTTTGCGTCAAGGACTCGAATGCGGCGGGACTCAGGGCCTTCCTGGATAAGGAGAGGTTGCGGCTCGAGATCCTCGTTGTCATTGAGAAGAGAGTCTTTGGCGCGTTCGAGTTTTTGGAAGAGACGGTTGTAGAGTTCGACGTGGGATGCATCAATGCACTTGTCTGGGTGTAGGACCAAAGCAAGTTTTCGGAAGGCAATATTGATGTCTTTCTCGGTTACCTTGGTCTGGTAGTACAGTCCAAGGATCGAGAGTGCATCATCGTAACTGTCCACTTGTAGGATTGCGCGGAGTGTCGCCGAGTCGATGGTGTCAGGGAAACTCATCTCTGGCAGGGCTCCGCCAGCGGAGGCGCTTTGCTTGAAGTTGAAGATGTCTGTTCCTGCAGACACGGCTTCGAGTTGTGCTCTCTTGAGTCCTAGAAAGCTTGTCATCGTGGGCGAGCTGAAGTTCTTGGGGAAGTGAATGGAGTCCCAGGTGGTGGTACTTGTAGTCGCCTGGAGGTGAATTGTACAAGCACTTTGACCTCAAAGGTGGACCTTGTGTGAACAATGAGGGATGGCTCATGCTGAAAGGTCCTTTGGGAAAATGGCGCAGTCCCTTTAACAAAATTCTGGCACAATATTATTGTCCAGCTTTCAGGTGCATTAATGTGCTGACGTAATGATTTTGAGGACAGACTCAACCAGAGGAAGGCCAATTTCTAATTGACCGCCGGAGTGGCCTCAAGGTCACCAGGCGTAGAAGATGTACAGGCAGATGCCAGAGTTAAGCACAAGTATTCCTTGTGATGGAAATGTCGACAGAGGGCCACGTGTGTCCTTTGAAGCTTGCTATTCATCGACAATTCGAATGTCCTTGGCATACAATTGCGCTTCGGCTTGGGGGATAGAATCAGTCTCACAAGTGTCGGTAGGTGTGCCGTGCATCTCTGTAGGTACTTGATGGATTGAAGATGGATTTATGCTGCATCGCCTACGAAATCCGACTCGTGGTGGCACGCCACTTTCTTTGTTATCAAGCGATTTGTGGCGCATGGTCAGGGCCAACGCGAGCCAACGAGTCCATGGGATTCTTTGCGCAGTACTGGAAGCATTTCGGTCATATCAGGGGCTTTAGAGTGTCGTCAAGGACGAGTGCTGCTGCTGTTGCGAGTGGCATGTTGTTGCTGAAGTGCAGGGACTCGGCTGCCACTCCAGCGACATCGGAGGCAGCTGCGCCCGACCATAGAGCTGCCCATCAACATATAACACAATGGCCCTGCAAACCGGACCTTCAATGTAATTGTCATCCAGTCTCTCCTGCAGAATATCAAGCGATCATGAGTGCAGTGAAGAACATCGTGAAGGCGCTAGAGTCTTTCACCAGGTACTCCTTCCACATTCTCACTCCACATAGTCTCGCTAAACCCATAGTGTAGCTGTGATGTGGCAGATGCCCTCACAAAGCTGAAAGTGCCTCACGGAGGTTTCCTGCCAGGCCTGACGATGTGGTCCCCGAGACGACAAGAAGGCCCAACCAAGATCATCGGCCCAGCATACACAGTCAAATATGTCAGGAAGAACTACGAGAATGACCCCAAACCAAAAGGTCACTACATCGACACTGTGCCTGAAGGACATGTGTTGTTCATTTCGGCTCCTCCAAAGATGATCAATGCATGCTACGGCGGACTTATGAGCACACGAGCACAATATCTGGGAGCAGCTGGCACAATCATTGATGGCCGGCTGCGAGATCTCCAAGAGCATCGCGATCTCAACTTCCCAGTCTTTGCCAAAGATGTCGGTACAACAGCACCAGCGGAAGTTGCTCGTGTAAGCGAAATTAATGGCCCTGTCCGCTTCAACAGCGAGGAACAAGATTCATATATCAACCCCGGAGATATTCTCATCGCCGACCTCAATGGAGTTGTCTGCTTGCCCAAGGATCTTGCAGAGCAGGCTCTTGACCTCATTGCTTCCCAAGTTGAGGCTGATGAGAACGTTGCGAAGGACATTAGAAATGGCGTGCTTGTTGGCGAGTCAATGAAGAAGCATCGAGCGAACGTGAAGCAGCCCAACTGAAAAAGGTGAATTGAAGGAGCGTCATCAATATGCCAATCAAGATTTGGGTTTGCCCACATTCCCGATTCCCAAATGCAGTTCCACTTTCTTCCGTTACACACTCTCACATCACGTCGAGATGGCGAAGAAGCTCTCGCCAGCAATTGCTTCCGGCTGGTTCGCCACTAACGTCCAAGATTGCGCTAGATTCCACTTGAAGCGGGGATACAAGACATCTGCGTACGACAAGCATCCAACTTCATTCACACTAGACGGCAGCATCAAAAACTAGAGTCTCGACCGCGCCCCGGCAGCAGTATCGACTGGCATAGTTGCGAAGACTGTCAGCGTTTTCAAGTAGAACTGCCATGCCTTGCAGTGAACATCCACGAGGTGCGCCTCCAAGAAGGCCCGGAAGGACTCTCGGTGGCCATGCAGCACACGCTGCTTCTGCGACGGTGCCTGTAGCGCGAACATTCATGCGAGCCCGAGCGTTCTGCGAGCAGGCTATCTTCGCAGGCGAAGCCTCGGAGTTGAGAACTCTTCGTGGCGCAATTCTTCTGCAGCCTCTCCGATCTCAGTCCTAGCATTCGAAAGCCTCGAGGCGGCGACGGCAATCACCGTGGGCCACTGATTGCGCCTACGTTGACGCTGACCACGTATGCCGCTGCGAAAAGGCTGATATTCACTCCACTATGGCCGCGTCGCCCACGTCAGCCGATGCCAAGGCGTAACGTGTACTGGCAAAGCTTTGGTTAATTGTCTACGTGACATTGCTTAGCGACTTGCAGGAAGCTTGTTACGACCCACCAGCGCATTGGGAGCATCGCGAAAGTGTTGTTAGCCTGGTCTGGGCCACTTTTGCTTCATAGGTTGTCGCTTCCGGGAGCCGACTTGGGTTGTCCCCCACCCCACCCGACGCCTTTCTCTGCGCTGAAGCACATCTGCGACGTCGATACTGCGCCAGCCAAGACAACCTCGATCCATACAGATTACAGATTTTGCTGATGACGAGGATAGGCTGAACGTCGTCGTCGCAAGCCACAAATGTGGATGCTGTCTGCAGTCGCCGTTGCAGATCCGGAGCCGCGACGCACAAATGCGATCCACCAACAGCACATTTCCCAATCGAATGGACTTCAATGGCCAATGATCGACTCTCCTTTGTCAACGTCCGGAATGTCCCCGTTTCATGAACGAAGTGGCTTGCCTGTTTCGACATAGCCAGCCGGCTGGACTTGTCACGCAAGCGTAGTTCAGCAAGTGCGACCACGACTAACACTCTCCGAGGAAGCATCGCCTTGCTTGGCAACACAGGAGTTGATCAATCTCCAACGTGGTCCGGCGCATTACGCGGCTCAGAATCGAGTGTGGAACATAGTATTTGAACCAAGTGAGTATATGTAGTGGTGTAGAAACACCATTCCTTCGATCTGAATCATCAAGCAACCGCAACACTCTCAAACCAAAATCTTCAAGCCTCCTTTCACCATGGCACCAATCACTTCTCTCCTCACCCTGAGTCTTCTCACCATCGACTCTCTAGCCCATCCAGGTCACAACGTGGCCGAAGAGGCGGCAGAGCGTGCAGAGTTCTTCAGATCTCTCAAGCCTCGCAGTGTCCGCTCTTGCGCCAACGAGCTGAAGCGCCGCGGCCACATCGAGCAGTCACTTGCCCGCCGTCAAGCCTTTGCTAAGCACGCTCGTGCAAAGCGTGGCCTTGCGACTGACAAGCCTCTCGTCCGCCGTGACTTTGCCGACTACAACATCTCCCATGCTTCCACTTCAGGAGTCAAGTTTGGTGATGATGAGACGCTTCTGTTCCAAGACAACTCAAGCTGCATCCTTCAGCCAGAGGTCACTCAAGGTGCGTAGTTCTGACATTAGCTTGGAGCGGGATCTCAGCACCAGTCATCTTCTCCCGCAAACTTGTCAATAGTCTAACCACCCGACCAGGCCCTTACTATATCGATGGCGAACTGATTCGCAACGATATGTCCGAGGACCAAGAAGGTGTCCCTCTTTTCCTCGACGTCCAGTTCATCGACACGTCCGACTGCTCTCCCGCCCCAGCCGTCTACGTCGACGCCTGGCACTGCAACGCTACAGGAGTCTACTCCGGCGTAGCAGCATCCGGCAACGGCAACTCCGACGACACCACTAACCTTGACAACACCTTCCTCCGCGGTCTGCAGCAAACAGACGTCAACGGAGTCGTTCAATTCGAAAGTATCGTCCCAGGTCACTACACCGGTCGCGCACCACACATCCACGTCTTGACCCACAACGTCAACTCGACCATCATCCGCTCCAACGGCACCCTCCTCGCCGGCTACGGAAACTTCACCGCACACGCTTCCCACGTCGGTCAGATCTTCTTCGACCAATCTCTCATTTCCGAAGTCGAGACCACAGAGCCATATGCTAGCAACACGCAAGAGTTGACACTCAACTCCGAGGATAGCATTCTCGGCGAGGAAGCAGCGGATATGGATCCTTTTGTCGAGTACGTTCTCATTGGAGACTCGATCGAAGATGGAATTCTGGCTTGGATCTCGCTCGGAATCGATACGAGCAGTGATCAGGAGATTACTTCGGCTGGTACACACTACAAGGAGGGTGGTGTTGCGAATGAGAACTCCGGAATGGGTGGTCCAGGAGGCTCTGGTGGTCCAGGTGGCAACGGCACTGCTCCTTCTGGTGCGCCGCCAAGTGGTGCTGCGCCTTCTGGAGTTTAGATGATCGAAGTGTAAGATCATAGAGACAAAGAGGCTAGGTTCATGGAGGCTGTTATTTGGCATTGCCATTCGGTCATGTTTCAGTCATTGGCGCACATATTGAGAAGAAAAATTGTTGATAGTCAAACAAAGTTCTATCAACTCTGTCGAGACTGGTCACTGTTCACCCCCAATCCTGTCCAAAAGATCCGTACAAATCACCACATCATATCATCAAGCCCGAAATTCTTTAAAACACCCCACCACAGAATCAAACTCCCCTCAACCAAACCCAACAATACACTCAATCTCATGCCTAATACCCCCCAACCGTCTCCTCAAATCACTCGCATCAAACCTCGCAACCAAATTCCCCGCTGCCGCTTCCATCCCAACATCAACATCGTTTGACTCTAAATCCCCGCAAAGCGCTTTCGCCTCCATAGCAGCTTTCTGCTGTAACCCAGCACACCTCACACCCCGATCAACGCGTTCTTCTAATGTTGAAACATAATTCGCTACGAGACGGAGTTCTTCTCGGATGGCTTCTGTTTCGGCGAAGAGGAAAGCTTCTTGGTGGGTGGAGCCGAAGAGTGGGATGTCTTGGGGGAAAGGTATGTCGGGATCTTCGGAGGTGTTGTTGTATTCGTCTGATGAGAGGAGTTGGGAGTGGGGATGGGGGAGGGTTGTGAGGGGAGGGAATTCGATGCTTTCGAGGATGGGGGAGTCTTCCTCTTCTTCGGAGGGTGATGAGGAGGAGGTAGGTGATGTGGGTGTTGTGGGGTGTGGTTTTGATTCGTAGGGATGTCTTGAAGATGCGAGTGTGGAGTGGGAGAAGCTATCGGCGAGGCTGTACCAGTCTGCGTTCGCATCGGTTTCTCCTTGTGATGAGATGAATGCGGCTTGAGTCCACATTGCCAGGTCTTGGTTGTTGTAGAGATGCTCGGTCATTTCAGGTGTCGTGCATGGAGGAATCGGCAGTCCGTGGACATAGTCGCCGAATGTTGATGAGGTGCTGCTGCTTGGAGAAGAATCGCTGAATGAAGACCGTTCCACGTGAACGAAGCTTGGTTTGGCGGAGACTTGCACGGGTGACCCGATTGATGAGGAAGTATCCGATCCGGACCTGCTGATTGGTGTCACAGTGATGTTGCGCATGGTCTTGCGTCCAGCTCTTCGTGAGATGCTATATTGGCAATCGTTGCCTTTGGATCGACATCGCAGACAAGAAGGTCGTTCTCTTGTGCATCGCACTTTAGCAATAGCACAACAGTCGCAGCTCTCTTTGAGCTTAGGTGCAGATCGTCTTCGTCGGCTCGTTGTTTTGCTAACTCCGGTAGACATGGTCGATGTTGTTGATGTGATAGTAGACATGTTGTGCTTGAGTCGTAGGCTTGGATCCAGTTCCAAGCAACGTCGGGTCACGAGCGTTGCGTCTCGAGCTATAATGTAGAGCAACTGTAGTGATCGTCAACCCGCGTGGTCCTTCGGGTTCGGGGTTCGATGACCGGGCTGCAGTAGTAGTAATGAGGTCCCCGAAAGGAACAGGGAACGCGGACTCTTCACTTTCTGACGTGATGAAGGAATACTGCAAAGACAAGGCGGTTCGCAGTTGCGGTGCTTCGACGCACGCGCTGCATCGCGGAAGACACTCATACTTATCATCACTACTCAACTGCAAGCATCCGCAATTTTGCGGTATCTTGGTGTAAAATGCCGCGACACAGAATACCCCGGATAGAAAAGGCAAAACGTGGGTGACCTTGGGGGCGCAGAGAGCTGCAAAGCGAAACCCAGACCACTGACACCCCGACCTGCACGCCAAGCGCCCAGCACCTGAGACTCGGTTAACGAAATGCGCCGAAGGATCCTGTGCTTGTTCACATCCAGAAAGATCCGCGCTCAGATATCGCTGAAACGAACGAGACCAACGTGCTGAACCCAAGTCACAACGTGCTGAACCCAAGTCACAACGTGCTCGACTTGTGGCCGTCGCGTGGTTCATGCGGCATGATGCTTGGTCGGCAGTTACTCGCAGCGGTCGTTGGTTGAGGTTCCAGGCTTGGGTCTCATGACGGGAACCACCGAACATCTCTGGGCTGCAAAGTAATATTCCATTCGGTGCTGCAGTGAGCAGACACATGTTCCAGCATGCCCGCAGTGACGAGTGATGAGTATGAAAGCGCTGTTGGTCGACCCAGCGATCCGAAATTTAACACATGAGCATGATATGGACGAGAAGAAACTGGTTAACAACGATTGCCAGGACCGACTCTGAATTTCTGCATGTCGTTTTGAACTTTTCTTGATTAGTGAAGCAGCTCATCTCGAAGCTGTCAGGTACATTTTCCGATACTAGTACACGATGTTGGATCATGGCTCGTCAACGACCTGCGTCGTTCTTCCGCTCTCCCCTGCGGTTTCCTCGGCGGTTAGTGCCCTGAATCCATCAGCTCCAGTCAAGCGCACAGCGCCCGCTCTGACCAATGCCTGGCTCAAATCATCAAGCAGATCCTCCAAGTCCTCAATACCAATGCATAACCGGATGATGTCCTCCGGGAGAGCGCGCTCTTTCCGCGTGGCTGGGTCGATACTCGCGTGGCTCATGCGGCAGGGCATGGAAATCAGCGAATTGACACATCCGAAGGACACACTGATGCCAAAGAGCTTCGTAGACTCGACGATCCGTTCCGAAAGTGCGATGGAGCCCGTCTCGAAAGAGAGCACGGCGCCAGCACCGCGCGCTTGGCTCCAATGCAGCTTGTACTGGGGGTGAGACTTCAGTCCAGGGTAGCGAACCTTGAAGCCGTGGTTCTCCAGGAACTCGGCAATGGCTTGCGTATTCGCTTGCTGCTTGTCCATGCGAATTGCCAGAGTCTTAACACCACGAAGCAGCAGCCAGCTGTCGAAAGGTGCAAGACCACAGCCCGTGCTGTTGATCATGAAGTAGAACTTCTCGCCGAGTGCAACGTCGTTGACACCAATGACGCCCGCCATGACATCGTGGTGCCCCGACAGGTACTTGGTTCCAGACTCATAGACGACGTCGGCACCTAGATCGAGAGGGTTTTGCAGGTACGGCGACAACATAGTGTTATCAACTACGACCACGATGTTCTTGCTGATTGCGTGTGCAGCAGTGGCGATTCCATTGATATCGCAAATTTTGATCAGCGGGTTCGTGGGTGACTCAAGCAACACCATGGTCGTCTTTTCAGTGATCGCGGCCGTCACGACCTCCAGTGTCGTGGTGTCCACATGCTTGACCGTGACTCCTCCATGCTCTTTCAAGTACGTGAGAAGTCTGTTGGTCCCGCCGTACAGATCATCTCCAGTCACGACCTCGTCGCCGGGCTTTAAAATCCTGGTGATGACGTCGAGCGCGCCCATGCCTGATCCCGCCACCAATGCACGGTTGGCGCCCATAATCTTCGCCATGTGTCGCTCGAGGTGCGTCCTCGTCGGGTTGCCACTGCGCGTGTAGTCATATTCCTGGCCGGGACCACCTTTGAAGGTGGCTGACTGGTAGATGGGGACGCTGCTGGCGTTGTACTGGTCATTGCTTTCGGTGTAGACCAGCTCGGTCGCAAAGTTGTAGCGACGACCGTTGCGCGGGGTGGAGGGAGCAGGCGAAGGTGGCAGGTCGTGACCATCGAGGTCAATGTGCTTCAAGGCCTTGCCGTTGCCATTGGGAAGGTCGCCGCCGCTCATTTTAGGAGAGTGGTAGTTTTTTACCGAGGACTAGAGACCTCAACAGCTGGGGTTTTAGGTGGGTGGAATGATGGGCAATGAAGTCTGGAGGAAAGACTTCAATGCTTAAAGGATCTTTTGGTAGGTGTGTGTGCGGTGTGTGAATGTGCGAGCTCAGGAAGATGTCGGCCAAGTCATTCGAGCTGCTGACTCTTCCCGATTGCGTGATGGCGACTTTCTCCGATCGCGGGGAACTGGCCGCACGGACGGCATGGGAAGAAATATGTCTTTGAGATGCACTCAAGATACTTCTGTACACCACTCTATAGGTCTGACAACAGGTAACACGTGGCTATATCTTGTGCACCTGCACGACTTTCCTGTCCTTTCCAACAACTAATCTCAGCTGCTTGCCCTTTTCGCCTCCAAAAATACCGTTCCGCAATACATCCGTATACAGCTCATAGCACGGATAATAACCATCGACAAACTTGATGACTTGCTCCTTCGACATGCCGGTTCCTTTTGAGGATCTCATCGCAGCCTCTTGCTGCTCTCGCCAGTCGTAAACATATAGCGAATCTTCGGCGTCACTGTCCCATTCCGTCAGCAGTGTATCTGAACTGACAAGTGGATGACTTACATGTGGATGAAAGCGCCAAATTTGTCTGTTAGAGCGTCGTACTCGCGGAGCTTGCTGTTGACGAATAGCACGTCCTCTAGCTTCAGCTTCCCTAGCCGCCCAGTGTAGTTCCCGCTCTCTGCTTCTTGTCTCGCCGCTTCCCACTTTCGCTGCACTTCTTCATCGCTGAGCGCGCGGAAGCCGACACACCAGCCTTCGAACACAACTACTTCTACTGGGCTCTGACTCGTCGCGTTCACAGTATGCCAATCTGATTCGGGCCTGCGGTCTCCTGCACCATTGAATTGAGACTTGTCGTAGCTTGGGACCTTCACGTTGGAATCACGTTTCGCCAGTGCTTGGAATAGCTCAATACCGGTCTTGACATCGTGTGTCGAAGGCACGCCTCGGTGCTGCACGAGCGGGTTTGCGGCATGCGATTTGGCAAGAGCTTGTTGTTGATCGTGAGGAAGGTACAGATCATCTATAGACAACACCAGCGTGGGCAAACTGTGGGGAGGTTGTGAGAGAGTGTGATGGAGGGTTTCCACCTGCGAATGTCAGTTTTGTTGTCCGCATGGTGTGTCCTTCAAGGTCTGAGAGACTTTGGTCTTAAGATAGCTCTTTCGACTTCAATTCTCCAAAGGTGAGAACGACCTACCAACGTAGTCTTGCCTGCACCTTGCACACCATTCAAGCCCAGGAAGAAAGGTGGGGGTTGTTCGCCCTCCTGCTCATACTCTTCCTTGTGCGACTTGAGCCGCTCGAGGATGAAAGGTATGCAGTGCTCTGACTTGTCGTCGATGATCTCCGGCATAGCGCAAACTCACGTGTCCTGGTTCCGTGTCTACCATACGCAGCTGCAACAGCTTTGCGGTTTTGAGCATGTGAAAGGGACAACCTTGCGGCTGAGAGAATAGCCGAGCCAGCACCCCGTCAGCCTGCAGAGCATCGTGCCTCATGACCTGGGGTGCTTCTTCATATGACAGTCCACAGAGGAAGCAGATGCCACGCCAAGCTCATCGCTGTCATCTAGTCACGAGCAGTGTGCCGTGCAAATGCAGATCTTGTGGTATCAGCATGAAGCCGTCAATGCCTCGGTGGACTTGAGAGTGCCTTCGCACGACGCAAAGAGGTCGCGGCAGACTCTCGAAAAAGCCGGCAGATGACGTTCTCCAGTCTGTTCTTGCCCACGCCGGCCACATGCGGCGATAGTACGGGAACAAAGAAAAGAAGACAGGACCACGAGTATGATGGCTGTGGCTCTGGACATCCACAGGTGAGAGAACATGTGGATGTGGCATTGCATGCCGGACGTGATCAGCCGAGGTTCGTGGGTGCATCATCGTCGGCACGCGCTGCTGGACGTGAGCAGAGACCAGCAGGGTTGCTTAGACAATTCCCAAACATATCGCTTCTACCTCGCGGCCACCTGACCTTTCTTCCTCCCTCACAATCAACGACTCCGAGTCGACCCTTCTTTCTTTCTCTTCATCCTCCCAATCACCACATCTAGACCGCCAACATGGGCGAACAACTGCGATGGGACGGCCAGACGGTCGTCGTTACCGGAGCTGGTGGAGGACTCGGCAGGGCATATGCTCTGTTCTACGGCAGCAGAGGCGCCAATGTCGTGGTCAACGATCTCGGAGGCAGCTTCAAGGGCGAAGGTGCCAGCCAGACAGTGAGCATTAGCGAGGAAGTGCAATGTCCATGCGAAATCAACTGACAGCGGGGCGCAGATGGCACAAAAGGTTGTCGACGAGATTAAGCAAGCTGGCGGCAAGGCCGTAGCCAACTACGATTCCGTCGAGAATGGCGAGAAGATCATCCAGACAGCCATTGACAACTTTGGCCGCATAGACGTGCTCATCAACAATGCCGGCATTCTACGCGACATCAGCTTTAAGAACATGAAAGATGAGGATTGGGATCTGATTATGAAGGTGCACGTTATTGGAGCATACAAATGCGCACGAGCGGCGTTCCCACACTTTAGAAAACAAAAGTACGGCAGGATAATCAGCACTTCCTCGGCTGCGGGTATCTTTGGAAGTTTCGGACAATGCAACTACTCTGCCGCGAAGCTCTCGCAAGTCGGCTTCACAGAGACACTGGCAAAGGAAGGTGCCAAGTACAACATCATCGCCAACACTATTGCACCCATCGCTGCTTCGCGATTAACTGCGACAGTGATGCCAAAGGAGGTTCTGGATCTGCTGAAGCCTGAGTGGATCGTGCCAGTCGTGGCAGCCCTTACACACAAGGACACTCCTGCTGAGGAGACCGGTGGTATCTTCGAGCTTGGTGGTGGTCACGTCGCCAAGTACAGATGGGAGCGCTCGAATGGTGCTCTCCTCAAGGCAGATGACACCTTCACTCCAGGAGCCCTGCTCGCCAAGTGGAAGGACATTGAAGACTGGACCAACCCACAGCACCCAACTGGGCCAAACGACTTCATGACCCTTCTCGAGGAGGCACAGAAGCTCAAGCCAAGCCCGAAGGCCCAGGAGCTCGACTTTAGCGGCAAGGTTGCTGTTGTCACGGGTGGCGGTGCTGGTCTGGGTCGCAGCTACTGCTTGACCTTTGCCAAGTATGGTGCAACTGTTGTTGTCAACGACCTTGCAGACCCAGAGCCAGTCGTGCAGGAGATCAAGAAGCTTGGCGGCAAGGCAGTCGGTGTTCGATGCAGTGCCGAGGACGGAGAGAAGGTGGTCAACGCCGCAATCGACAACTTTGGCCGAATCGATATCCTCATCAACAATGCCGGTATTCTTCGCGACAAGGCTTTCCACAACATGGAGGACAAGATGTTCCAGCAGGTCTTGGACGTCCACTTGCGTGGCACCTATAAGGCCAGCAAGGCTGCTTGGCCTCACATGCTTAAGCAGAAGTATGGACGTATCGTGAACACAACCTCCACCTCAGGTATCTATGGAAACTTCGGGCAAGCGAACTACGCAGCTGCCAAGTGCGGTATCCTTGGTTTCTCGCGTGCTCTCGCTCGTGAGGGCAAGAAGTACAACATCTTCGTCAACACCATTGCACCAAACGCAGGCACCAACATGACTCGCTCTATCATGCCAGAAGAGATGGTACAAGCCTTCAAGCCCGACTACGTTGTTCCTATTGTCCTCATCATGAGCTCCGACAAGATGCCAAGTGAGCCAACTGGACGTGTGTTCGAGAGCGGCTCTGGCTGGGCTGGCGAGACAAGGTGGCAGAGGACTGGCGGTGCACAGTTCCCAGTCGATGTGGAGCTGACTCCAGAGGCAGTCAAGGCAGCATGGGACAAGATTGTCAACTTCGACGACGGCCGTGCTGACAACCCACACGACGTGTCGTTCGCGAACGACAAGATCCTAGGCAACTCCCAGAACCGGTCCAAGAAAGGTGGGAAGCAGTCCAAGTCATCTGATGACACTGACTACCTGGCCGTGATCGACAAAGCTAAGAAGGCGCAGGCCGAGGGAACGGAGTTCGTCTATGATGAACGCGATGTGATTCTCTACAGTAAGCTTGCCGCAATTTTCTCCACTGGCACATATTCAGCTAACGTGTTTCGCAGACCTGGGTATTGGAGCCAAGCGCACTGAGCTCCCTTACGTCTTCGAAGGCGATGACAATTTCCAAGTCATCCCAACCTTCGGTGTCATTCCTCCTTTCAACGCCGTAGCACCCTTCGACATGAGCACCCTCCTACCTAACTTCGACTTCCGACAACTGCTCCACGCCGAGCAGTACCTCGAAATCCGCCAATTCCCTCTCCCGACAGAAGGCACCCTCATCGCTTCCCCACGCTTGATTGAAGTGCAAGATAAGGGCAAGGCCGGTATTATCGTTTACGGTAGCGAAACAAAAGACAAGAACACAGGCAAGGACGTCTTCTACAACGAGTCAACAGTCTTCGTGCGTAAGGCTGGTGGTTTCGGTGGACAAAAGCAAGGTGGCGACCGTGGTGCTGCAACCAAAGTCCACAACCCACCAAAGAGACAACCCGATGCCGTCGTGGAAGAGAAGACTTCTGAGGAACTGGCTGCCATTTACCGATTGTCTGGTGACAGGAACCCACTGCACATCGTAAGTCCTACAACAATCCACCCCCTTGTACTACTCCATCCACTAACGTGTTCCTCAGGACCCCGACTTCGCCAAAGTCGGCGGCTTCGACGTGCCCATCCTGCACGGCCTCGCATCCTTTGGTATCGCAGGCCGAGCAATCCTGAACACTTTCGGTCAATTCAAGAACATCAAAGTCCGATTCGCAGGTGTGGTGCTTCCTGGACAGACACTCGTCACGGAAATGTGGAAAGAAGGGAAGTGGGTCATCTTCCAAGTCAAGGTCAAGGAGACGGGCAAGCTTGCTATCTCGGGTGCTGGTGCTGAATTGAGAGAAGATGGCTCGAAGGCGAAGTTATAAGATTGAGAGATTAGTGGGCGATGGTGACGATGCTTGGGTCGTAGAGAATCTGTGATGCATTATGATGAATACAGACAGGAATTTTGATGTTACTTTTATGTTAGGAAAGCTTCATGTAGTTGACTAGTATATTTTGCTCTAGACGGATACCCGTTTGGCTTTCATCGTCATTGTTGTTGGTTTGCTGATAAGCAACCATGCGACCTTGTCTTCGTTGCCAGAAGACAGACATTGCTTGACGTCTCGTTCTACGAGGGTGAGCTAACTACACGCGGCTAGACGATCGCCTCTCAGCTAGACAACAGCTCAGCATGCCTTCTTCCAGATTACACGACCTTCCCACCGACACTCAAAAAGTCGCACCGCCCCAAAATGGTATCGACATCGGCACATGCGACTCGAATCATGCGGTCAGCTGTCCCCTGTCAACGAACTCAACCAGGGTATGTTGGCTGATCTCCCCATGTTCCCTTTCCCCGCAGCAAGCTGTCACTCGTCGCAGAGACAATCAATGCACCGCAAGCTGCATGCAGGTACGTATCCTGTTCACAAGCTCACCTTAATGGCTAGTGTGCAAATAAGAAGGGAGCTCGACGTCGCGTTCGCGCATGTATCCCAGCTAGAATCTGAGGTCCCTTTTTGCACCTGTGAGAGAAGAAAGGCGGGGTGTGGTCGAATGCGAGGAGGATGTGGTTGACCGGACCGAGAGACAGTCCGATGCTGAGTGGGAAAGGTTTCGCTGACAACGTTAGGTTGAAAGGAAGAAGATGATGATTATAAAACTGAGAGAGGATGAGAGGATGATCAAACAGGACTATACCGACTTCCTTCGCGGGATCCGACACGATTTGCAGTATTCAGCGGCTTCCCAAGCAAATGACAGCTACCGCATGCGGATGCAGGTGGACCAAGTACCAGGATCTTGCTTCCCAGCGACCACACAGCGTGCGGCGAGAAGATGCTTGCCCCTCTTTACTTGCATCCGATACGCCGCTGAAGGTGAGGAGTAAAGGCGAATGACTATCGGTGCCTGCGCCGAGGAGCGTCGATATTGTCGACAAGGCAAGGATAAAAAGATATAGCTTGCATGCAGCTCGTCTCCCTTCTCTTGTAGCTTGTGAAACGTCAGTAGAACTTCTCCGACCAGGCATTTTCGAGCTCATTCATATCTCCCACGATTTTGCGAAACGCGTTAAGGATTCAAGATGAAGGCCCTCATTTTCGCAGGCGTGGGCAAGTACAAGGTCGTCGACAAGGAAATTCCCAAGATTGTCGATGGCACAGATGCTATTGTCAAGATGCAGCGCACCACAATCTGTGGTTCGGACCTGCATATTCTGCAAGGTCATGTCCCGACTGTGACCGATGGCCGCACACTGGGCCACGAAGGTATCGCAGTGATTGAAGAGGCAGGATCCGAGGTGAAGAACTTCAAGAAGGGAGACCGGGTATTGATCAGATGCATCACCTGTTGTGGAAGTTGTCAGTTCTGCAAGAGAAGGTACGATTGCGATGGCGGTTCTTGAGTAACGAGGTGGAAATTGTCGCTGACATATGTTCTGCTGCAGCATGGCCGATTCTTGTCGAAAGGCAGGATGGATCCTCGGTCACACCCACGACGGAACACAGGCAGAATACGTCAGAATTCGATACGCCGACACATCCCTCTACAATGTCCCCTCAGGTGTCGATGACAGGACGTTGTTGTCTTTCAGTGATATTTTGCCAACAGGATTGGAGGTAGGTGTCCTTCGCGGAAAGGTCACGCCTGGATGTACAGTGGCTATCGTCGGTGCAGGTAAGGATTCGGATCCTCCGCTTGCTAAGCTTGCCATTGACTGTGTTCGTAGGCCCTGTCGGTCTGTCAGCTGGCTTGACGGCCCAACTCTACGCACCTCGCAAGCTAGTATTCTTCGACATGGACGATTACCGTTTGTCTGTCGCCAAGAAGATGGGCGCCACACACGTTTACAATGTCAAAAATCTCCAAGGCTCAGTTCGTGAGCTTGCGGCTGAGCACTTTGATGAGGTCGACGGCTTCGACGTTGTCATGGAAGCGGTGGGCATCCCCGCGACATTCAACATGTGCGAAGACCTAGTTGGCCTGGGAGGCCACATCGCAAACATTGGTGTCCACGGAAAGAAAGTCGACTTGCATATCGAGAAGCTCTGGATCCGAAGCACAACCATTTCGATGGCTCTTGTCTCTGCGCATACGATCCCGACTTTGCTCGACCTTGCTGCCGCTGGAAAGATTGATGCCAGCGCCATGGTGACGCATGGTGAGTTGGTTCTTGTCGTTCTCGCGAAGGATACTAATGCTGACCTCACTCGCAGACTTCAAGTTCAAGGATATCGAGAAGGCTTATGATCACTTCTCTCGTGCTGGAGAGACGAAATCACTCAAGGTTAGCATTGAGTTCTAATGTCGTCAGTCCGTATTCTCCGTGTCCGATTTGGTGTCCAACTGCCGAAGATATGTACATAGTCGATAGGTATCAATTGCACTGCCGAGCGCTGTCGGAACGGTCTTGGCGGGTGGGTGTTGCTCGTGGCACCAGGGGCTCGCCGTCTGACGGCGTCAGTCGGAGATCGTGATCGTTCAGCATGTGAGAGAGGCAGAGCAGGACGATGTATTCCTGTGTCGGTGGTTTGTGCCAAGTCGTGATCCGCGCGGTGCGGTGCATTTTAAATTAGTGCATATCCGCTAGCATCTCCACAGCTCCTTCTCCACGACGACAACAACTCCCACTGCAAAGCCGTCGTCACTTCCGCTGGGAACACCGCAATGTAGCGCGCGCGAGCGGAAATAGCTACCGGCGGCGCAGGCGCCGAGCTGAACGCGTAAGTGGACAGTGCAGCAACAACAACAACAACACCTCCTGCGCGACTCGTGATGCTGGCCCGTCGTTCACCGGCTTGAATTATTTCAGCATGTTCGTGCACAAGTTCGAGAACAGCTCCGATTGCTGCAGTTTCATACCGGCGATCCCCCGGCGCAGGCATGCATGGGTTCTCCAGGCCTGATGCCTCGGGATCCGGAGAAAAGCCATTGATGAGCGCATCGCAATGCGAGGGCAACGAGCAGACTTCGCCCAAGTGACGAGGTCCCGGTCCCAGCGATCGTCCGGACTGCTGCTGGGTCTGCAAAATCGTTCACTGTCAAGTTCCGCCCATTTGGCCTCACCTTTCCAGATCTCACTTCTTCCGCGCTGATGAGGATCGGCTCCGTGCCATCTCGACTTGCGACCTTGCGGCATGGGAAGCACCCAGGTCTACCACGATCAGCCGTACCTGATTGAGGTCTGGGTGCTCTTCGGCGTCGGTGTGCTCGTATTCCTTGCTCGGTTTATTGTTCGGATTCGTACTGTGGGCATCCGCCAGTTTGCAGGCGACGACTACATGGCCATTCTCGTGCTGGCTTGCTACACCGCTGATGCGGCTACTGTGAGTGTGGTGGTGGAACTCGGACGTATGGGCAAGAGCTGACGGCGCCGCAGGTGACCATCGCGTGCGAGTTCTTTCGAATGCCGGCGGAACGATGCCACCGAAGCTAATCAACTTGCAGACCGAGAAGGCACGAATGTGGACTATACCGCAGAACAGGTTGAGAGACTTACTCCGTCGCAAATCAAAAGTGTCGAATATGGCTCCAAGATGCGTAAGTGGAATCTGTGGGAACATCTAGCAGGATTGGCTGCAGACACTATCTCCCCTACTCCTTCCCGAACGAACAAGGACATGGAACTCTTCTGACTGAATGACACAGAACTACTCGCCTGGTTCACATATACTGCTCTGAGTAAGTCCTCTCTGGAAGTGTCAGTGTGGAAGCATCATTGCACGAACTTTCGCACCGCTGGCCCTTTCTGCGGGTTTTGGCATGGACATACGCTTACCTCTTACCTGTTACTTCTAGTGTGAGAAGATGATCGAATTCTGCAAAGTCATGACTAACAATGACCATGTAGATGGGGTCTAAAGGCTTGCATGCTGTTCTTTTTTCATCGAATCACGTTCGGCTTACCACAAGAACGATACGTCAAAGCACTTGGCGTAGCCTGCGGTGTCACGTACCTGGCCATGTTCCTCACGATCATGCTGAGCTGTCGACCACTTCACTTAAACTGGCAAGTCAAGCCAAAGCCGCCCGAGCATTGCGAAGTCCGGATACAGAACTTCTACGTTTGCACCGTTCTCAACGTGATCACAGATGCCGCCTTGCTGGCCGTTCCCATACCTCTTTTGTGGACACTGAAAATTCCCTTGCGCAAGAAAATCACGATAGGGATATTACTCTCCTCTGGCATCTTCGTCATCACGGCTGCTCTCACGCGAATTGTGATGACATTGAAAGCAAACCCTTCGGCGACGGTGATCAACCGATGGGGAGTACGAGAAACGATAGCAGGAATTATTGCAGTCAATGCGCCAATTCTACAGCCTATGTGCAAGAAATCGTTCTACTCAAAAGGATTTCGCATATCAAATGGCTCATCGAACCCAGTGCAGCCGCAGAACGACGAGGGAGGGTCTGGTTCCAGGGACAAGTCAAGCGGTATCAAAAGCAATGCCGATTCCACATTGAGCAAATCAGCTCACAAGCCGGCAGCAACAGAGCTAAGCCCGGCATCTGGACCCAAAGTCGGCAAACGAGCAACAATTGCACTGCCCCCGACAACTTTCAGCAGACCACCGCTCATGACACCAATAGCGGCCGAACTGCGAGAGATTGAGCGCATCGATACGCGGCTCGACGAGACTCCAGGACGTGAAATCATTACTGGGCAAGACCATTCCTTTGAGAACGGTGACTATTTCGGAGTGATAGACATTGAGCACGGAGCGCGTCCTTCACCGCCCGACCCTGTCGAGATCATTGAGGGAGAACGATATCGCGTGGCATCCATTTTCCCACCAGCGAAAGAACTGGAGCCTCCGCCACCACAAATTCCAAGAAGATGGTCGGAGACGGTGAGAGCATCGCGACTCTCCACACAGTGGCGCCATTTGACTCGGTCGGTGAGCTTACCATGGTCTGGGCAACATTCCAGAGAGCATTCGGGCCAACAGTAGTTGTGTCTGTCTCTCGGGTTTGTGGGCGGCGTGAGCTCTGGTTACGATGCAAGATACCCTACTGTTTATGAATAATGGCATTTCAGCGGCACACTTTTATTTGATCCAGATTGGTGGTGGGAGCACGGAGCTGGTATGGAATCATTTCATTGGAGGATCCTAGAGTATGTACGAATATACTTTCTACACGTTACGTTGCATCGAACACTTTTGTTTCTGTTTTCTTGATGAAATGACACTTTTTCCCCTATGCGCGCGTCTTCTGGATATGATCAATGGCCTCGAGGAGATATCCAACAAATACCTTTGGGTTTTCGGTCTGCACGCTGGAGTCAGTTCTGGAAAACATGCTCAAACCTCGCACCAAGACTTACCGCAGGGAAATGCCCAAGTCCTTTCATCGCTTGGTGCTTGCCACCAGGAATCTTATCGCAAGTAGCCTGAGACATGGCAGGTGTATTGCTCCAATCTTTTAACACACACGAGAAGTCAGCCTGAGTCCAGGAGATTGGTGTACACGAAGTGAAATTGTACTCACCATATTCACCCGTCAACATATAAACAGGACAAGCCTTTGTATCGATATCTTTCATCCTCGAACGTCCATCCCAGCCACCGAAGTAGAAGTCCAGATCTCCGTGGAAAATACCATAAGCTTGTGCGGAGTACAAGTGCCAGATGAGCTACATCGAACCACCGTCGTCAGCAAAGAAATTCCCCCTCAACACCTTCTGCTCGTTCCATGTGCATAACAAACATACCTGCCTATTCTTCAACGGAGCCGTAGGACTCATCATCCCATAAATCCATTCCGGATTATACAGCGCCTGATTCACATGCGGAGACTGATCATGCCAGCTACGTTCCATATCCAAATAATCCGAGCCTTGCAGCGGGATCGTTCCAACGCAACCGACTTCTTTGTAGCGGATTGCGCAGGCGAGGGAAATTTGGCCTGCCATGGAGGCGCCGCAGACGATGGGTTTGTTGAGGTTGAGCTTTTTGATCAGGGCCGCGATACACCCGACGTAGGAGTCTTCGGTGTTGGTGTGGTTTCCCGGGTGGAAGGTTGAGTAGGGGAAGGAGCGGCCGTGGGCCTAGATGAGAGGAGCCGAAGGTTAGTTGGGTTGTGGTATGGGGCTATATGGGAGGGCTGGGGGATTTACGGGTAGGTCGAAAGCTGTCATGCGACACTTCTTTCTCATTCTTTCGTCGTTGAGAACGCCGTGGTATTGACGTCCGTCTGAACCGGCAGTGTGCAAAAAGACGATATCCTGATCGCCTTCGCCAGATTGTTCGTAGAAGACCTTGCAGCGGCCCCAGAGCGGGATGTTGTCGAGATATACGTATCGACCAACGATGTGATCAACATCAGTCTCAGGCTCTTTATCGGCTGGTGTAACACCGCTGTGTGCATCGTGAACAAGTTCGACTAAAGTTCAAGCAGGAGCAATGATCAGCACAATTTTCTTAGACAATCTCGTGTTCCAACAAGTATACTTACGAACTCTACGCCAAATGTGAGTCCACCTCGCAAACTCCGTCTGATCGCCTTCAATCGAAATCCCCTCTTGCTTGATATTCATACCAAACATTCCCTATTCAACCCGAATAAGTCAGCTCTCACGAATCATCTTACCACTTCTCAAAACCTTACCCAAAAAGACTGATAAGGCATAACAGGAGTCTGCTTCATAAACTCCTGCCACTGTTCCGGCAACGCACTAATAGCAAAAGCACAATTCTTCGTCGTACCGCCTGTGATATCAACCTTCCCATTTTGGACCGTCACGACAATAGCGTTGTCGGAGCCAGCAGCTTTGATACCAAAAGTTGCGGGTTGAGTGATAGCGTTCGTTGTTGCGAAAGATTTCAATTCGCCATCGGTTTCGGCGGCTTTGTTGGCTTTGGAGATGGCTGTTGAGAGGACGGAGGGGAGATCAGACCATGCGTGAGCCATGGTTTCGTTGTTGTTATTGTTTGAGGAAGAGGAGGTATTAGTCTTTTGTCTTTTAGAAGCTCGAGGAGGCATTTCTTCAAAAGCTGGATCAACAAGTACGATTTTATATGTATGTCGTGTAACCACCACGGTCAATGTTCTGGTTGGTTGGTCAAAGGAACAAGAGAGAGGTACAATATTCTTTCCAATGGAAATAAGAAAAAGACCTTGCAGATGTCAAGGAGGAGGCAGCATGCAAGACAACTCCTCTTTTCTGAGGCTCCTCCCACGTCGTCAGCTCGGCTGCAACATGGGTGTCTCTTCTCGACTGCTATTCGCTACGATTTGGAGTTCTTGAGGGTACGAGCATGTTCAACATGGAAAGGGCCATGCATCTCCACGTACTGTGGTGCGGGGAATGAAGCTTGAATGTGCCTACTCTGTTCTTCATCAGCAAGAGGAAGGTTGGTTGGCTCCAAGGAAGCAACGGCAGCAGGTTGTTTCTGCTTGCATGCATGCAGGATCAATCTTGTACTTGTGATGAGAGCTGGGGAGATCGCGGTTGACCGGAGGATGGGGCTCTAGACTTTGTCATCTTCTTTTATTATTCCCGCTGTACCCGGAGTGTTAGTGGAGGGGCGAGGTCGGAGACATTGGTGGATGACATAGTGGGCCGCATCATTGGGAGCCCCGCGCGAGCTCGGCTTAGACACACCACAGCACAACAAAGTAGTGACGCAGAAGAGGTCCAGACATTGCACTCTTACATCTGAGGCTGTTCTTGTGTTCTCTTGTCGATCCAGTCACAATTTGCCAAATTGCATCACAATCGACAGAATATCCTTTCTACAGCAGCAACAATGGCACCAAATCTTCCCTTCAAGGTATTCGATGTTCAGTAGAGTTTCAAGCAATATCAGGCTCTGATAAGTCTTCTAGTTGAACAATCCAGAATTGTTTCGCGACCAGGCGCTCTCTGGTGGTAGCTGGATAGAGGCCAAGTCTGGCAAGCGATTCGATGTTTACGGTATGCGACTTTGCTGTAAAGAAATGATCTCTCACTGACAATTCAGATCCCGGCAATGGAAAGGTCTGGGCAACAGCTCCAGACTGTGGACCAGACGATGCAGACGCGGCTGTCGTCGCTGCCCACGAGGCATTCCAAGAGTACCGAAAAGTCAACCCCAAGATCCGAGCACAATGCTTGTTGAAATGGGACCAACTCATTCGCGAGAACCGAGACGACTTGGCCCAGATCGTGACACACGAGACCGGAAAGCCATTGTTTGAATCACAAGGCGAGCTCGACTATGCCTTGGGTTTTACCTGGTGGTTTGCGGGCGAGGCAGAGCGTGTGCAAGGCACAGTCCAAATACCATCAGCACCAAACAGGCGTGTCTTTACAATCAAGCAGCCAATTGGTGTTGCTGTAGCCCTCGTGCCATGGAACTTCCCCATTGCCATGATCCTGCGAAAGGCTGGTGCTGCTCTGGCTGCTGGCTGCACCATGATCGTCAAGCCATCTCCAGAAACTCCATTCTCCGTGGCGGCATTGGCGTACCTCGCAGAGAAGGCCGGCTTCCCCAAGGGCGTATTCTCCGTCCTCCAGACCAGTCTCGACACAACTCCAGCTCTCAGCGAAGCCCTTTGCCGGCACCCACTTGTCAAGAAAGTGACGTTCACTGGCAGCACCAGAGTCGGCAAACTGGTCGCAAAAATCTGTTCCGATGGCTTGAAGAAATGCACCCTCGAGCTCGGCGGCAACTGCCCATTCCTCGTCTTCGACGATGCAGACCTAGAAGCAGCTGCCACACGTAAGTCATCTCCAACCCTCATCTCCACTCCCATCTAACACTCCACCCCCTCACAGAACTCATGGCACTCAAATGGCGCCACGCCGGCCAAGCCTGCATAACCGCCAACCGCGTCTACGTACAATCCGGCGTCTACTCCCAATTCGCCGAAATCCTCGCCCGCAAAACCAAAGAACTCATCGTCGGCCACGGCGCAGACTCCAAAACCACAATGGGCCCCGTAACCACCGAACGCAGTCTCGATAAAGCCCTAGCTCAAGTCGACGACGCCACAAAACAAGGCGGAAAAATCATCCTCGGCGGCAAAAAACTCCAAGGAACAGCCGGATATGATGGATATTTTTTCGAGCCGACTATTATTACTGGCGGTAAAGAGGGGATGTTGATTGCTCAGGAGGAGACGTTTGCACCTGTGATGGCTTTGTTTCAGTTTGAGACTGAGGAGGAGGTGGTGAAGAAGGCGAATGATACGAGTATGGGGCTTGCGAGTTATTTCTTTACCAAGAATATTGATCGGACGTGGAGGTTGTTGGAGAATCTTGAGGCGGGCATGATTGGTATGAATACTGGTAATTCATCTGCTGCTGAGACGCCGTTCGGAGGTATCAAGGAATCTGGTTATGGTAAGGAGTCGGGTAAGGATGTTGCGGTTGCGGAGTATATGGTAAGTGTCTTCTTTCGGTGTTCAGTGGGTCTGAAGGGATACTTGCTAATTTTGCTCGCGCAGATCACGAAGACGGGTACTCTCACAATCGATGGGCAGTACTAGAGGTAGTGAAGAGAAGGAAAGAAGGAGTCATGATGATGAGGTAGCGTGCCGGAATGCGAAGTGCACTAACGGAAGCAACCACGTGATGTGAGTATCTAGCCAGCATTGTTTTACGCACATAGACGAAGCGAAGTAACAGAATGATGATTCGATGAATGAACACTTCCTATGGAACATCACGATGTGATGAAGTGGAGAACGCTTTGATGGGTATATGTATCTGCACAGCAAAATCGAAGTGGTAAAGTGACATACTCGGCTGGAGTAATCAAACAAGATCTCTTGCAAATCCAGGCCCTCAGTTTACGCCAAACTCCATGCTCACAAAACATTGTGCCAATCATAACTCGTAATCTGGATCTGACAGAGCTTGGCCTTCAATGAATTTCTCCTCTGCCAGGGCACTGTACTGGATTATTCCTCACTCTCCTAACTGCTGATCCACCTTCTCCCAAGTAATACTCCCCGTACTACTCGCCAGCCTCTCATCATCAGACGCAGATCCATTCCCCAGCTCTTTTCTCCCTCCGCTAGCAGTATTGGAAGTCCCCTTCTTCGCTGTAGAAGGAGCCATCATCCAACCTACCAATCCACTCGGCATGAACTTCCCAATAACATGATATGTCCAGCTTCCTCTTCCCACAAAAACTTCCTTGTTCGCCTTCTTCGCCACCAACTGGTCGAACACCGCATCGTGTAGTTGTCGCAGAGGCGTAGGCTTGAATCTTGACGTCGTGTGTATTCCTTCGCGTTTCTGCCGCGCTGTCACGGCGGGGATGTCGATGTTGCCGAGTTTGAAGTGGGATACTTGAATTCCTGAGGCCTTTGTTTCGGTGGAGAGGGTGCGAAGGAACGATTCGAGGGCATGGTAGGTTGTTGTTTCGGGAGAGTGGAGTGGGAGCTGAAGGGAAGGCGTCACGGAAGGTGTGAGGAGAAGAATCTTGGAGCCGGGTTGTAGGATGGGGAGGAAGAGTTGAGTTGTGGTGATTGGGTTAAGGAGTCGCGTGTTGAGCGCATCAGACCAGTCTGAGGGACGTATGTCGGCGATGGGGAGAGGAGGAGAGGAAGAGGTGTCAGGGACGAGGATGAGGCCTCTGAGATGGAGTTTGTGAGGTTCGGCGTGATCGAAGGCGCGGTGTTCATGTGATAGCATATGGCGGAAGCGGTCCAGGGAGTCCTGGTGTGTGATGTATGGGTCATCTTCGCCTGGATGTATAGAGAGTATGTGAAGATCCGAACGCGACTGGGAGCGGATGTAGTGCTCGTCTTCGGGCGTATTGGTCACGACGTAGACAACGAAGCCACGACGCTCGAGGTCGAGGTATAGTGCGCTTGTCAAAGGGTTGGCGACTGCGCCTGCTACCACAACAACATCTGTTCGAGCGCCGCTAGGTGACTTTCTCGCGCGTCGTTTGCGTTTCATGTCCTGGCTATTGATGTACACGACGGCGCCGATAGAACCAGTGACGAGAAAGGCCACGGCTGCAGCGGTAAGGGCTTTGTTTCGGAGTACCAATCGTTCTATCGACTGGTATGTGGTAGGCGGAGGTAATCGTTTTGGTGGCGTTGGCGGTCGTTGGTGAGAGAAGCTTTCGCGAAGCTGGCCCGCTACTTGGTCGAAATGGCGCTCGATGCTCGCAGTGATTTCGTCAAACTGCCGCTGTGCATACTGCACAAGATGTTGTGCGTCTGTCATGATGGTATGTTGTACAAGAGTAGAAGTTTGGTGATGGAGGAACGAGATACAGATGGAGCTGGCGACTAGCGATGATGATGCGGGGTGGAACAGGCTTTCGTACGGCTGAAGTGAATGAGTGGTCTACAGACTGCATACAAATAGCTTAGATTGAACTGTGCAAGCTGCTCGCTATTCTACTCTTCACCGACTTGAATTGTCGACTTGAATTGTAGCAGATTAGCGAGACCTGAATGGGCGCACCAGCAATCTTCGTCTCGTCGATGCATTTCGCTACATTCGTTGCTGCTAGCCACCTGTACCGTACTGCCTCATTGTCAGATGGATTCCTGCTGTCACTTCTGTCCTGATTATAGCTATCGTCATCCTCGATACTCGCAACTGCAACTGGAGATGTCTGCAGCGTCCGTTGCATACTCTGAAAAGGACCGTACATTTCAGAAGTCCCAAAGTCGCGTTGAAAACAAGGTGATTGCTCAATTCCAGAAACTCCACGAGGCATTTGCTGCCATAATGCATGCGTGCCTCTCTTTCTGTCGTCCAATGCCAATGTGTTCCGTTAACGGAATAAAAAAGTCCAACGCCCTTGAGGGTATCCAGTAATTCTGACACGGCCGTTATTGCTTCGAACGCTGCATCGAGAAGAAGGATATCCTCCAAAAGCAAAGTTGCAACGCCTCGCCCCAGTGCTGTATGCTATTTCGTGCTCGTTTATGCGCCAGCGCCAGCGCCTTTTCCTCCCTGCATGCAAGTTCATGCCAGAGGCGGCTTCAAATCAAAATCGTTCCCGTGTCGCAAAGATTTTCGGAAGGATGTCCGCATCTGACGCGCTGTACTCCCTTGATCACCCTGCATTTTCTTTCGAAACATCACAAACGAGTTTGTTCAACACAATACCCCCTCCGGATCTTGTAAAGAATTGGCGACACCCACAACGATCAAACACAAACGCAGCAATCAGCGCCTGCTCTCCAGGTGTCCTCGTGCACAGAAATATCCATTTCTGCGGCTCGTCAAAGGCAAACTCTACTTGGGCCCCTTCTTTCTGAGCGGCAGCCTCAACTTGAACTGCTCACTCAGCCCTCCTTGCCCGCCGAACCCTCTCCTAGCAGCTTCTTGTAGCAAGTACATCCTCCTCGCCAGAATCTTCTCGTCCAGGTACAATTCAAAATCCAAGAGGAAGCACATTGCAATTTCCAAGTTCATCATCTGGGTGTTGCTGATGCCGCCCATTTTCGAGATCCGCTCTTGCGACCATTTGTTATCTTCCAGACTCTTTGCTGCGACGCGAATGGCAGTCAGGGCAAGTCGGTGAATAGTCCTGGTCGTTGCCGGAACAACGAGATCGGAAACGCAGAGCTGGTGGATGTAGGCTACAGCGCCGAGGTAGACGCCTGGAGAGTGTGGACAGTACTGGTGAAAGCGTTTGAGGTATTGGCCAATGGTGAATGGGGGAGCGGTTTTGGAGAAGAAGCGCCTTGCTATGGCTTGGTGCTGTATCGATATGTCTTCCACGCCCGTACCAACGACTACAGTGATGGGTTCATGAGGATGAGCTTCGGGGCTTCCGATCTCAAGTTTCGGAAGATTCTGCGAGGATGATGTTCGAGGAAGGGTGCTACTCGGCTTTCGCTGGTGTCGTATTCGACCGAAAGGGCCTGGCGTTCCTGGACGAGAGACGGGTGGAGTGGGTGGAACATCGCCGGTAGTGTTTGAGAGGGAGTCGAGGGCATCAATCAGCATTTGTAGTGCTGCTATGGCACTGATTCTGTTGATGTCCCATGATTCGCTCTCGAGACGCAGTGGCTCGTCGGACTTGGGCGAGTTGGAGGGGTTGATGGGAGCGGCGGCACCTTCGTCGTGCACGTTTGGGTCGGGTGGAGGCGGTGGTGAGCCTACTGTGTCAGGCTCAACAGTGGCATTGGGTTCGGAGTGGCCATCATGCATGGCTTGAAGCCTGTGCTAGGGCACGCCAGTATGTGCTGCCGTGGGAGGGAAGTTGACTCGGCGCAGCGGGGATGGCTTGAGCGGAAGGACGTCAAGCGGGCATCGGGCGTTGCTGGTCGTTGCTGCCGTGGGCACGATGCAGCGGAGCGGTGGTCAGTCGGGCGGAGGACAGTGGCAGCGGACAGAGGTGAATGTTGCCAACGCGACACGTCGTCGTCGAGGCATGTGGACGAAAGAGCAGGCAGAGCTGGCGGCGGACATGCACTCACACGGCCGCGCTGCTGTCCCGCTGGACGATGGCAGAAATGAGGGTCTGGCTTCTGCACTTTCCGCGCATCACATGCGCAGGCATGCCGGTCTAGCGCTCGGCTTTGTCTCCTGCCCTGGTCTGCACTTGCTGCTGTTCCTCGTTGTTCCGACTGCCGACTTGGGCTGCTCGTCGTCTGCCGCCACGTCTGCCGCCTCCATCTCCCACGCCGCATCTCACGACTGGTGCCAGCGTTGTTGTCGTGTTCTCAATTGTCCTCTCCGCCAAACACATGTCTCTCCTGCCCAGCCACAATCGACCATTTTGAGCTTCGTGCATAATTGCAGGCATGCGAATCCTAGCAGCACGGCAGCGACACAGATCGTGCATGCGGGGCGAGGTGGAAGCATCGCCTGATTCCAGAACTCATGCACGTCAGCCTGTACCTCTCGGCTGAAGTGCTGCCAGCGAGATTAGGGCGCATTCTTTTCCTCCGTGTACCTTGCCTGCGAAAGGGGCACGTGGAGGATATATCGAAGCCCTTCGAGGCACGAGACCAGTAGCCGAATAACACATCAGGCTCAGTGACCAGGCTATGCTGCTCTTGGCCTGCAAAGCAGCAGGCGAAGGCATAAGCGAAGACGATCAGGAAAGGTCAGTACGGTAGAACATCGCGGTGGACCAGATCCACCATGTCAATGTCAATGAGATGAGGTATCCGGTGTCCTCTCCGAAGCTCTTTCCCAATCTGCGCGATAAGATCAAGCACAACTTGAGGAAGTTGTAAGCACACCTTCAAGCATAAGATGTCCGGAACAGCCCGACGAGGCCTACCCAGGGCAACGGGATCACCTTCTTGCCTATCGGTCCGAACACCTTGCAAAGCGATGAAGAGATAAGAAGAAGCAGTCGATCATGACCATTCACAGCCGTGACTGCACAAAGAGCTCAGTGTACTTTCTCAACCAAGAGTGCCGACTGGCCTCGCCCGACGATCATCATCATCCATCCGGCCGACTGGCGTACCATTTGCCCTCGAAAAGATCGAAGCATATGCTCGCGCGCTCGCAAAATCCAGCCCCTCCTCGTGTTCGGAAGTCGAGAGATTTTTCAATGCTCTATACATTACCACAGTCAAGGTCACTAAATTGGGGCAGTATGTCAATTGTGACGCGATGAAGCTCCATGCCTATCTCATGCGAACAGAATGACTGCTCCCAGAACGCCATGTCCGATCGCAGCAGCAGACAGTGTAAAGAGAATTCACGTTGAAGATATTCTACCCAGTCGAGAAAGTCTCAATACATATTCCCGACAGAATCTAGATTGATCGCAAAGATACACCTCTCATGTCTGCTTTTCATAAGTCTTTCAGAAGCTTCGCTGTCTACCGAAAAGCAAAGTCGCATAGGGTGAGCAGCAAGCCGTGGGCACCAGCATGAGAATGGCCGACAGAGGAGGCAGCACATCGAAGTCAAAAACACCAAGAACAATATCAATTGCAGTGAGAGAGAGAATCAGTATGCAGACAAGTTTGTTTGTTCATATGCATGTATACATGCAATCAGGGTATCTTCTTCTTCCAAATCGTTACATCGTGATCAAACATCCACTCCACCACATTCCCTCTACTCTCGCAAGTAGTGAAACCAAAATGCCGCACCACTCATGAACACCTCTTTAGACCTTGTTGCCTGGAACAACGACGCTCGATCGTCGACGATCCTGTCCAAACTTCTTGCGTCCGATACCAACCATCTGGAGCATCTCGCGCCAGAAGCCATTTGGTGGATCAATGAAAGTAGCCTCGTACGCATCAATGGTAGGTCGCTCCCAGATCAAATCAGCCTCGTGAGAGCCGATGAACTTGGTGCGCTTGATGACCTTCCAGCCGATGAAGAGGATAGGAGCTGTGATTGATGTTAGTACAATGATTGCAGTAGTGGGGAGGAGTGAAAACTCACCAAGAATCAACATAGCGTAGTAGATGAAGAAGCTCTCCACGTTCCATGGTGCGTATGCAGAGTATCCGTAGCAGCACACAACCATGGACATCCAGGCGAGACCCAAGTATGCGCAACCTGGCTGGAACCAACCATAGTATGGCAAGCTCTTGCGGTCGAGGCCCTGGGCGACAGCGGCCTTGTGGTAGAAGATGTAGGTGATGCACATGACGATGTAGTTGATAACACCACTGTTCAAATTGTCAGTATTGATGCTTTGATGTGGGGAGTTTAGAATCGGCAACTTACCCAGCAGTGATGAGGTTGATGAGCCATGTGAGGACCTCCGCAGAGCCGTTGCTAACCTGCAAGAAAGACAGGCAGGGGAAGATCATGACAATGACGAAGGCAAAGAGTGGGACACCGGTCTTCGTGCAGTAGCGGAGGAAAGCTGGTGCGCGGCCTTCGAGAGCTAGACCGTAGAGAGAACGGGTGGCGCAATATGTGTAGGTGTTTCCGGCGGAGAAGATGGAGGTGACGAGGAGAGCGTTGACAAGGTGTGGCAGCCCATTGATACGGAGGTTGTCCATAGCAATGACATATGGCGAAGCCGAAGCAGTACCGCTGCCACCGAGGTCTCCAGAGATGATTCCGACGAGCACAGGATCAGTGTAGGCAACGACGATACCGCAAGCGAGGGCACCTCCAATGAAGAAGATGGCGAAGCGAGCGTACATGGTCTTGAACGCGCTCTTGATGTAGATTCGTGGCCTCTTCGCCTCGGCAGCGACCATGGAAACGTACTCTGGACCGACGACAGTGAAGGAGGCAGACCAGAGACATGCAAGGAAGCCCTCGAAGCGTCCAAGTGTGCCTGTAGTTCGGTACTCGGCGAAGGCGTCTGGAGATCGCCAGTTGCGGAAGCCATAGGCGTCGTTGTCTGGGTTACCACCGACCATCGTGACGAAAGTAAAGGCGAAGAGCAGGAAGATCAAGATGACCTTTCCGCCAGATAGCCAGAACTCAGCCTCTCCATAAGCCTTGACAGCAAGGCAGTTGAGAAGGCCGTAGAGGACGATACAGGCGACAGGAACAGCCCAAGGTGGGATGTCCGCTGACCAGAAGCCCAGCACAGTTGTCAAAGCCGTGATTTCAAATGGGATGAGCAGTGCCTCGTAGATAAAGAAGTTCCAGCCAGCCTGTCGTGAACCATTAGCAAATGTATCGTCGACAATATTTCTGTGCCTCTTACCATGAACCCAAAGGCCTCATCGACGAAGTGACCCGCAAGACGGACGAAACCACCAGAGACGGGGTACAGGACAGTCATTTCCGCAATTCCATTGTTGACGAGTGCGAGGAAGCATGAGTAGATAGCGTAGGCGATGAACAGGGAACCGGGGCCACCGCGGGCAAGACCAGAACCTGAAAGCGATCATTGTCAGTAGAAGTCAACGGTGAATATTGAGCATGAGGTCGACATACCAACGGAGACGAAAATGGCAGTACCAATGGAACCACCAATGGCGATCAATTGAATCTGTCTGTTGCCCAATCGACGGTGAAGGTCGTCGGCGTTCTCGACAACATCCCCTTCGGCAGTGGTGACAACCTGGTCAAGGTTGTCCTCCACGTACACGGGTTCTTTCTTTTCCTTAGAGAACAGCTGCATGATGACAATGCTGCCAATAGACAAGGATTGGATGAGAGAAGAGAGAGAAAGGTGGATCTGAAAGCGAAACCAGTCGGACCATCAGGTCGTTCTTGTACTAACGACCACGCGACCAGGGCGGCGACATGCTGCAAGCCTCACCACGCGACAGCATGCTGCCCAGCACACAAAGTCCTGGTCATCGTAACCGAGAAATATGGGGCCGCTATGCCGCCGCTCGCACATCGCGTGTTCGAGGCGCTCGTGAAGGCGAGGCTATCAAAGTATCGGGCTGTCGCAACGCTCGGGCCCGGAACAGAACGTCCATAGAACGCTCGTAGACCACGATGCGGCTGAGAGGCTAAAAGATGGTCCCAGATGTACACCTACCATGAAGAGACGTACTGCTAGATGGTACCGGTCCCGCGGCACAAGATGTGGCTCTGCGGTCTAAGACTCTCACAAGTTCGTCCCAGAGATAGCGTACTTCCCAATCTGTTCAAGCGGACTTTGGCGTAGGCCTAGATCTGAATGGTGCGAAGCATGTTTTTCGGTTTCGGGATCGAAGCTGGGGAAAAGTGGGGCTGTCTGCAGTTGCACAGCTTCCAGCGCGTCGATTGCTCTGGTCTCGGTCGCTCTGTCGCAGATTAAGTTAGAGTGCTGCTGTTCGAGGCTATGCTCACGTGCGATAGATTGTTAGGTTCGTGACAGTTGATGAGTGCTTGAATTTGCTGGTTATGTGCTTCATTGATGCCAGGCGCTTGGTTCGTGGCGGCCACGCTGCTTGTCCCTGTATCTTATCGGGTGGCGCATGAGGCTCACCTTGGCGTACGGACATGAGCGCAAGTATTGTGGGCGGGCCTTGATTCGGCCTGTTCGCCGGCGCCAAGTGAAGTTGAGCAGCTCCAGCTTGTGATCAGCCCATTGACAAATTCGAAGGTAATTTCTTCTTCCAGTCCGATCGCTGGCAATTGTACAAGCTGTAGCGGCACAAGCAGCGATGTACCAATGGGCCATGGAGCTTGTCCGACTCATGAAGTGTTGACTTGCAACTAGAAGCAAAGATGAGCGCAGATCTGATCTGTTGAATTCACTTAGCATTTCTTGAGCTGTCGGCGAGGTGCAGCTGAATGTCTGTGGCAATCTAGGCTGTGGTGAGTTAGTCGTGGGAGAAGCCCTTCGGACGAGATAGTCGTGGGAGAAAATGCGATTACTATTCAGCAGTCCATAGCGCGCCGCATGCTGGATCCAGTTACCGCACGGCAGACGTATTGTCGCTGGTGGGGGGATCTGTCACTCACGGTCTTGCGCTTTTCCGCTGATTATGGAAGGCAAGTGGTGCTGAGTCGCGTGAGCTTGCACCTGGACTTCTGAGGAATGGTTCGACAGTAGCAGCGAAGCAGCAGGCATTCCAATGCAATGCGGCTTGGGTTGTCTTCATTCATATCAGAATTCTGGCGCTGTCTGCGCTGCCTTAAAGAGATATGGTTGTAATGCAGGTCCAGTGCAGCAACGCAAGGAAGCGAAAGCAATGTAGGAAGGAGAGAGCAACTTCCCCCAATATCTCTTGGCACTCCCGCTCTCCTCCGCAAGCACAACCTCCCCATCTCCCACTATTCCACCCACCGCCCTTCCCTCACCCTTCCATAGCCACCGATAAGAAGCGCCAAAATGATCACCAAATACCTCACCGCCGTAACAACAGCTTTTTCGCCCTTCAACCCCCGCTCCGGCAAAACCGCACGCAACTTCCTCGCACAACTACCGCCCAATGCACGATCAACGATGGCCATTGATGTGAAACTATTACCGAAGGCGATGGCGAATAAACCAGCGATGTTATCACTCTCGTTCAGTAAGTTCTCACGAGGTATACTCAGGAGGACGGGGACAATTGCTGACCCCAATCGAACAGAAGACGGGAAAGAAATGAAGCTCGACTTGGACAAGATGAAAATCAAAGAGATCCAGAGCGAAGTGGACCGACATTCGAGAGTGTTAAGAAGAGCAGAGGACTTGAGCGGGAACTAAAGTAAGATGAAGTAACAAGCATGAAAAGATATGACGAGAACAAAATACTTGCCAGCGCGAGGCACTAGGAAGCGTGAGCTTCGAGGAGTATTAGACACAGTTTGGCGCTCCATGCGGATGCGCACGTCAAGTCTGGCCTCGAGACACGCTTCGCGCAACGTCTGGAGCTTGCACAGCATACATTGATGTGGATGCCTGTGACATGGACAACATGCAGTCGGCGGGCGCCGTCGACAGCAGTCAACGAGATGGCAGCTTCTCCCTGAGCGGGCAACGTCGATCCACGCAAGAGAAGACTGCCGATCGCCACACAGAGTAGGGAGTACGGGCTGCTAGAAGCATGATGGACGAGGAGGCATAATGCAGCAGTACAGAGCTGGCAGAAAGAGCCAACACGAAGACTGTCCGAAGAGACACAGAGCTTGGTCAGCTCATTGTAAAAACTATGTACTATAACATGAGATGCCAGCGAGCAGAAACATAATCATGCTCGACAAATACCAAACAGATCAACTTTCATGATCAATCGAGTTCCACGACTTCGATTTCAGAATTTCCGCCTCGTGCATCATGACCATCCTGTTCATCAGTGCCCAGGTCAAGCACATCCTGCTCTTCCTGCACAATATGATGCTTATAAGCGTCGTCGCCAAACTTATCTTCGTCCTCAGGAAACAGGAGCTCGCCTATCTCTGTACTCTCGGTCAGAACCTCTCGCGCTCGAGTTCCCCAGTCCTTTTGTGTCAGATTGAGGTCTTCTTTGACGAGCAATTCAGCGAGATGTGGAGCCAGAACGAGTTGGACGAAACCATTCACGCCACCTTGAATGCCCGAAGCGAGGATGAGCTTGTCCTTCGTCGATCGTTTCCGGAGGTCATCGGCGAAGCGGTTCATAATGTAGTCGTTGACTCTTCGTTCCCCTCGAGGGCCGTAGTAGCCCATCGTAAACTTACTTGTCCCCTCTGCCACAATGTCTTTCTGCCGTGATCGACCATTTTTGCTCTGATCTTTTAGCTTCTCGCGGTGGTGCGATGCAACCCTATCATTCAGAACGTCCGACAAGAACCTGTCGTGCTTACGCATCCGTTTCCGAAGATTGCTCCAATCGATTTCAGGGTAGCCTCTTTCTTGCCATATCTCACGTACAGTTCTCCTCTTGTGCCACGTGCAAAATCGTTGTTGCCACTTGTAGCTCCACGGCCTGTTATCGAGAACCTCGTCTTCGAACTCCTCTTTCAGTAGCCTCCTGACACGCTCATCGCAGATCGTACATGTGATGTTGCCATCGTCTGAATCTGGTCCACCGTTATCAGGATCATGTGTAGATACCAGATCTTCTTCGGACAAGTCATCGGCTTCGGCATGTGAGCTGTCTGGGACCGTCTGCGATGACATAAGTTCCTGGAAATCAAGCTTCTTGAAAACCGTCTCCGGTTGGGGTGCCGATTTTGACTGTTCTTTTGAGGGTCTCTTTGGCGGTTGGATTGTTCGTTTAACATTTGCCTTATTCCCGTAGACAATGCCCTGCTGAGATGATCGAGGCGCGCCATTGCCTCGCTTCCGTTTCTTGTTAGCAAAGATGTTGGCATCTCCGAAGATTTCATCGCCACTACCATCCAGCTCGTCGTCGCTAACAGGCTTTATCATTGCTGGCGTTTTCTTGAATTTCGGCTTCTTGATCGTATCATTGTCCCGCGAGCTAAGTGGGTTGATCGACGGAACGCGTTGAAAGCCAGACTCACGCCCCTTGGTCGCCTTCTTCCCCTCCTGCTCGTCGTTCTTCCGTTTCGTTCCTTTCTCCGCCTGCTTCGGCAAGCTCTGCGTGCTTCCCAGACTCGTCCTCGTCGTACTTGTGCTTCCATTGCTGTCCCTCTTCCCTCCACTTTTTCCATATGAGTCCTCAGCATCATCGCTACTCTGCGGATCCGCATCGAAGTCGTACTCCGTTTGCATCGTGTCCCTGCGGCTCCGCCAGCTCTGCGGGCTATCTGTCGTGACAGGACTCGGCAGACTCCTCTCTGCCTTTGTCTTCGCCAAGGTGTCTCTTACACCACGTTCCTCCTTCTTCTGCCTCTTCGGCGGACTGTCTAACAGCTCAATGACTTCTGGCGCCTTTCGCTTCGGAGAGCTCAACCTGTTCTCGATTTGCGGTACTGGAGGCGGAGGCTGATATACTGGCCTCGGCGAAGGTATAGCCGTATTGGCCACTGGCTCCAAAGGAATTGATTTGAAAGCTGAAGTTGCTTTTACACAGGGGACATCCTCATGATCATCGCTAGAAGCGTGCGGCTGGTGTCGAACCTGACGCAGCAGTCTGTATTTCGTCTTGCTCAGCTGAACCATATTGGCGATGCAGCAATACTGCTTTCAATGCGACGTACGATATGCATCAGGTGAATGTGTTCGTTCGGTACGAGAGGCCCGTGTCGGCGTGTAGTTCTGTGAGATCTGCCTGCAAAGCTCAACGGCTCGAAGTGAAGTGCAGAAGTCGCGACGCGTCAGGCGCGTCATGGGTCGGCCGCATTGAGATTTCGCGTATTTGGAAGCGCCAAAATCACATCAGACGAACGGCGAGAAGAAAAGTCAATGAAAACCATCGCATACAAGTGCTATCGCCTGATGTCCTTCTCTGTTCCTTTCCTGTCGCCCACCCACGACAGTCGTTTCTGGGTATAACTTTAATTTACAGCCTCATTAACCTGCGCGAGCAGTCCGTAGCCATCTATCCAGGCTCAACCTTCCCTGCCGCCCGTGCTTTGTATCCAAGAGAGCTCTTCTCCCTCCAGTCTTCAAGGTTTCTCTAGTTTTGGTTAATGAATTGCGCAGTAACAATAACGCCGTAATCGCCGTAAGCCTCCGAGCCCTGGCAGATCGAATGCCTGAAGGCTGATATCCGCCAGGTCAATGGCTTTGTCCCGGGATGAGACATGAACAGAGACCAAGTCGAAAGAGTAGCCCGTAATCAAGAGCGTGCTAGTAGGATCCGCTCGATCCCAATGTGTGAAGGTCACAAAGGGTAGTATCCGTGCCAGCCGGGTGCAATGCTCGCCGAGACATCGTCGCCAGGGACGCAGCGGACATCGGGCATGGTGTTCTCAGGAGTCTGAGGCTACCGCCCTGACGTTCGAAGCGCCTAGTACTGAGCGGCGGCACCATATGCGAAGTCTGTGGAGCTGTCCCCGCCTTCAAGTCCACTGCCCAATCCATTATTAGTGTCGTATGGCGCAGAGCTGTCGTGCACCGCTCCTCCAGAAGCATTGGGAGCTTTGTCGCCGCCCTTGGCAACGAGATTCTAGGTGGACTGTCAGTGGCCGAATATGCAGGGGATGTGTGGCTTGAGACCCGTTTCAGCACTCACCTCTCGGTATCTGGCAAGGTAGATCTTTAGTGCCTCGCCATAGTTCTCAAATCCGAGCGATGTCATCGCGAACAGGATATCTTCGCCATTGACGGTTTTGCGCTTCTCCTGTTGACATTTCTCGGAAGCTGTGTAGCAGTGTTAGCCATGGCTCGAGGGAGCAACAGTCGATAGTGATTGGATCAACGTACCTTCACTGGTGATGAAAGAGATGAACTCGCTGACACACTCTTGCATACATTCCTTTGCTTCCTTCGCGATTTTGGCATTCTCCGGAAGTGCATACTTCATGATCCTGGCAACTGGTGCAAAGTTATGTATGTTAGCATCTTGATCAAAATTCTTGCGATTCGGGTGTTTTGCGCGGTGTGACGCCTGTGGAGAGGAGGACGACGCGTGCGGCGATGTTGACATGGTGCTGTCTCGTGTCGTCTGGTCGTCCAGTCGGCGGCAAACGAGACGTAGGCTGCAGATCGCTGGGCTGGTCAAGAAGCCTCTGATTCGACGAACGTGCAGACCAGACGCGCGCTGCAGCGTTATATGTGGACGACACACGCCTGAGAGCGAGCATTCGTCGACGTGCAGGCTGTCAAAAGAGGGCCAGAGCACAAATCACGACGCGACTAGGGTAGCACGGTGCATCGTGGGACGCAAGGTGCTACAGGAGTTTGGGGGAGTACAGGCAACATCATCGAGGCAAGACTTACCATTCGCAATGGGGAGCCATCGGTCCTGCTCCTTGACTTCGAAATCATAGCCCAGTTCTTCTGGTCGAGTATTCATTTCTCCTTCGGGTTGGTCAGGCTGCTGCTGAGCAGTCTCATTGTTCTCGGGCGTCTGCGTGGCCGGACCTTCGTCCTCGTTTCTCTCTGGGGACTGCGACATCTTTAATTGAGGTACAGACCCGTTTTGTGTAAGCGTGTGCTGTCACTGATTCGCTGGTAACACGTCAACACCACCCCTGTGATGCAGAAGACGCAGCTAGGCGCAGCTGGAATCTAGTTGCCGACGCCGGCAGGATAGATCTGTCGTAGTTTGCTGCACGCAGAGCGGTGTGTTTCCACAATTGCGTGGAGCCCGAGGCCAGCGGTGAGCACAGCGCGATCCTGAGGCGTTGGATCGATGCGCGCGTGTATGGCGGTAGGTACCGCCGAACGAAGTGCAGTACACCAGATCCTCGCGCGGCAGCAATGCAGCAGAAGCTCGCGAACTGTCGATATGCGAGGCGAGAGTTTGCGTTGCTGGCGATGCGCCAGATGGTTCGAAGGGAGCTTGGCACAGCACAGGTTCGCCGAGAGAAGCTCGCTCGCACGACAGACGCGCCACACGGGCAGCCAGCTAGCTACAACGTCCCTCGACAAGAGCCCAACGGATGCGCTGTGCGGTGATGCTGCTGCGCCGGCTGACGGAGCGCCCGCTGCTTGGATTGGAATGACAACAACTCGGCTGACGAACGGCCGATTGATGCGAGTTGGCGCAAGCCCTGCGGCGGTCTGGCTGGGGTGGGGTGGGCGCTGTCCGACGTGTTCGCGATGTCGTACGTGAGGAGCGCGTGTAGCGGCGCACCTGCGGGTCCTTAGTGTCGTTCGTTCGGAGGCCTGTATGCAGCAGTTTGACAAGGAGCCAATGAACAATTCGAGAAAATGCGAAGAGCTTGCCTTTTGAACCGAGCGGAGGTCTGAGAGGGCGGGAGCGGATTGCGGCTGGCAGTTTCCCTCGCTGGCCAATGGCGGCCGCCGAACCGCATCGAGCTGTTCACATCGGCAGTGACAGACGTGCACCCGCTCAACTTCATCTCTTCACAGCGCTCGCGTGCGCCGACGACTCGACACACGTGCATCCGCAAGACAGGCCATGCTGTCCCATGCGCGACACCTCCCGGCTTCTGCGCAGTTTCGGGCGACGCGGGTCCTGCTGCGGTCCTCAAAGCACCTGAAATCCCGCGTGTTCACGATGTCATGCATGAGCGCCCAAGTCGCGGCGGAGTAATGTTGTCATGGCTCGGACGAGGAGCTTCACTACTCTGTGATCCTCAGAATCCCAACTGTTGCATCCTTTACCTAGCGTGCAGCTATGTGTTGGCATCGTAGCCATGGCCGGCGGCGCAGACCAGACGAGCTCAGCGAGTGTTGACGATACCACACATCTACCTGCGACATCGCCCTTTCTCTTCACGACACAATGGGCAAAAGCCTGACGTTGGAGTGACCAGTAATCGCAAGGCGGTCCCTGACAGCATCTGCTGGAGATTTGAGGCCAATCAATGATGGATTTCATGCTCCGGCTGCGAGTATTGGATCTGCTCGCACAGCTAAAGGACCGGGCCAGCGCATTGTGCATAAGGCTGCTTGCAAGCCTCTTCCTCCTTCCCACCAAACTGGCAAGCCCTGGCTTTCTGCCATGTTCTGGGTGTCTGGACTTGGAGAAGATGGTGGGGGACATTACCGACTCCACGCCGGGGCATGTCATTGTGCAGCTCGTGTTGACAGCGCATCAGATAAACAGGTACCTGGAGACATGCTTCAATCGTCACGTGATAAACAGGTTGGGTGACGGCCCACCATAACATGGAGTCTAGAAGTGGGGAGAAACAAGACAGTGAGATGGATCGCTCGGTTGGCAATTACCTTGACGGAGGGTCTCCTTTTACAGCGCATCTATCAAAGTAGGTTCTTCAGAACTCGGCTCATGATGTTCGCCGAACAACATGCTTGCACCGGCCCGAATGTGCTATCTGGTGACTGCCGAGCAGATGCACCTCGGGGCACTGCAATCTTCTCCGTTCGTGATCGTCAAGTGATTCATCGATGTCGTGGCCTACTTCCAAAGATCTGGTCGTGCCGAGATGATGACGTCCAACGGTGTGTAGGTGCAGAGAGCGAGCAGGTTGCGGTCACTGCCTGCATCATGCTGACCCTGAGCATCTGCCGGGAAGACCAGAGCCTCAGACACCACTTTCTGTTACACTGTCTGGTATTCTGAGTTCTTCCACGCACTGAAACTTAGATGAGCGCAGTCCCATTTGCTCGAAGCACAACGATATTCACTTTGTTCATTGCTGCACGACCTGGATATTGTTCTTTTTCTGCTCCAGACTTAGCACGTGTCAACGAGATCACTCACTGCAAGATCTTACCTTCCACTTCTCCATCTCCGTCTGCTTATTCGTATACTGTTTCACAAGATCGTCCAGCACCTTCTTCAAACCATCCGCGTTCGTCTGAAGAGCAGGCAAAACATCCTTCACAGTCCTCTCGGTAAGAACGCCATTGATCATCCGGAAACACTTGCGATCACCAGACAATGGCGTCAATGTCTCTAGCACCAACCTACACCGAGCTGTCAGCATCATCTGTCACTCGAGAGCCCTGCATATGCCATAGCCGCGCTGCTGCGCAAGCGTTGCGAAGCGCTAAGCGACGTGAGCCACTCCCGCTGCTATAGATATACACTTCATACGACATTTATAGCGGTGGCCTCGTTCGCGTACACCGAGGAGGCTGGGAAAGGTGATCTTCAGAAAGATACATGGATGGCGGTGAAAGAAGGTTTGGCCTCCCGTGAGCCACCATGAATAAGTCGGATTGTAGGCGAAATGGTCCGGATAGTGCTCTTCACCGCAACAATGGGCTGTCGAAGTGCTGTTCGGAACGGAGAGCGCACTCACTTGTGTTCTTCGGTTTCTTGCTCGACGTCGCCGATTTTCTGTGCGATGGCTTGGAGCGTTTCCTTGTAATTTGAATATTGGACTTGCAGCTCTGTGACAATGATCAGTAGACATGCCTTCGCATGGATCGCGACTCGAACAAAATACCTTGCTGCTTCTTCGCAGATATCTGCTGTTGAGACATGTTGATAGTTCTGATCAAATGTGCTTGTGGTGATTCGTCCGAATGTGAGTGAACATCGACCGAAGGAACTTTGCTGACTAACAAATTTCCCCAGCATCAGGTCCATGACATCCTGCATTCTAGAACCATTCGCCTTCGCACTTCACGACAACAGCATTGACACAACTACGCACATCATCATGCATCCTCACTTGCATCGCGAAGATCAGAATGGTGAGTTCACACCATAGCACTCGCGTTCACACGCATGTCTGACAGGAAGCAGGCTGTGAGGAGCTCATGACGGCCCTCGAAGAATGCCATGCCCGAGGATTCCTCTGGAAGTCGATGGGCATGTGCACGAATGCGAAAACCGAGGTGAACAAGTGTCTACGAGCTGCGCGACTCGATCGAACGGCGCATAACCGCGAAGTGGCCAAGAAGAAGCGACAGCATATGGAGAAGATTTGGGCGGAGATTGACGCGAATTCTTGAAGGAAAGGGAAGGAAAGAGGCATGATACGGGGAAAGACTTTTGATTAAACTCCACTCAAAGTAAGATGGTATAAGACGAGCCAGGAAGCTCGGCATCAGTGATTGAGAAGTGCATGCGAGCGGCAGGAGCAGGGGAGGGGGAGGATACTGTATGTTGGGAGGACATGGTGAGGGTGCTACGCGCGACAAAACAGTCGTAGCTCGGTCGAGCAGAAGAAACGTCAAATGGGACAGGCAGGACATGTCAGCTGAAACAGGCGTGAGATGCAGCTCGAGGAGAGCGAGGGCAAGGCAGGGCAGGTTGCAAGTAACGCATCCCTCCGAGAAGTGAGCGCTCTGGAATTCTACTCATGGCGGACACAGCGATGTCAGTTGAAAGATGAATGAGATGCGTTTGCGTTAGCAAAATCGACTTGTTGCGCGGCTTCGTGCATAAAATATGCACGTCTACCTCAATGCTCCGCTCTCGTTTGCTTCAAACAACACTCCTCTCCCACCTGGTTTCTCCGTCTCAACTGACAAACTTCAACACAGTCAGACTCGACTGTCCGCTCACATGGCGGAATCGGACGACGGATTTCAGCTCGCCTTGAGCGAATTGATTGAAGGCGCCGCTGCAGATGCGCGCCGCCACTCCGCGAGAGCAGATTCAGGATCCCCGATGAGGAAGGCACGGCCGCAGGACATGGAAGGAGAGCCTCCAATCAAGCGAGCGAAGCTTTCGAGGACTTCATCGCCCGCGACCGATGTGCACCACTGGAGTGCCTGGAGTTCCTCGAGTTCGACGGGCACAACGGCGACGCCGCTGGGCGGGACATCCCCAAGCAAGAGACACAAGCAGTTCTCCGCTTCTCCTCACCAGGCGCCGAACATACCACAGGTAGTACGACGTCAATTTGATCCGCGAGAGAACGACTTTCCTTACGAGGCTTTGGTGGAAGCTCGGCGCAGGGAACGTGTTGTGGACGTTGACCGCTATGTCCCTCCGGCTGGCAATCGACCACCCAGTAGAGCGCCTGGCTTCGCATCTGCTGCGTACGATTCCCGGTCTACGCGCACCCATCACGAACAGGACCGAATGAAGGCAACACCGGGGTTACACGTTCACGAGATCGATTTTGGGCAGAGACGTAACCACAGGGGACAAACCACAAGCCAGAAACCCATCAAGCCATTCCGATTCCAGGACCTACCGGACACAATCAAGACTCGTATCGTATTCTACTTGCTCGTCAAAGACGAGGCGATCCTCATCGACTTCACATGGTTACGTTCCTTTGTGCATGGCCACAGTAGAGTTCCAAGTGCTACGGAAACACTACGTGCAGAAGACCAAAAGAGCTACACTGTCCCACAGAACTGGCCAGAATTGATTCACGAAGTACAAACAATGCAGAATGACTGTGGCCCCTTCCGGGATGCCCTCGAGCTTCGAGGAAACAAAACTCGTGGACTGCGAGGGCCATGTCGCGGACTTACTACAGGCCTTTTGAGGGTATCGAGATCGGTTCACAAGATGGCAGCCGAGGCGCTATATGGAGGAAACAAATTCAGATTCCCTTGGCCCACCTGTGCTTGGATGCAACTGGAATCTTTCCTGGCCACGATCGGGTCGCGGAACGTCGGTTACCTGCGAAGTCTCGAAATCCACGTACCATTATGGTTAGTACCCTTCGAGACAGAATGATTACACGGCTGTATAGTCATACTGACCAGCTCTTTCTTTTGTGAGCAGGCACCGAGGCATGCAAGAAGACTACCGTAAGCCACGAATTTTTCGACCATAGGCAGATCCAAGCTGACTTCAACCAGTCGAAGGCGCAATCTTAGATCTTACATCGCCTGCTTCGCGCCTTGGTGTCGTCTTACCCACAGCCCGCGACCGACTGCTGTCGGCAATCACATTCTGTGTCCACGCCCTGCTCAAAGCCAACAACCTGTCCAATCTCCTTCTCATTCTCGAACATGGCCTGGCCACCGATCGCTGGATAGGTCGCCACACAAACGACAGACAGCTCATACCCCTCGCTGAAGCCGAAGAGTTGGTCGCCAGGAAACAGCAGGGCATCGCAATACTACAGGAATTAGCCCAGCTCGTCAAAACAAAAGCGATCAGACTCCATGTGCAGCACGTAGGAGCCAGCAAAATCCAGGAGTACGATAAGAAGGAGTTCAAGCAGCGGCTACCTGGACTGAAAAAGGAAGCGGAGAAGTATGGATGGGTCGTCGATCAAGCGTTGAAGGGGAGACGATAGTGGAAGCCCGCTATCACACAAGGACGGAGCTGATATAACGAGGAGCTTCAAAGATGACATGGCAGAAGGCGCCCACAGCAGGGCAGAGCGAGCAGAACCGAGACCCCCAAATGCGCCTAGGTAAATCACAACCTCAAAAAGCAATGATACATTGGTCTTTCTCTTCAACACATTACTCACTCATCGGGGTGCGTATCAAATTCCTCCTTCCAGCAAACAAACTCATAGCTATGATGTGCTATAACAAGTTTCATGTGTCTCGAACAGATTCGCGATTCTGTCACGTCCAACAAAAGCATGCATGCTCAACTCAGCGACTACTTCCCAATCACCCCAACATGACCTTCATACTTGTCTCCTCACTTGCTCACACACACACACACACTCTCTCTCTTCCTCCGTCATCCCTTCTCCCCGATTAACACACTGTGACAGATCCAGTGATACGCTCCCTCTCTTCATTCCCCATCATGTCCACAAATCGCCACGACTCTCAACCGACTCAAAGCATCCACCCGGCCAGCTCTCGTGGCAGGGCATCACAGACCTCCGTAGAGAAACAGGACAGGAAAATGCCGATGATAGATCCAGAAAAAGATAAATATCGACTCAACACCAGACCAAAGACAAGAGCAAGTAACCAAACAACAAGACCGACAAGGAAAAGGGTATACTCGTTTTTCTTGCTCTCAGAAAAGCCCCCAGACGCAGGCAGAAAACCCCAGAACCCCAGACCAAAAAAAGGAACGAACCCCTAAATGCCAAATCCAACAGCAACACATTCCGCACAGTCGAACGCCGCACACCACAGCAGCGACGGCATGGCGAAGGGGAAAGATGTTTCCCATCTTCTTTCTTAATCCCCTCCCCCAGGCGGCCCCGCCGCAGCCCTCACAGCAAGCGTCAACTTCTCATTCCGCTCAACAGCAATATCCAAATCCTCATCGCCCTCGAGTCGATAATACTCTCCATCCCTTTCATCCCTATATTCGATGTCCAGATCTTCCGCTTCCACCACATCCGCCTGATCGCCAAATTCCAGTTTCCTCCTTTCCACGATTTTCTTTCGCAGATCTTCGAACCCAAATTGCCCTCGAGCCGGCATGCGGATGACGACACATGTGTCGCGATCAAACCAGGCTTTGACTTTAACTGCGCTGGTGGAAGAGGAGCTACCCATAGTGGTTTGGGAGACGTTGGTGTGTTGGCGGGAGACGCTGGGAGGGGCGAGAGGGGCAGGTGTAAAGGAAGCGGAAGCTTGACTAGGATAGGGTCGATGAGAGGAACCATTGACGGGTTGGGATTGCGTGTACTGATGTGTTCGTGCCTGGCCCGGCTGGCTTGAAAATTGAGGCCCAGATTGTGCGCTGCTCTGGCTGGCTTGGGAGTGTCGTTGCGTTCCTTCGTTCGGTCGTGCATGTTCGTCTAGAGTCACCGCTGAAGGGTCGACTTCATAATCGCCCTCTCGAGGTGCGAAAAATGCCCTGACGAGCGAAGAATAGATAATGTGCTGCGGAAGTCGCAACAGATCTCGTAAATATTCGTCCAAGTTCGCTCTTCGTCCCTCCGTAATGTTGTCCGTCACATACTTGACCGGTCCTGGCATATATGGTAGTATTCTCGGCTTGCCAGGTACTTGTCCTGCTTCTTCCGGGAAAGCATTAATCATGTTGATCTGTAATTCGTAAAAGTCCTCGTATATCCTCGACAGGTCCCAATGCGAGTTGTTTGATAGTTTGCATTCCACAATGAAGTGAAACTTGTCGTCCGAATATGTATAACGAGGCACGGATGCTCGGACGGGTGCGAACATGTTCTGTTGTTGTTGTGTTGAGAAGCTGGCTTGTCTGGAGTGCATGGAGCCATTGGCTTGCTGCGTCCCATTTTGCTGCACACTCAACCTGCTCATGGCATTATCCATTGAAGCCACAGTCGACTGTGAGACGGTGCCCAGCGGTATACTTGTATTTTTGTACTCGGCCGCCATCTTTTTCCACTCTTCCACTCGAGGTATGCCAGCCGCCTTGACCGCCGCCAGCGGATCTTCTGCTGCCTTCCCTGTGACCATGTCTCGAATCTCAATGAACGACACCGGTATCAGTCCAGGCCCACCAAGCCGTGTTATGGGCTTCGCCACGAACCATTCCGGGTTCGACTGTGCAATGACGATGATAGCCTCTCCCTCTTTTGCATCCAGCTCATCTGGCCTTTCCGCATGGAAGTCATACGCCACGATCCCATAGATCCCTGCCGGCGACTTGCCAAACGACTTTGACGGCCGATGGCCTTGTGCAGATGCCCCATTGGTCTGCATGGGCATGGGCATGCGAGGTGCAGAGGTGATGCTCGGCGGTGATGCACCCTCGGCGTAGCCGCTGTCGTGGGTCGCGCTTGTGAGGGATTTGGAGGAGTCACCCGAGTCTCTGACCGTCTTTCCCACGTTTTCGAAATACTTGACGGGCACTAGCCCGCGCTCGTTCCGCAGGGGGTTGCAGGCTTCGTACCAGTCGGAGTCGTGTTCGCGGCCTACAACATGCAGAAAATCGCCGGCGCTGAAGGACAGGTACATGTGAGTGTCAGGCGGGGCATTGTAGTCGTAGATGGCCTTGATGACCTGTTGTGGGAAGCGAGAGTTAGTCTCAGAGTTTCCAGGAGTCTATCGACATGAGTTGTGCGCGTGGGTGCGTGTGCGCTGCTCCTATCCATGGTTGCGACCCCGCGTTACCGTCCGTCCGCTCGCAACATTTCGACATACCTTCTTGGGCGGCTCAATCGCAATGGCGTCCTTTTGCGGTATGGATATATTGGCGGCCGCTCGGGCACTGGCCGAGTCGTGCTTGTCGCTCTTGATCGATCTCCGGAACTGTCCCCATCAATATTGTCAGCATGCTTTGAGCTTCCTCGCGCTCCCTGGCGCATTGGCCGAGCGTTTCCCCCAAAACCCACCTTCATGATGCTTCACGGATGTCGCCGCGCCGGCAAAGCTTCGCTCAAAGCGATCTGCGGGCGCGCGAGGAGTCGGCGGCGGACGTGGGCGCGGTGGGCGGAGGGCGCGTGGGAGCAGCAGCAGGGCAATATGAGGGCGAGTGTCG